CAGGGTGTATGGAGGAAAAGATGGTCACCAGGACCCTTAATTCTTCAGTTTTTCCTACATTGTGTGTGATACGTACATTGATACAAGGAGTGGCTAAGATTGTGGTAGGCTCCTGGTTCAAAAATCCATTGTTCTGGCACTAAGATCTTCTTTGTCATCAAGATCTTCAATCTTGCTGGTGTCTTCTTCTTTAGGCACTGTATACCTTATCATCTGCTTTCCTTTATAGTTATTCTTTCTGGCATCTCCATTTTGAGGATGGAATTCTTGGTCATTAGATCTATGACCAACCTTTCCACAGGAGAAGCATTTCCCTTGCTTCATGTGTTATGAACTAGGATAGTTCTAACAACAGATGACTCGATAAGAGTTAGGACTTCTGTCGAGATTCTGCACAAGATGATAAGTCAAGCATATGATGTAAGCTAGATCAGAAGGAGTGCTTCTAACTTAAAGTATGATTCAGATGACAAGAGATTGGAGGTCTCAAGTGAAGGATATCCCAGGTAAAACCTAGTAAGATTAAAGTAAAGAACTAAAGCATATAGGAAGACTATTTATAGTGAACTACTGTGCTTTAGGGCAGGTGTGAGAATGGAATGAGTCAGAGATAAGGGATGTGTAAGCAATAGCAAGAATTGGTCATCTAGCAATGGCAATGGTGATTGTGATGTAATACAAGGTACAAGTCAGGGATAAGTCTAGTGGCGGCATCATGTGGCTCATGACGTAATACACAGTAAGGAAGAGAAAATGAATAGGGGCATACATGGTTGTAACATCATGTATTCCTTCTTCTCAGCCTCAGAGAGGCAATCAATGTCCATAGCATTAGGATTGTTGTTTCTAGGGGTGAAATGCAGGGTAGATCGTTGATCATTGAATTGGGTGTTTCTATTATTGTTCTGGGGTCTATGGGAAAGGAGAAGTTGATAGGAGTTCTCAATGGATATTACCTTCTTGACTATTCTGTCAAGGGTGTCAGGGATCTCTCTGGAATTGCAGAGTTTCATGATGAGTGGCTGTTTAAGGCCTTGGAGGAAGTAATCCTTCTGAGCGTTGAAGCTATAGATCTCAGCTTGGTTACAGAGCTGTCTGAATGTGGCTATGTACTCGCTTAAGTCATTGCCTTGTTTAAGGGCATGGAGCTTGTGAAGCGTGGTGAAGGTTCAACAACTCTGCTAGGCTGCAGAGCAAAAGAAAGACAGAAAGAAGGGGCTCTCACTCTGGGGTGAGAGGAAAGCCTACTGACTCTCTAAATGTTGGTCGAAGTGTGCTGAGTGATATGTTTGACCCTTAAGGGAAGCAAAGAAAGCAAATATCCACAAAGTGACACCAGGTCAACTCTGGTGAAGCACGCTGAAAGCATGTGCACGGGAATGTCAAGCATGTAGGAGCGTGAAGTGTGGGAATAAGGTGCAAGCTGTGCGCAAACGTGTAGAGAACTAGTGAATGGTGTGAAGATGTGAACTGAGGCTGCTGAGTGGAGGGACTGATGATAATTGACTACTGCTGAGGGCTAGGGCAACAACTGAAGCATGCTAACTGAAGATAATGATTCTCACTCTAGAGACTAACTGACATGATGATGGTTCATATCTTCTCTGGTGGTGGTCTGTGTATGAAAAAAACTTCCTAGGCCACAGGTAAGCTGTGCCTAGGTGCACTCCCAGGGCTTGGAAGTGAATAGGGAGTGCTCTATGTATGTAAATGAGATAAGGACAGGGTCCATGATGAAATAATGCCATACAAGTACTAAATATGGTCTGATAATGAGAATAAACGAGGAAGGACTCACTAGGGAACTGGTTGGACAATGGATGGATGCTCTGGGATGCTGCACAACAAAGTGCGACCAAGTGCGGGAAGAGTGCGCTAAGTGCATGCGTGGGAATGCATCATGTAATGTGGGAAAGCATCGCACCTCTGGCGCATTTCATGGGAAAGTCATAGATGGTGAGTCATAATATGGGCGATATATGCCTAGAGGAATCTTGTTCCCTACATCTCCTGGGTACTTTAAATACTGAGTGTCCCCACTCAGAGCGCATCTGGTGAGAATCTCGGGTAGTACCAGCAATAATGGTATGTGATGATCAATGAGTCTGATGTGTGCATGTTTGGAGCCTGGTGTGATGAAGTGCAATGAGGCACGGGAAATGTGTGATGCATGCGAGCGTGGGAAAGTGTGTTGCATAGTGTGTTGCATAGTGTGAGGATGGTCGCATATGGCAGATTGTGCGAAGGGACTCTGATGCGGGGAATCATGATCTGAGCTCAAGACTATGGTAGTGATGATTATGTGAGGGATGCTTGGCTAATGGTATGACTGATGGCACAAAATGTGCGAGGATATGTCGCATGAGGCGCGGGAAAGTTGCGCATGAAGTGCGTGAACTGCAAGACTGCAAGACTGCAAGGAAGCATGAGGGGCTGATTGTGTGATGAGGTCTGGGTCCAATGTGTCTGCAGGGGTACAGGGTGAAGGCCAGCAGTCCAAAAGCGATCCAATCCATGTCCAAACCAAGTCCCACTAGGTGATCTAACTATTAGGGATTGAATGGCATGAGTAAAACTATAAGCAAAAATGTGAAAAGTGAAAAGTGCGAAAAGAGAGAGCAAACTGTGCAGATGTCCAAGTCCAACTTGGCTTCTTCGTTCTTCTGTCAACTTCTATTCCTTCCTATGCGTTGCAAAAGTGTGAGACTGTGGCGCATATGAGGTGCATGGTGTGGGAATGGTGCGCACAAGCAGTGCATTCTGAGGTAAATAAGGTGTATGTGGGAATGCATTGCATAATGTGGGAAAGTGTCATGCCTCTGGTGTGTTTCACAGGAAAGTCAGAGATGGTGAGTCATAGTATGGGTGACATATGCCTAGAGGAATCTCGTTCCCTACAGCGGTACCAGCTGAGTTGATTGGGTTAAAGGTTTCTTCAAACTGAGAGATGAATTCATCCCAAGTTCCATATCCATTCTTTTCTCCATGAGTGGATGTGGGGTCAAGTTGCTGAGCATGTCTGATGAAATCTTCCATCCATGCTGCAGCTGTGCCTTCTTTCATGAATGAAAGGGTGAAGGCAATCTTTCTAGTGTCGGTGTCATAGATTCCATCATTTGTATCTAGATAAAGTGTGACAAGGCAAAGGAACCTAGAGGTTCCATCTCAATTTCTATCAAAGTCGGGTGGTGTGCAGATCTTTCTTTCAATTGGTTTAGGCATGTCATTGTCAGTGTTGTTGTCAGTGTTGGTATCTGGTTCAGGGGTTGGAAATCTAGGTGGTGCTACCAGTTCAACGGGTGGGGCATCAGGGATTTCTTCATCTCTGTCTTCTACAAGTGCTGGTGCACTTGTTTTGAAATGAGAAACAATAGTGTGATGTGTAATGGATGAAGGGCCTGGGACAGCAAGAGTAGGGAGAACAGGAGTGTGGGGAGTGTCAAAGGATCCTCATGACAAAGAGGTTTGTCTAGGAGAGTTGGGTGGGTAGGGACTGTATGGGATCCCAGATCATTCAGAGAAAGCCTTCTTGCTTTTCTTGGAAGGTGCCACTTTGGCAATCAATCAGTTTTGTAGGTTCAAAGAGTAAAGCCCCTACAGATGGAGGGGTTCAGATGTAACTTGAATCTTTTGTTATGAACTCAGATAGAGCGTCATTCCAATAAAGGAATCAAGGATCAAGGTTGATCAAGGACTAAGCCTTATCAAGTCAACGCCTCCCTCAGGAGTGATCATCTAGACTCCCACAGGATCTAGAGTTCAAATGGGATAATGGCTAGCCTCCTTCCCAAGGAGCTAGAGTTCAAGTATGAAAGAGAACCAAGTAGATTCAAGTTAGAGAAAATACAAGTGGTAACTAGAGTTTATATACATAGGGGGAATTGTGCACAGACCATGCTGGGCAAAGGGTCACTAGTACTAGGAATGGAAGGTTCATGGGAAAACAGAGTATGAGTCAAAGATAAAGGAGACCATGAGGAAACAGCACAGTGAAAGGAAGTGTTAGAAGTACAGCCACAAGGTGTCCGCAGTGATGATGGGAAAAAGAGTGGGGTACTGTAACAGTTTCTCCTGGAGCTTCTTCTAGTCTTCCTTCGTCCATATGAACTCACTGGGGAAGTCAGCACAATTATAGGATAGGACTGTGAATTCCTTCGCCTTGAGTGTCACAGGCAGACTCTGAGGGGAGAGGGTACTAAGGGCGACATGGGCTAGAGCTAGCGAGAGGGATTCTGCAAGTTTAGTATAAGCAGCCCTAGTAAACCAATAGTTGGACACCAGAAAAACAATGATACATCAAAAAGATGTGCTGATGTAAATCTCGCTCATGTGCCAACATTTGTTTGTCTATCTGCAGCTGTAAAATATCATTCTGTAGGACTTTAATCTAAACATCAAGATGTGTACATGCACTGCAAGTTAGTATATTTCTTTAAAAAAAATCAGTTGGTAAAGCTTTGACCTGCTCTTCAAGGCACATATATGCACTCAACAGACCATTTCCTCCCTAATTATCGTGTTCAGCTAAATAACATTACCATGAATTGTCCTTACCATGTGTCCATCCTCTTGCTGCATAAGAAGAGGTGAGTGAGACAGCCTCTGTTGAAAAAATGGATCCAAGGATGGAGAAATAATGCTATCTGAATGCAATGACCCATTCGAATCAGGGGAGGGAGACATCATAGAGTCCTGCTGGTGAGAAAAAGGAGGTAAACTGCCTGCAGCACAATTAGGAATATTAGGGTATGGAGTTTTGTAATTCTCCGAGGGTATAAAGTCATTATACTGGGGGAAGGAATAAGACATGGTGGTATAAGAGAAACACATTGGACACACATAAAGACACACTGCAAGATGCCCAAAATGCGCTCACATGACCACTGGAAAATCCCAGAGTCTGGGGATATTTCATTAAGTCCTCAATGCAGAGGATTTCATATCACTCTAACCTAATACCCTAATGCCTATCATAATTGACTCTGTTAATATGCTTGAGGATGTCATTTTCCTTGACATTGACAACATTGTTCCTTCGTGGAACATGTACTGCTTTGCACTGGATATCCACTCTCCTGGATGCAAGGTAAATCATCTGTCATTCTCAATGCCTATCTCACACACATTCTTGTGTTGCGCTTCAGAGATGCCCAAATACTTCAGTTGAAAAATGGTATGGATGAGGAAGACAACTTACAGCTCCAGACATCAGAAGACAAGCCAGTGCTCCAGACTCTAGAAGATGAGGAAGAAGAGTTGGTGGTCCCAGTCCCCATTCCTCTGTAGATTTCCAATGCCTGATTTACTGCTTACTTGCTTACTTCTTGCAGCAGTGCCTCTCCATGTAACCTTCTTACCAGGCACCTCAAAAACATGAACCCAGATCCAGACAATTCTACTGTACCTTGGCACTACTGCATACATCCAATTAATGAATCTCATCTCAACACCAAAGCTAAGAAAAGAAATGCTGATGAGCAGGAGCTCCAAGAGAGGTTCAAGAAGCCACAAAAACTTTAATTGATTTATGCCACCATTCTTACTGTACTCCCACTATTCCATTCATTTTTGCTACTCTCTCTTGGTCAAGTGGGGTGCTGCTTTGAACAGTGGTTGCAAAAATTTAGACAAAACACAGTACATAGGGTGTGACCACCAGGTATAGGCAGGAAAGTAATCTACAGAAATGAATATCAGATGTGACCTTGTTAAGGTCACGTGCTCAAGGGGGTTGGATCACAAGGGCTTGGCCTCAGCTCATACACTGTGCCCCTTTCCTGAGTATGTGCCCTTAATTTCCAGGGGCTAGAACAGTTGTCTGGAGTTTCCAGGATTTGACTAGGGCAGACAACAGATGTCTGGATCTGAAACATGAGATAAATCCGATGGACATCCAGATGTTACTTGGGCAAGCAGATAAGACTAATCTGGACGAAGTCTGGACTAGAAACTAACAGAGGATAGACTACCTTAAGGTAGAGTCAGAAATGTAGTCTAGGATGCAATCCTAAGACTCAGAACATGACAAGAGACTTGTCTCAAGTCCGGAGGACACAGGAATGAGCAGGAACTAAGATGATATTCAAACTGGAGTATTTCCGAGAGTTACAGGAGGTTTATATACTGTAGGTATCATATAGGAATCAATCAGCAAACATAAAGGCTATGTACGAAGCATATGCAAAGTCTATTAGTAAGTAGGACAGATCACAAATAATGAACACTGGAAATGAAATGTATGTAACAGATCAATAATCAGAAGGGAAACATGGTTAACTGGAGTCTGGGGACAGGGGAAGTCTAAATGGGGTTGGGTGCTCATATAGGGTTTGGATTCTGGAAGGAAGATAAAGATAGATCAGATCATTTGAGATCTGGATCTTGGATCTGGATATCCAGAGAAGTGGATTTAGAATTGAGAGTCTGGAATGGCATATGACAGACCTAAATGAAGGATGCGTCAAAGGCAATGATGATGTTATTAGCACTCATTGACAGTGATCTCATGAGGACACACATACTGACATGAGCATGGTCTGAACAGCTGGCCAGTTCATATCACATCCAGATGTCACATGAAGAATATTCAGAAACTGTGCAGAAAGCTTTCCAGATAGTGGAGAGTTGGCAGGCAAGAATGGGAGTGCTGATACTTACAGCTGTGGTGTGCTGTATCTGCCAATGCCTGCCTCATCTCTGGATCATGGTCAGCCATGACAAGCCTAGAATATAACATACAGCAACAATCTCAGTTCCAATGGACAAGAAAGCAGCTTGCATTAAATGATGGATCTGTAGTAATATCAGAATGCAAGATCAGGATATGGTACTTGGTACACACACAAAGATGAATTCCACCTTGCCATAGTGATAAAAAATGTCAGCAGGTGCACTAAGAAATTGCATGAAACTCAAGTACCAGGTGCTAAAAAGTAAGAGGTGAGTGATTGCAAGAAATGAAGGAGGAAGAATGGACATACAGACAATCGTCCAGCTATACCAGTAATTCCAACCCATGGCAAAAGAGAATGCAGGGTCAATGAAGTGCTTGGACAGTTACATACATGAATTAGTAGAACAAGGAGAGAGCATTTTTATGTCTGCACTGAAGTGGTGTGCCAGAAAATTGATGCTGATGATACCACTAATACTTGACAGAAGTGAGAATTCACCAAATGAAAGAAGAAAAGTCAACACACCTGATCCATTGCAGGGTATGCTGTGAGGAAGCCTGAATAACCAGGTGCAAAGCCAGCACTTCCCTGTGAAGTGCGAAGGCCTGATACAAGCCTTCATCATTGCCTCAGTGGCAAAAGTGGGAGGAGAGTTGAATCGTGAGGTGCAGGGATTGGTCAAGGAGGTACAATAGTCTAGATAGAAAATGAGCAAAAAAAATGGCTGAAATGGGTGGAGGTGGTGGAAGGGGAAGTAAAGCTCCACTACTTAGTCTCAGGGAGGAGATGGGCCATACTGGACTTCATAGGGAGGGGAGTTGAAGCAAACCAAAAAGAAAGGACACTCACTGAAAGGAAACACCTTCATATCCAGTGGAGCAGTTAGAAATCAAAGAAATAAGAAGTTTAATGTCCAACCAGAGTTCAGGGCCATCATATGCAGGCAGGAGCCTCTGGAAGGGATTAAACTGGATCAAGAGAAAGAGTAAATGAACTAGAATTAGATGAACATGATCATGTGGCCTCAACCTATCTCAATAATACTGAAACCAAATACTGATTGGACATTGAAAATCTGTGCAGCATCCCAGGAAGTCAAAGTGTAACCAAACATCCACCATACTATCTGATTCTACTGTCAAAGCATGATGTTCTTCAGCTTGTGCTACAGATGTCTGAAATCTTGAACAGTCTTGCTAAGCCAAGTGGTAAGCGTAACAGGCTGGAAGTCTTCATCATTTTCCTTGAGTGGTGATGTCACTTGAGGAAAAAGTGCCATGCCTTTATTCTACCTGGGTCCGTCCTCCCTGCTCAGATTGTCTGTGTGCCAACTTGGTGAGTCTTCCTTGTCCCTTTATTCCCATAGCTAATCTTCAACTGCCCAATCTACTCATCCTCATCTGCTTCATCTTCAATCTCTTCATCAACAGTCACAAGCCCAAGCCCAGGCTTCTCGAGGAGGAAAAAGTGATCCTTCACTACCCCAGATTGGAGTTTAGGATGGTGAGGTATCATGGCAATGACAGACTGGATGGACTTCACACTGACTAGCTGCAGTGCCTCGTCACCATGATATTTGCAAGACCAAACAGTCTGCATTGACTTCTGGAGTAGTTCTGGATCCAGGCAAGAGTAGACAGAGACCATTGCAACAGTGATAAAGCAATATACTTCATCATTGTGGTACTCCAACTCTCTGTCATTCTCATCATCATTTATGTTGTCTGTGTGCTATAACAGTGAGCTGTGCATAATACAAAACCTGTGTGATTTCGTTCCTGTCATTGATAGTGACCTGAATTTACAGTGAGATGCTGGGCTCATGACATCAGGAGAGACAGTCACCTTGACATTTTGTGCCATATGGACCTTCTCTGTATGTTTGAGTGTTTCCTTCCATGCACAGCGAGTGACCTGGCCATTTGGAAGCTGCAGTCTTGCCCAGCATTTAAACTTTGGAACAGGCCCATCTAGGAATTCATGAATCAATTGTGTCTCAGTCTCACCTGGGTGATAATTGTATCTGGCACAAGCCCTGAGGAGAACATAACTGCCCCCGAGATCAATGGAATAATTTGGAATTGGATTGTCAGGTGGTTCTAAGTCTGGAATCATGACCTTGAGGGCATTTATCTGACACTGGCAAATGGCAAGGAAGGTGAGATTCGAAAACGGATTGGAAGGCTGCCGAATCTCCATTCCCAGCATACCAATGACTTGTTCCATAGTCCACTGTGCATAACATGCAGATGGACCTGATTGAAAACCTTCAGTTGCTAGATGGTTTCCCTGGTGAGCACATGGCCAAACAAAATGGATTTGGTCTGCTTGTCACTGATAGTATATACATTCAAACTCATACTCCCATTCACAGAAACTCCTGTGAGACTATGCTAACTCATGATTTGGACACCTCACACAAACTTGCAGAAGTTTTGCCAGTACTTGTTGGGCAAGATACCATAGAGAAGACCTGGGCCAAGGCCCCATAGCCATAGGATAAATTCCCAGGCTTGGTAGTAAGTGTTGATCTTTTCGGCAGGATTGTGTGGGGGGCGATCAAATGAACCAGGGAGGTATTGTGCACATGCAGCTATGGTGGTGCCATGATCCATCCAAACAGCCTTGTCTCAGAATATGGCCCAGTCCCACAAGTCTCTATTATCTGTGGCATCGCATCTCATTGTGCCATACCACAAATCAGTCAGGAGAGAACCCATATTGGGGCCCTCAAGGTGCATGATATTGGGGGTGAAGCATTCAGGAATGCTAAACATGTGGTTGGGCAAGAGACCAAGCAATATGCTTGGCTTGATGATACCTGTTTTGAGCTGCTGCTGGTTATACTGGGCTGTGGTTGTGGTGGAGACAACATGGTAAAGATTGTCAACATAGTCAGAACATGGTGATAATGATAATTTGTTCACATCAATATCATTGTGATTGCATCCAGAAACAGTATAATTGAGAGGCTTGAGGAGTACAGGGTAGTATTGTGGCTGCCTATGCTTGTGGCGTCTGTTAAGAACCATGCTCAAAGGAGAGAGAGACTGACTCAAAGGGGCTTGGCCTCAGCTTGTATGCTGTGCCCCTTACCCAAGTATGTGCCCTTCATTTCAGAGGAAGTCTGATGATGGTCCAATGAAGTCTGGAGGACTTCCGGAGGCTGGCTACTCTGGTGGAGAGTGTGGGAGGACTTCCAGAGGAGTGCAGGAAATGTCCAGAGGAGCACAGGAGAGTTCTGGAGGAATGCAGGAAGTGCTCAGGAGAGTTCCCACTGCCAGGTAATACTTCTACAGGAAAACAGGATGGAAGGATAGGAGGTCCAGAGGACAGGAGGACAAGATGTCCGGAGGTATGGAGGACAGAACATCCGGAGGTACAGAGGGCAGAACATCTGAAGGACAGGATGCCCAGAGGTATGAGGGACAGGAAGGAATAGGGGCTACATCGGATGAAGTCCAATGTAGAAGCAAATGGAGGTAGACTACCCTAAGGTAGAGTTGGAGGGACAGGAAGTGGACCTAAGTCTGGAAAGAGGGTAAGTGCCAGAAAGGCAAGACTCTAGCCTAGGGAAGCAATCCCTAGACTTGGGACAGAGACATAGGGGACAAATCTGAAGGTCCAGAATTCCAGCCTAGGGAATCCATCCCTAGGACTTATGGAAAAGGACAAGACTCAGATGGACTGAAGTCCAGAAAAAGATTGGGCAAGTAGAAAAGGATCTAAGATGAGAGAGCAGGAACTAAGATGATATTCACACTGAGGACTCTACTGTAGTTGTACAGGGGTTATATACTAGAGGCTATCCAAGAGGATCAGTAAGCAAAGGAGTAAGGCTATGTACCAGCATGTGGAAACACATTGGTAAGTAAGACAGAACATAAGTAAATGAACTCGGAGATGAAACTAGTACAAGGATCAATCAGCAAGATGGAAACAGAAATAACTGAGAACTGGAAAGGGGGAGATGCCTAAATGGGGATAGGTGCAGGATCTCGGATAGAGGGTGGGAATAGGTCCGGAGATCTGGGGATCCGGAAGGCAGGGCAGAAACAGGACTGAGATATGTGAGGTGGTGGATGTAGTCTGGAATCTGAGAGGAGGTAAAGTCTGGATGTCTTGCTGGACTGGAATGTGCATAGGGTGGACAGGATAGGGGATCCAGGAATGAGTCGGATATGGGGTCCGGAAATAGGTCCAGAAAGCGTGGGAATATGATGGGATCTATATCTGGCATATGGGATATGACAGCATCCCTTGAGACCACAGTACATTCTACATCCATTCTTCCCAGTATGCCCAACCATTGAGCTCAGACAAAGTAGGCCAGGACCATCTGCAGTTCCAAATGCAAAAAAGAGATTTGACTTAAACACCCAGTCCTTGGATGCATCCCATATATGAAGCCCTTCCTTCTGCAAGCCCACAAGATGGTGTAGACCAGGAAAAAGGAAGGATTCAATGAATTTTGGCTTATTCGGCCCAGGTATGATTCCACCTGGGAGGACATACTTCTTGTAGCATAGGTCAGGAGGGAGATTAATAATGATCCAAATATATGTATATCCAGCAGTCAGACTCCTTGCTCTTGTAGAGTTGGGTGCCATCAATCAATAACATGAGAACAATATCATTGTCTTGAATTTTTCCTTCATTCACAGCTTTCAGATATTCCATTCCTGTAATGATATCATCATATGCAGAAAGCTTGCCATCTGCAAGTTCAAGCTCCTTGAAGATACATTTTGTCCACTCATCACAATAGCACATGTTGGTCACTGCTGCAGGGTCTCAATAAAGTGTCTGAAGTTGTGGACCAATGGGAATGGTGTGAAAGACCTTGACAGGTGACTTCACTTTGCCATTAGAGGCTTCATATTTGATCTGATCATAGCAATAAGAATGACAATGGGGACAACAGTCAAGAAGTGCATAGTCTCCTGTGAAAGCTGTGCAGCCCTCTGTGCATATGTCATCTACAATGGACTCGATCCCACTCATCTGTGCAACAATACACTTGATTTCATGGTGGGAAGGAAAGACTGTCTGGATAGCATCGCAAGATGGCTTTGTGGACATTATTATATGCTTCTACAGCAGAATGTTTGAGTGTGAGATAGGTATAAATAGCTAAGTAGAGATAGGGATCCTCAATTTTGAGTTGATGCTGAGGAGGGTTTTGGAGACAATCAAGAGCATCTGGATCAAGTGGCAAGAGACTGTCATCTAAAGTGGAGCATCGAAGGGCCTAAATAAATGAGATAGTTTGCAATATATCTTTGTACCCACCAACACTGGCAAGACATTGGATGTCATCTAAATTGACATCTTGTATGGTATGCTGGTCCTTGTCACCAGCAGGAGAGTCTGGTGGAGGTGGAGAATGGCCCTTGTCACAAACAGGAGGGTCTGGCAGAGGTGGGGAATGGCTCACACCATGGACAGGATGGTCTAATGGAGGTGGGGAATGGCCCTCACCACAAACAGAAGGGTCTGGGAGATCATTTGCATAATGAATGTCGCCATCATTGTAAACCTGTACAGGTCACAACTTGTCAATCAATCAAACAACAGTTAGTAGGTAATTGACTTTACCTTGTCTTCTGTAGCATTCTTACCAACACCCATATCCACATCACTACTTTGATCAGAGCATGTGTGCTCTCTTGTGTGCTCTCCTAATATATAATTGCATTTATTAGCACATTAACATTGTAGACAATACTAGTTCTTGGCTTACCAGAGGCACTTGATGAAGCAATTGGAGCATTTGCTTGTGCTTGCGAGACTAAGAGTGCTTGAAGTTCTGGAGTCCACATGTTTGCATCACTGTCCTGAGCTTTTAAACAGTAGTACCGAGTTTTGGAGACTGTCTGAAGGTGGCCCTTGCACACAACCTGATACTCTTTTGGTAGTGGCATACTAGTGAGCAAGAGTATTGTGATGGTAGAGCCATTACTAGGTGCTGCATGCAGCATGCAACAATGGAGACAAGAGACAATTGACCTTGCACAATCTCAGAGATTATTGCAAGCTGTTGTGTACCAAGTGCAACATGCAGTGGCGATGATAAGAGATAATTGATCTCGTACAATTCCAGGCAAGTGCTATTATTAGTATTAAGCTCATCAGCCAATCTCACACAATCTCAAAGGCTTCTCAAGTTCCTGCACAACCTTGCAGCAACCTCAGCCATTCTCAGAACAGTGGGTTTTCACTGGGGCTGAGTGTCCAAGTCACAGATATAAGAAGTGGGATGGATTGTGGTCTTCCTATAGTATAGGAACTTGATGACCACCCTGGTGATAAGAGTCAGAGTGACTCAGAGTGCAGAGGAGGCATGGATGAGGTTTGATGTGAACACAACATTGATGAGGCATTGATGCCCTTGATGTGGCATGAGACAATACTTGAGTGCTGTCTGAAAACAAACATTGTATCTTGGAATTCATAGCAACATAAGTGTTTGAACATGAATTTGTGATGGTGTAGTCCTGTGTCACAGTGCATCACAACTGCAGCAGGTGCAACAAGACCACATCAATTTCACCTGATGGCCCAAACCTGTGGTTCCAGACACATGCCTTTGCATATATTGACACGTAGTAAATACTTACATATTTTTAAAAAAGTGTGAAGCTGACAAAAATTGAGAGGTTCAAACCCCAAACCTCTAGAAAGGTTCAGTTCTGAGTCTTGGCTGAACCTTGGACCAGACCATGCATCCAGTTTGGAAAGGTTCAGGTTTGAACCAAAGTTCAGAACTGGACTGCAGCAGTGCTACAAACTCGGATAGAGTGCTGTTCCAATAAAGGAATCAGGATCAAGGTCAATCAAGGACTAAGCCTTATCAAGTCAATGCCTCCCTCAGGAGCAATCAGTCTAGACTCCTGCAGGATCTAGAGTTCAAATGGGACAGTGGCTAGCCTCCTTCCAAAGGAGCTAGAGTTCAAGTTAGAGAAAATACAAGCAGTAACTAGGGCTTATATACATAAGAGAATCATGCACAGACCAGGCTGGGCAAAGGGTAACAAGTACTAAGAAAGGAAGGTTCATGGAAAAACAAGGTATGAATCAGAGATCAGGAAGACCATGAGGGAACAGCAAAGTGAAAAGGAAGCATTTAGAAGTACAGCCATAAGGTGTCCACAGTGATGGTGAGAAAAAGAATAGGGGTACTGTAACAGATTGTGCCAGGGTTAAATTGGAGAGAGCACTTCCATTGCATGGAGATCATTGGACCATTGGTATCATTAGTCCATGAAAGTTGCTCATGAGAAACTCCATGGATATTGCCAAGACAGGTTTGGAACCAACATCAGGAAAAACCCCTTTGTCTATATAGCTCTATATAGCTCTATATAGACTTCATAGATATTATAGACAATCATAGAATCTGTTAGGAGGTACCTGTTATAAAGAGCTTTTTTGCTTCACTATAGACAACTTCTACTATAAAAGTCTATTATAGATTTGCTTTTTTCCCTTCCTTTTCCCTTCCCTATGAGAGTACAATAGCTATTAAAGTAAGAGTAACTATGCTTTACTTTTATTGCTCTTATTAGGGTAGCTGATTATACCTCACTAGTATACTAGCCATAAGCAAATCAGAAAATAGCACACTAATAAAATCATATTTTCAAACAATAATAGAGGCTTTACTACTACAGAGCACTGTATGGAAGGCATCTACTAGGATCAGGATGCTTCAGCAGTAGTATCAGCATCACCAGCCTCAGGCACACTGCTACCCTCTGCAATCTCATTACTATCACCAGCACTAGCACCAGTAGCTCCAACTCTGGCAATAGCTTCCTGTTCCATGCTCTCCCATTCCATAAGGTCGTCCTCAGCATCAGAATGACCTTGCAAAGCTAGAAGGTCATGACCAGACTCTTTGCTGTAAATTCACTTACTAGCACATTGGGGTTTTATTAACATGATGCTCACCAGGCTTTCAAATAGAGGTCCCTCTTAAATTGCTTGAGCCATGTTGGACAGCTTTTGTTCAGACCATCAAGCTTCTTCATGAAGTGGGAGTAGCTAGTAGTAAAATGTTAGAAAGCTATACTTATGAAATTAAATACTTACTGGCTCTTAAATTGAGTGTCAGTGAATTTTACCTGAGTATGAACACTGTGTAACCAGGTATTTAGTGAGCATTCAATCTAAACAAAGAAAGGTTAGGATGTGAATTAATATTGAAAGACAACATACCACTGTGGCAATGAGAGCCAAAATACTATCAGGAACTTTCCTGAATTTGTCTGGGAATCTCAAAGCTTCATCCCTAGCTCCAAACCACTGAGTGATAAATAAATTCTTGAAGAGCTGGTTGCAAAAAGGCATCTTCCAGTCAAATGTCTTGTTCTAGTAAGAATCCATTAGAAGCGCCTTTACAAAATTCTATGAAGCTTATCAAACATACCTCAAGGTTCAATTTATCATAGAGAAAGGTGTCATTCTTGAGAATCCACTGAATGGTTTCTAACAATACAGAGGGTGACATGTTGCCAGGAATGTTGTATGAGCTGGAAGTTTTATGGCATGCTTTGGAAACCAACTCTCCTCTAAGCTGAGCACAGGCTCCCCATACCTAAGTTCAATTTAGGTAGCAAGATAATAGAGGTAATGAGACACACATAAGTGATCACTTGCTCCTTTGCATCATGATCAAGCTTCAGTTCTTCTACATGCTTCTTCAGAGCTTCAACATCTCCAACTGCATCCACTAGGCAAGCCCAAACTATTTCATTTTTGGTGAGGGTAGAAGGGAATGCATTCACAGTAGTAACATGAATGCGCAAAGCTCTATGGCCTAGCATTGCAATTCTACTGACCTTCTGGGGAAAAGTGGAAAGGCTTCCCCTCCTAGATGAAGCACCAATCTCTGATAAGGGAGTGGAGGAATGTGATGATTCAAAAGGGGAAGATTTGGAGATTTTACATTGACATTGAGTACAAGGGGGAGGTTGAGAATTGTCTTCACTGCCTTCAACCATCATCTAGAAGACAAAATGTCAGTAATCTTCATGCAAACTAACTTTCCCTTACCTCATCCATGGTATGAGACTTGCGAGTGCCCTGGACCATGTCCTCATCTTCATCTTTATCCTCATTGTCCCTATCCTCTTCATTCTCAGTCTCTGACGTACAGTGAATACAACACTTACCATGACCGTTACATCTTGCTTTTTTCCCTGTCTTAGCTTACTTTTCCATATTGTCTTGCATCAGTCTTCCTAGCTCTTTCTCTTCGTCATCTAAGGTATCAGGGAGCTGATGTGCTCTTTTTGAGAGAGAGCAATGCAACTATCATCCAGGTTGTCCAGGTTGTCCAGATTATCCAGGTCATCCAGGTCATCACCATCTTCTTGCTGCTCTTCATCCTCTGCAGCTAGTATATCTTGAGTGTGCTTCCTGGAAGCTACAAATAAGTAAGCAGTTGAATTAGTGTTGCAGATATAATGTTGTGAGATATACAGATTACCTTGTTGTACAGTGTTGAGATGCTCCTGAGCAGCCTTGGAATTGGCCTTGGACTTAGCCTTGGAGTTGCCATCTTTAGATTTGAGTTGGCTTTCTAGATGAGGTACCTTAGCATTGAGTATGATATGGTCATCCTGGCCCTCATTGCCCTCATTGCTCTTGTCCTTGTGCAGTACTGCAGCCTTCTTACTCTTGCTACTGCCAGTAGGCCTGGGACGTGGTAGAGCCTTGGCCTTAGCAGCAGGGGCATAATGAGATGCAGATGCTGCAGCAGGAGTAGATTTTCTACCAGAGCGATGCTTCATCTTGAGCAAGGGAGGGTTGGTGAATCTGCTGGAGGAAGCATCAAGGATTTTGAACTGTATTTTATAGACCCTCACCTTGTACTAGCAGAAAAAATTGGAAGCCATTCTACCCTCAGCGGTAAAAGTAAAGCAGGGCCTATGATGTTTGTGCTGCTTGAAGTAGACATTAAGATGAGGATGGTTGCAGTACATATTGAATTTTTTGAGTTGGCAACTAATAAGCAATTAGCTAAGATTATATCTGTATGTATCTAGAATGACTCAAAGGACATGTTATGCTCCCAACTGTTACACTCACTTTCCCACTGATCCATGGCTTTGTCTATGTGGAGAACTATAGATGCCCTTCTTCCTTGGTAGTGTAGATTAAAGTGAGTAATATTAGCAGAAGGAAATATGATAAAATCTCCTTGCAAGACCTCTACCACAAGACCGGTTTCCATCATGACCAGTTCACTGCCTACAAATACTCCTATGGGAAGGACAAGGCAAAAGTGTTTGTCATTACCGTCTCTATGTCCTTTGGTGTGACGTTGAGGTTGAAGACAAGTGATAGGAAAGGTAGCACAGGGGAGTGATGGTTGCCTGGTAGGATGCATGCACTAGCTTCAAGTAAATCATACTCCTTTGGCAGGAGTTCCTGTAGCTGGACAGTAAAGCTGTTAGTTGAGCTAAAAGATATAACTATCCTATGCACATTTTTTTGAATCCATTGAAAGAGGTCTCCAAATATCACCTTGACCAACTCGTACAAGTCTTGATTAAGAGCTGTCTCAACTGAGACATAAGGCGTGAACTGTGAATGGTTCATTCATATATCTCTCCTCTCCATCATGTAGGGATGTATATTAATTGGTGCTGCATTGCCCTGTCATGGCATTGTCAGTAAAATTGGATACATGTTGGACATGGGCAGAGAGTGCTAGAGTTGGTAGAAGATAGAATAGGTGGGGGGGTACAAGAGGATATATGTTGAGTTTTGTCCATGGTGGGGGGTGTTCCAATGTATAGCTGATTGAGAGAGCCAAGCAATATTAGACATGATACTGAGCTAGAAGTGCCAATATCCCATTCTTCCCAGCATTGTGGTACCAGAGAAAAGTGGCTAGAAACAATGAATGAGCATGATTTCCCCCAGACATTCATGACCAGCTCACTTGAAAATAATCAAATCAAAAAGCAATCAGATGCTTCCAAATTGGTACAATTGATATCCCTGGGAAGCTTATGATGTGCCAGAAGAGAAGGCAAAAACATGGATCCCATGCTGAGAGGAAGATGTCTACAAAGGATATTCACTGTAGGTATGATCCTATCCAAAATGGTTCTACCAATGGCAGTATCTGTGGCAGGTATGTTGAGCGATGGTACAATAATTTTGAGAATAGTACTTACTGGAGTCAGGCTGCCTCAGAGCACTGCCTAATTGCCAAGGTGAATTGCCTACCATTGAGCCCACTGTAGTCCTGAGCTCTAGGCCAGCAACCATCACTAAGATGTAGATAGTACCGCCAGCTGCCAAAGCAGCAAACTTGCTGCCAGATTGGACCCAATCTTTGAAAGTTCTTGCCAACAAGTAGTTCAACTTCAGAGGAGTAATGTGCATGTTGTATACCTCATCTACCATCATCATGGTGCCTACTCTCAAACTTACAAAATCACAAGGACTTGTAGACCAGGAAGGCATAGTAGGAAAGCACATACCTCTGATACTTAGTCACCTACTGGATGAGGCCAAGCATTCTCAAGAAGTTAACAGCCACATCCTGCTGTGAAAGACTAGTGCAATGCATGATCAGCTCTTCAAAAGATCCTTCCTGAAAACTTCCTTGATTGCTCAAAGAATTTTCAATCTGCTGGGCCCATGTTGCAGGATTGTAGCTCTTGGATTCTGAGTGTGCTGCACCTAGTTCACTGACTATAGCCTCCATTGATGCACTTCCCTTAATCCATGGGTTTAACCTTCACTTCCAGCTACCTTGGTTCCTCCTGTTCAGGTGCCTTCCCCCTCTTGGACAGTTTGGATTGGGAACATTATGGGCTGCTTCACATAGTTGATTGCCAGCTGCCTGCTTGTTACCATGTTCTAAACTGTGACATAAAGCTGATGCCTGATGTTCTGATAGGCCCATGTGAGCTGATGGCATCTCCAAATAGGGATCAGAAGGCATAGGAGGTGGGATTGGAAGAGGGGTTGTGTTAAGAACCATGTTGCTCAAAGGAGAGAGAGACTGACTCAGAGGGGCTTGGCCTCAGCTCATATGCTGTGCCCCTTACCCAAGTATGTGCCCTTCATTTCAGAGGAAGTCCAATGATGGTCCAACAAAGTCTGGAGGACTTCCGGAGGCTGGCTACTCTGGTGGAGTGCTAGAGGACTTCCAGAGGAGCATGGGAAATGTCCGGAGGAGCGTGGGAGAGTTCTGGAGGAATGCAGGAAGTGTTCAGGAGAGTTCCCACTGCAAGGTAATACTTCTACAGGAAACAGGATGGAAGGATAGGAGGTCTGAAGGTCCAGAGGACAGGAGGGCAGGAGGACAGGAGGACAGGAGGACAGGAGGACAGGAGGGCAGGAGGACAGGAGGACAGGAGGACAGGAGGACAGGAGGACAGGAGGACAGGAGGACAGGAGGGCAGGAGGGCAGGAGGGCAGGAGGGCAGGATGTCCAAGAGTTAGGAGGATGGAACGTCCAAAGGTATGGAGGGTGGAATGTCTGAAGGACAGGATGCCCAGAGGTACGAGGGACAGGAGGTCTGGAGGTCTGGAAGGAATAGGGGCTACATCAGACTCCATCTGATGTAGAAACAAACAGAGGTAGACTACCCTAAGGTAGAGCTGGAGAGACAGGGATTGAACCTAAGTCTGGAAAGAGGGTAAGTGCCGGAAAGGTGGAGCTCCAGCCTAGGGAATCAATCCCTAGGCCTGATGGGTAGGACAGACTTAGGTGGACCAAAGTCCAAGAGAGGATTGGGCAAGTCTAAGTTGATATTCAAACTAAGGAACTACAGGAGTATCTACAGGGGTTATATACTGAACAGTATCTGAGGGGATCAGTAAGCAAAGGAGCAAGGCTATGTATGAGCATGTGGAAACACATTAGTAAGTAAGACAGAACATAAGTAAATGAACTCAGAGATGAAGACTCATACAAGGATCAATCAGCAAGACAGAACAGGAGGTAACCGAAAGCTGGAAAGGCAGAGATGCCTAAATGGGGATCGGCACAGGATGTCAGACAGAGGGTGGGAATAGGTCTGGAGTTAATATCTGGAGGTTCAGAAATCTGGGGATCTGGAAGATGGGGTGGATACAGTCCAGAATCTGAGACAAGGTGAAGTCCAGATGTCTTGCTGGATGGAGTGTGCATAGGGTGGATGGGATAGGGTGGTATGGATCAGGCCAGCAGTGAGGATCCAGAGGTCCAGAGCTCAGGGGTAAATCCGGAGCATAGTCAATCCTACTGAGGTGTGGAGCACACAGTGGAAGGGGATCTGGGAATGAGTCAGATATGCAGTCTAGATGTAGGCTCAGAAGGTGTGGGAATATAATGGAATGTGGGTCCAGATTGTGGGATATGACAGATAACTATGATGTGAGGGTCAAGCTGGAACTCGGCAAATGCACCATGGATGTAGGTACTGATTTCATTTAGCATCTCTTCCCCAGTTCCAAGGTCTTAGCTGAGTCTAAAGTTGGGAGTAAGCTTTTGTTTCCTAGTCAAAACACCAATGTGACTGACTTGATGATTTAGTAATCTCATAATAGCCTTTGAGGCACAGCACCCTCCACTTTACAATAAAAACAAGCAAAGATGGGAAAATATCCCAGACCTCTGCTGCTGGACAGAAAATGTAGAGGTGGAAATGGCAGCTTTCCTCAATAAAATTGCAGTGGTGTGCAGTCACATATTGGGTGTGAAGCCCACTCAATTTTGGACTGCAGCCTACAGTACATCTTCACTTCTCAGCCATGATGCAAAGAGGAAGCCTGACCTGATACTGCTGAGTGATCTGGTGGCAGACTGGAGATGTGTGCAATCAGTTGGGGAGATGAAATTGTCAAAGTTGGAAAAGTTGAAGGTAGATATCTTCAATCAGTTTGCTTGTGAGTTCCAGCATCTGCAATATGTTTCTAAACTGATATGTCTCTTCCTACAGCTAAAACATCAATTATTTTTGCATTGCAGGACAACCAAGAATTTGTCCTCAGCTTGGGGTTCATCCAGGATGGTCTAGAGCTATTTAAAGTTGACAGAGGTGATGCTATCACCATCCAACACATTCCCATGAATTCTCATTGGAAACTATTCTTGTGCATCATTGTGTCTTTCACAATTGCCTGTGATGAAATCATTGGATCCAGTGGCTCAAAAAACTGTCCACATGTTTTGACATTTTTCACTATCTATGATATTGTGTGAGAACGAACAAATGCCTCAAGGACATGCTTATACCACATTGTAGTATGGCTTCAGGGCTTTCATTTGAGCCCTACACCGTAGGAATCGGTGGAGATATGGTGGAGACATAAGGCTTATAAAATGATGACTCATGTGGACAGTTTTTTGAGTGTATATTAAAACTATATAAATCATTATTTATGACACCACAAAAATCATGCCACTATTATATAAATTATGAAGTGGTGTCATTATGTTATTTTATGACTATATCTAACTATATAAACCAGAATATCTCATGTATCATAGTCATAATCACCATGAAAGCCATCTCCTCTGCTCAAAGAGATAATATCCTCTCTCTGTCTTATGCTAGCCTCTCTGCTTGCCAAATTTCCTCTAGAACTGGAGTATGCAAGTCCACTGTGGCCAAGTTTATCAAAGAAAGCCACCCAGACAAGGAAAACTCTTGTGGAGGACATCCATCCAAGCTTACCTCTACTGACAAAAGGGCTATTATCCAACATATCACTACAGGAAAGGCTGATAATGCTGTCCAAGCCACCCATTATATCAATTCCACCATCATTACCCCTGTCTCTTCACAAACTGTGAGGAATGTTCTCAAGGCAGCTCATCTCAAGGCAGTAACAAAGAAGAAAAAGCCTCTTCTCTCCATCAAACATAGGCAGAGAAGACTAGCCTTTGCCTTAGCTCATCAACACTGGACTGTAGAGGACTGGAAGCATGTTATATGGTCAGATGAGACCAAAATCAATAGGATTGGGTCAGATGGGAAGGTATATGTATGGAAAAAAAAAAGGGAGATGGCCTAACAGACAGAGAGGTTAATGGGACTGTCATGTTTGGAGGAGGTTCTTTAATGGTATGGGGCTGTATGGGATGGAATGGTGTGGGAATGCTTGCTGAGGTTGAGGGGAAGATGAATGCTGAGCAGTATGTGGACATTTTAAATGACCACTTGCTGCCTAGCTTGGCAGAATCAGGGATTGATGAAGAAGATATCATTTTCCAACAGGATAATGATCCCAAGCACACATCCAGAAGAGCTAAGGAATGGTTTGAAGAACATAACATCAATGTTCTTGACTGGCCAGCACAGTCTCCTGATGTCAATGTCATTGAACATCTCTGGGGAACACTTAAGAAAAAGCTTCAAGCCTATGAAAACCCCCCTAAAGGAGTATGGGAGCTTTGGGAGAGAGTAGCAGTGGAATGGGGGAAGATCACAGCTGAGGATTGCCAGAAATTAATTGAGAGTATGCCTAGAAGGATAGAGGCAGTAATTAAAGCCAAGGGAGGTCATACAAAATACTAGAATACCTGGTTATTATTGTAAAATACTTGAGTCAAAAAACTGTCTGCATGAGTCACCATTTTGTGAGCCTTGTATCTCCACCATATCTCCACCGATTCCCACGGTGTAGGGCTCAAATGAGAGCCCTGAAGCCATAAAGCCATACTACAATGTGGTATAAGCATGTCCTTGAGGCATTTGTTCGTTCTCACACAATATCATAGATAGTGAAAAATGTCAAAACATGTGGACAGTTTTTTGAGCCACTGTATACTGCACAAGATCTCCATTGATGGTTTGCATCACCCCCAACTCAATGGCCTCTGTGCACCAAGTGCTGCACAACTGTCATAAAACAACACTGGTGACTTTGCAGGGATTTCAAATGGGTTGGGGGGATCATGAGGGGGAAACAGTGATTCTGCAAGCTGGCATTTCTTTGCTCTGATGTTCTCAAGATTTCATTACATACAGTAGTCCATGTATTAGAAAGCAATCATCAATCACGATTTTGTTAAATGTGGTATTGCATTGTGAGATGCAAGTGACAGTAAATTACTATAGCCTCTGTTAGTACAGGTAAAAACAGAACCGACATAATATCATATTCACTACCATTCAGCATCTTACAGAACCAACAATCATAGCAGGCACACAGTAAGCATGTCAGCTCAGCTTCATTCCTTGGCTGTACAACATGCTTACCATGACAAGAAGCACTCTGAGGATCCACTACTTTGTGGTGAGGATTCAAGGACAACACTTAGCACACAATAGTTGGATTTGGGTTATTTATGCTGTGCAGATGACAGACAACAGAAGGGTGCTTGTGAATAGAGGCGGGGAGATGGTAGGGAGGAAGAAAGGTGGAGCAACAGCAATTTGGCCCCAACAATATATGTAGCCTTGGGGTCCGTTGTGCTTTATAGCCCGCAATACTAATGACAAACTTAATGGACTTTCTGAGACAGAGGTTGTACTCAGTGATGCAAAGTTTGTACTTTGTTACAGTAATGTCAAAGAGATATGGAAGGAGCTCATCCTGACATAGTACTAATACCATAATTCACATCTCAACAGATTCTGCCTTGTCACAGCAGGTTCTTACTTGCTAGGATTTAATATTTAATATTCAATAATTGTTTGCCTTTGATTACATACACATTACTGCTTACTTTACCCTGTTGGAAGGTCATGTGACTCCAAGTTGCTATTAAGCGCCACATTTTCTCGCCCATTACAGTTAACATCATTTGCTTTGTTAAGAAGTTATGTGGCTTTTTCACAGTGATGTACATTTTGTGCAGGGATGGTTGATCACTTGCGCAGTCACTGGGGATAATGTCTTCATGGCATGATATGTCTTAGACATGCCCTTGAGACTGTATCCTTCTATCTTGTCTCTCACATCAGACCCTTACATGAGTGATCATCACTGAAGCTGCCTCTGCTAGAAGTGATGCACATTTTGTGTGAGGATTGTTGATCACTTGTGCAGTCACTCAGGACAGTGCCTCCATGGCATGATGTGTCTTAGACATGCCCTTGAGACTGTATCATTCTATCTTGTATACTACATCAGACCCTTACACGAGCAATCATCCCTGAAGCTTCTTCTTGAAGTGATGTACATTTTGTGCAGGAATTGTTGATACTGTATAATTCTTTTCCATGTGCTATTAGCTATTGCACTAATGCCAACCACAATGCAATCAATGAGTCCATGACTTCCTTTGTCTATAATTGATGATATACACTGTGTGCAGGAATCTTGATTGCTTTTTCAGGCACTTGGCACAGTGCCTCTATGGCATGATGTGTCTTGGATGTACCCTTGTATCTGACATGTGTGCTCTGTAAAGTGATGTCAATATGAAGCTGAGGTTCATGACTGAGTAGAAGGTCACAATTCCCTTCCAGATTTTGTCTGCAAGCAGCACAGTCTCAGGACACCAGCCAGGGGTGCGGGATCAAAGGCAGGTCCATTGCATATCCACACACACTCGTGTTGTCCTCCCAGAATGTGCTTAAATAGTATTAAATATGCTTTGATTGCTTGGTAGGTATTATGCAGAATACAACTGGTATACAAAAGCAGCTGGAAATCCAGGGAAACTGATGTGAAACAGGTGGAGTATACCTTGAAAACACATTCAGAGCCAAGCAGAAAGGAAAAAGACAGCAGAGTGGGTGCAAACATTGAGAGCTGAGCAAAAAGGAAGTAGAAAACAGAGTGGATTGACAACATGTCAAGAGCAGACAGTGGAGGAGATCAAAAATAGGAAGTAGATAACACAGCAATAAAGGTGTGGTAGGTGCTGGTAGCAGAATCGAGACAGGTTGAGGAAGCACAAGATGGCTGATGCTGTGACAGGCTGATAGATTTGGCCCTCACTGACAGTCTCATTCCACATGTCATTGGACACCTGCAAAAACTTTAATTAGTATCATAGACAACTGAGTGGATACAACATACCAAATTCTTGGCTTCCTTGTTGTATTTCTCAAAATTGAGCAAATAAGAGTTGGTCAGCACATATAAGACTCAGAGTAGATGATTTTTCCCAAGATGATCTGATATCAATGTCCCATAGTAGGCATTGAACTCATCTGTTGAATATATGCACACAAGGCAGCAAAATTGTGTACCTCCCACTACTTGAACCAGGACAAGACAGGGAAATTGTGACTTACTTGTTGTCAGCCCACTAGCCAACACACAAGGAGAATAAACTTATGGATATGCAGAGGGCTGTTGACAGCAGCAGAAAGATGGTGGAGAAGAAGAAAGGAGGGGCTTCAAATGTTGGGGCAAATACTTTTTATAAACTTCAGAGATGCGGCATATTGTGCAATCTGATAAACTTTGCCCCAAAAAAGAACAATTGTCGACATTGAGCAAAGAAGTGTGGAGTTGTGAATATGCAGAGTGCATATGCATACACAGTTAGCCTTTTGTAAATCCAGCACTTTGCAGTTGAAGATAACATGCAAACGTGAGGCGTTTCAGGGTGTTGCAAGTGTTTTTCATTATCAAATCACAAATGAGCTCATCCAAGCACATTCCATCACATGACCAAAAGGGTAATCCACATTTCAACATAGACAGCCCAATCTGAGCACAACAAGTTCTCACTGGGCTTGATGAATGGTGCTTACATGACAGTTAGGCAGATTAACAGATGTTTCCATTCACTATATTTACATCAAATACATTGAATACATCACCATACCTAGCTCTTGTTTGGTAAGGTTTTGGATGATTTGCCAAGTGACTGGCCGATATGGGGAGCTAATCAGTAGGTGAACATTCCAAGCCAGCAATTTTGTATCTTCCCACATGAAATTGAACCAAATTTGAACCATGATGTGTCCCTCACCATCCATGGCATACATCCTTCAGCTGATGGGCTGCATATGATTATGTTTTAGCTTTCAGTATCCTCTACTAATTTTCATCCAACTCACTCACCACAAGTGCATCTAATTCCCACATACAATAAATTATGGCTCACACCTCCTACAAAGTTTTATGATGGTGCAACACACATCAGTGTGCCAAAAATTTTATGTGAGCAGATCAATCTCTTTCTACAGCCTTCCATAATTACACTCAACTTGCAATTTTCAATTCAGCATGTTGACTTGGTTATACAGTGCTCCATTATGGCAACATATTTTTGGAGTGAATACAACAAGAGAAATGCCATACAAACATAATTAAGAAACACTCTTGACATGATGCACATACCACATTCCCTGCATCAAGCCTCCAGGCACCTCCAACACCCCAGACACACCCACAAGGTCACTTTCCCAAATCCAAATCTGATCTGCATTCCAGACATCTTGCAACATCACCTGCCATCGCCATCGTTGATTCTGATACCAGACAGAATGGTGCACCCAAGTGCAGAGCATGTGTCTGGTGTTCATCACACATAAATCAGATCATGATATTGCAATACCAAAGTAGATATATGTTCTTCATAGATCCATTAGGCTAGTTCGATTTCAATATGTACTAGGTCTAGACACATGTTTTCTTACTGTAACTGCTACCAATGAATTGTTTTTGCTGTTCTCCTTGTGTGATTCCTCACCTCTTCTCTTTCTTTGTTGAATTAATGTAATTGTTGGCTGAACTGTACACCATGAAGTTAACTGCCTTTGCAGCATGGAAATGTCACATGACCGCATGTTGCATTCACATTGGGGTTATCAATATTTAGGAGAGGTTGGAAACTCCAGTGATGCAGAGGATATATCAGAAATCAAATTATAACCAACTGAAGATTGACTGGAGATGCATCATGTTAATGTTGCTGGCACTGAGACATGGTTCAAATAGATGTAGATCAATATCTACTAAGTTGCAGCATACCTTCATGGCCATTGGAGTGGCAATGGTACTCAAAAGCAGTGATACAGTTAGGTGATTGATTGATTTCTTAGGTGCATTCTATAACCTCACCTCCTTCCTAGTGATCCTTTGTTGGGTGCCGATTATAGCATTCAGTCAAAACAAGTTGATGCATTCCAGTATGGGATCAGTATTACATAATTCAATGGAAACTGACTGAAGCTGCTGATCAAACAGGGATGAGATGTGTGGTGATTGGGAAGGAATCATGTACCCATTGGGTGTCATGTACTATTTTTCCTGCAAGACAGTAAGTAACACATGATCATATTTAACTCAATGTCTCTTACGTTGCACAGAAGATGTATATGGCAGCTGACATAAGGAGGTACTCACACAATCAACTGCAGAACCTTGATAATTGGATACATGCAGCATGCAGAAAACTGTGAGAAGATATGTGGTTCCTGGTTGTTGAACCTATTACAAAGCAGGACAGTGATCACTATGAATATTACTGTGCAGACACAAAGCAGCATGTCATTGCTTGGTTTGATGCATTTGATGCAAGTCTGCTTTTTCAGGAGTGTGTTCACATGTGAGTGAAACCATAAATGTAAGCTACAACATCTTACCAATGCACACTACAATGTTCAACTCAAATATGTAGGTCTTGAGCTTGAAGCACAATTTTGGTAAGAAATATTGGTCCATGAAATAACACCACTTGGATGTTGACATGCATATAAATTAGGAAGCATGTCGATTTCTTTCCATGTCATTACAAAATGAGGCCTTCTGATGCAAATGAGCTACAAGCTCAGTTGGAATGGTTTTCAGCAGGTAAAATATGGTTCTGCATACACCATGGAACTGAATTAAACATACATTGTAGAAGGACTGACCTTAGAACAATCGACAGCAGCTTTATTGTTTCAGAATAATGAGCAGATGGAGAAAATAATATCTTGTATCATCAGATTTGGTATGTCACTTGAATATGATGGTTTTGTTTTTGAATGGAATGGTGTAGGATCTCATCTGTTGTCCAATGATTTCATGACTGAGCAAGGAGTAGCATTTTGTGGTACGTCTGCTTTGCCCACTTATATGGTGAAATAAATAGAACCTACCCATAATAATCATAGGAAGGATATAGAGCATCTTGTGTAGGTTGTTTATGACCAATGCAGTTAAAGTTTTGTATTAACTCATAGGGTCATGGATAAGGTCATCATCATCAATTTTTAAACTACTATGGTCTGCTAGAAGCTTGTTTGATGTGGTCTCACTCCATAGACTAATCATAAGCCACCAGTGTAGCTTTATCTACTCTCAGCTTTCTTGCAGGAATATTCACAACCCCAGGTCATTCATTAATCATGACAGTTCCATGCATAATCACCATGACCATCCTAGGAGGTTTCTTCTTTTGGTTGTCAGCCATTATATTCCATCAGCATATGGGACACAGAAGCAGGACAGTATATTAAGTGTTGTTGTGATGTAGACCATGGGATCTGAGGTCCTAATGAGAAGTGCCCAGGTATGGAACATAAAACATGCACTAAGCCACTGAAACATAGTGACAGCTGCTACACATTGTAGAACCACAGCCTGCATAACTTCATGAATATATATACAGAGGCAGATTGATACAAACAACTGCATAGTTCTACATGATGTTGGGCATAAAACATGCAATGAGTAATTGTCAATGTTCAGAAAAACTCAGAAGCACATATTCTATGCAAATCATTCCCTTGAGAATGCTGAACCCTGAAATCACACATGAAAATCAATATTGACAAGTGTTTTAGTTGTAAATAAAAAGAGACTCACCCTATATCACATAAACCTCACAATCCTGGTGACATGAACGCATCCACATCATACTTTGTGCCAAGACAACTGAGCACAGTTGCTCAGGTGGTCAAGTCCATGATTCAGAGATGATGACATTTCATGTGAAACGTCTGTCTTGACAGTGGATAGACGCTCAGTGTTTATAGCATCAAAAATGTCATGCTAGAGCTTCAGTCTGTTGTAAAGTGGTGTACTTACCCAACATATAATGAAAACTCACTATAAGTCATTCTCCTTCTCTCTTTTGTGCACTGACACTGTGTGAAAAAAGATCATGCGCCATCTATTTAAAATAAGAAGGGTTGTGATACTCCAGCATGTCAGAATGTTCAGATTGACATGCAACTTGCCTGATTACTGTGGATACACAGTTGAGCAGTATTTGCTGAATGCAGGAACAATGTGATCTTCAGATTTATACAAGAAAGATTTTCCTGATGACGCTTAATGAGTCTTGAAAATTCAAGGGTTGTCACCCAATTACAGTGAGAGAAATGGTCAAACAATTGTTGAGAAATTCAGCGCACAAGTCTCAAAAATGTGGAGACTTCCACAAAGAATAGATTGTCTGAGAGTTGACGAGTGTCTCCTTCCACAAAGTTCAAGATAACAGCAATTGTGGGATGAAATCAAGCCTTCCTCCACTCTATTGACAAGTGTTGTCCTTGTGAAGCAGTGGTGGTGTTTTGCATGATGTGGTTAATTTATCTTGCTGTTTCATAACTGATGGGGATGGACTTACTGTGGTTAGGCTCATGAAATCTGGCCTTTTCATCAGCTAGCTCCAAAAATAACATTAATGCACATCCAAGATCATCCCATACATAGCCTTCCAATGGTGTGAATCATCTTAATTATTTGGACTAAATTGAAAGTTAGTCGTGGTTTTGTCATGTGTCCCATTCACATTGTTCCATTCTGCGATCTACTGCTTAGCAAATCATTCGCACCTGGCCATTTGTTACTCACTGCTGTGATCTGTGTCAACTTTCCTTGCAGCTTCATTGTCCAACCCTGATGTACATGCACATTGTCCATTATCTTTGCTAAGGTGTAGAACATGTTGATATACTGCAAGCCAAATCTCCGATGAACAAGATTTTACTATTGTCCTGCTCAGCAACTGAGTCTGGTTTGTTTTCACTTGTCAGGTTCAATTGATGGGAGGGAACATCAGACCTGCCAAACCAGGCAGCTGGTTTTCAGGTTCACTATCTGAGTAGAGTACTGTACTTCACTTCACTCATGGTAACCCAGCAGGGCCTATAGTTCTAAAGAAGTTACCCATTGGTTGTTAATTGTATCTAGATTCTAATGTACAATGTTGTGGCTGCAATTGATGGTTAGAGCACAGTCCTGGAGTTTGAAAGGCTGAAGTCTGACTGCATGTGTGGGATGACATTAGATAATCCAGATATATGCAGTGTCCATGAGTGGTGCATGCCACGGCAAGTTCTGTAAATGGTTTGCATTCATACATTTAGACACCCCAGACTCTTGATATCCGAGCACTGATCACACTGAGTTATGCTGTAAAGCCTCACTATCACAGTAGCACTGTACAATCATGGCAATGAAGATATATCTGATGTTGAAGCCCATTCTCATTGAGAAGATTACATGATCTGAAGAAGCATGCAAGATGATTTGCTCGATGCCAGTTATCCAATATCAATTAATCAAGCAAAAACTAAATGTCCAGTGGGATTTAAACAGTTCAAGCATCAGCAATCCCACTTCAATGACTGTAGATGCTGACGATACACATATATATAGCTGACTGTTCCTTCCAACTGTGCATACCCACTACTTGTACTCTTGCACCAACATGGTGTCTATGTGAAGATGCTTCAAAACAGTGAACCAAAAGTGATGGAGGATCACATGGATCCAGGAGATTTACAGCTGTATGAGAGCATGGCTGTGTACTTGAGAGACATCATACTTGCATTCAAGGAGGAGTGGGAGGATGAGGGATATACACTGAAATTTTGTTCAGCCCACTTGGAGTTCTATATGGCAATGGTACTAACAGGTGGCACTTTCAATGATCAAAATGTGCAGAAGGTGAAAAAGAGGTTCAATGTCACATGGAATAACTTTGTAGAGCATGTGGAAGTGACAGATGTCCGGAAGCATGAGTAGATTGCCACTCATCTGTCCATGACCACCATACTCATCATTCATTATATAAGTGGATAGAAACGAGAATGCATATCATGAATTGATCTGTGGCAAGGACAAGAACATGTGTGGTCTGGACAATTTCCCCAGCATCAGCCATACAAAGGAGTCATTCCATATGATTGAGAGATTTATCAAGGATTGGGAAGCTGCATGGGCTGCAAAGAACATGTTGTTTCAGCCTGAGGGTGGAGAACAGCAGGAACAAACTGGCAAGGAGAAGGAAAAGCAGGCCACTTGTACCGTGCAGGAGGTGAGTGTATTAAACATATGACAGGTATTGTTCTGAAATATGTATGTAATCATGGATTGACCAGAGCCCTGCAAAGAGCACAAAGGGTAAAGATGTTGTCCATAACATGCACAAAGTAGGTACCTATGGCAGCCTAGAATTCAACATGCTAAATCATTTAGAAGGATCAGAGAACATCAATACAAGAGGATAAAAGCACAAAGAACAGCCAACACCTTGTCCAGAACACATTGGCAGTGAGTAGTTCTGTGACTTACAGGATGATGCTCATCATGCAATCCTGAAATCCTTCATATCCAACTCATTCCCAGATCCCCTTCCGCTGTGTGCTCCACACCTCAGCAGGATCGACTATGCTCCGGATTTACCCCTGAGCTCCAGACCATTGGATCTCCACTGCTAGCCTGAACCATAACCCCCTGTCCCATCCACCCTATGTACACTCCATCCAGCAAAACATTCAGACTTCACCTCATCTCGGATTCTGGACTCTATCCACCTTCTCATATCCTGGTCCTGTATCCACCTTGTCTTCTGGATCCCCAGATCTCCGGACTTCTGGATATTAGCTCTGGACCTATTCCCACCCTCTGTCTGATATCCTGCGCCTATCCCCATTTAGGCATTCTCTGCTTTCCGGCTTTCGGTTACCTCTTGTTCTGTCTTGCTTATTGATCCTTGTATGAGTCTTCATCTCCGAGTTCATTTACTTATGTTCCATCTTACTTACTAATGTGTTTCCACATGCTCGTACATAGCCTTGCTCCATTGCTTACTGATCCCCTCAGATACTGTTCAGTATATAACCCCTGTAGATACTCCTGTAGTTCCTTAGTTTGAATATCAACTTAGACTTGCCCAATCCTTTCTCAGACTTTGGTCCAGCTAAGTCTGTCCTACCCATCAGGCCTAGGGATTGATTCCCTAGGCCGGAGCTCTGCCTTTCCAGCACTTACCCTCTTTCCGGACTTAGGTCCAATCCCTGTCTCTCCAACTCTACCTTAGGGTAGTCTACCTCTGTTTGTTTCTACATCAAACTTCGTCCGATGTAGCCCCTATTCCTTCTGGACCTTTGGACCTCCTATCCTTCCACCCTGTTTCCTGTAGAAGTATTACCTTGCAGTGGGAACTCTCCTGAGCACTTCCTGTGTTCCTCTGGAACTCTCCCACGCTCCTCCGGACATTTCCTGCGCTCCTCCGGAAGTCCCCTAGCACTCTCCAGCAGAGTAGCCAGCCTCCGGAAGTCCTCTGGACTTCATCGGACCATCATCAGACCTCATACGAAATGAAGGGCACATACTCAGGTAAGGGGCACAGCATACAAGCTGAGGCCAAGCCCCTTTGAGTCAGTCTCTCTCCCCCTTGAGCAACATGGTTCTTAACAATGAGTCAACACCTGATAAGGATGACAATGATGGTAGTAATGCAGGAGAGTCTTCATGTGATGCCAATGAAAATGATGGATCCATATCTGAGAACATGCATGGTATGAGCAAGATTTCCCATTTTCAAGGACAACAAGCCCCCATTGATCATCTGGTCATTAGCAGCTACATGATTGAAGGTGATGGTGTATCACAAAATGCAATGAATGATCATGGGGATTGCATGAACACTGACATTTTGAATGTATCTGCTAATGAGATGGAAATGGTGGCAGTCAATGATGGAGACAGTGCAGATGACAACAGGAACCTGAGGGATGGCACAGAAGGCAATGGGAAAAGGAAGCACACAGGCTCTCTAGCTCTGTCTCCCCAAATGGTATCACTAATGTCTCTTGAGAAGTCAAACATAAATCTCACTGAACAATCATACCAGACTCGCAACAGGCAAAGCAATAGAAAGTGTTCAAAGCCTCTTTCCTCTATGTCATGTGTACAGTCCATCCCTCATAACCCCATCAATGCAGGGCCTCCTCAAATTGAAGTGGCTAAGGAGGGCTCACATGTCACTCATCAGAGTGAGGTATCCACTACTCAGCAGTCTAGTCAGGGAGACAATGCCCATACCATCACCACAGGACCACTATCTACTGCAGCCCAGGTATGATTGTCATATGGCAGCCTGAGTCCTAATGTGCCATTTATTAGGACTGGCTGGAGACATTTTGATCACAGATATTATGGATTCGTAACAGTAATATACAAATTGGGAATCAGGGGGAGTGAACATTTATATTTGTGGTTCCAATCACATGTAGTAGTCTACTGGTTTTATGCAATATGTTCTATCGACTATTGGAAAATGTGTCTGACATGATACCATCAAATTAGAGGTCACATGTCAATATCTTCAGCTGAATGTGGACTGGAAGGGATACAGTCATGATGGGTAATCCATGAGATGCAATCATACCATCTATTGATTGATCTCATATATAAACCAGCAAAGCCACACATGTATTATTGTTTTCAGACATGACAACTACCCCTCAATCACCTCAAACTTTGGCTCCCAGTTTATCGCCAATTGTACTGCTGTTCCATGATCTTCCCCTCCTCTGCATGCATTACACCTTGCTGTGTGGGTTATGTATTTGAAGTCAATGCATGACATACATGTTATCTGGATGAAGTACTGCAATTACTTGGAACTCAAAGAATCAGGTGTAGGATTTGAATCATCAACATCAATATCCAGGACATCACCAAACAGAATGGGTGTGATGATCCCATATGATGCATACATAGGCTTATTATTCCTTGCAGGAATTGTGTGTGTTTGTTTAGTCTTGATATCTATCAAAAGTCTTACTTGCATTTTTCTGTCCTTCTGATGGATGTTGTTTCTTCCACTGTATCTCATCATGGACATCATTGTTCACATACAAAATTCAATAAAAATCACACTGATTGTACTTTTGCATCTGAATCTAGATATCACTTGAATTATAATCAGTATCCTGGGTGATTGACATCTTGCATAGGATATGGTAATGATTTACATGACATTGGCAGAAGACAACTTACCTGTATACTCTATCATGCCTGATATGGAAGGGAATGACATGGCTGGTATATGCTGGAAAATGTCCTGGAACATCCAATTGTAAGTGCTTGCAGGTCCCCTCTGTCCAGCTGTGGAGAGCATCTTATAAGGTCAGATTCTGAACTGTGAGAGATAAATCATCCTCTCTCAGCTATGCTGTCTTCAGTACCAGTTGCAACCATGTCAATACATTATCTGTTATCAGACCCTGTCATTCTCAAAAACATTCAACGATCAGCTGAAGAGTGGAGCACTCTTTGCAAAATGAAGATCACACTTGCTCCCATGGTTCCTCAAGATTTATTGGTTATCATATTCAAGGAGAATGATTGTATTGTAAGGAGACTTTCAGCTAGGCATGTTGATTCTGAACATAGGATATGTAGTGTCCAATATCATGACTGTGCAGTAATGCATTTCAGGCAGTGCACCACCAATGGCTCAAATATGTTGAGATTGTGACCAAATATGTGGTAGAAGTGGACAAGGGCCATGTTGACCCACAAGATCTACAGCTGTACACAAGTATACTGGCCTACCTCAAGGATGTGATGTGCACATTTAAAGAAGAGACAGAGGCTTCCAGGAATGATCATTTGATTGGATTAGAGAGATCAGCACACCTTGATTTCCATTATGCATTATTGTTATCAGGTCAAACATTCATGGAATCGAATCGTCACAAGATGGAAAGGAGGTTCAATGTGACATGGATGGACTTTCTTACTGGAATGAGCATCCCAGAGCTAGCCATACATGAGTACAATTTCTGTGATGGATGTTTCTGACATCTGTCACCAGTCACTGTTCCCTCAGCCTTTCATGTGCTGCTATGCGGCGAGGTTGAAGATTTTTGTGGTTTCATGTCTGTCAAGCATTCTGATGCTTCTCTCAGCATGGTTGATAGATATCTTGAAAAAAGTATGATAGCTTGGTGCACATCCAAAGACTTGGTATTGCATGGTCAGGCCATTCCAGATCTGGGACCTTCAGAAACTCAGGAGAGGTTGGTAATCAGGCTGCCAGCTATGGCTAAGATGAAGAACTGCAAGAAGGAGGACACTGTGACAGAGACCAGAGCTCCGATGAGAAAGGGAAAGGAAAAGGCACCCATACAGGTGGACATAGAAGACGTACCATCACAGTCAACTTTGTCGGATGCAATGGCAAAATCAACACAGCACTGCACAACCACTGTCAATCAGACTGTCAAACAGTTTGGTACCCTGACAATATCGATTGAGAAGGACAAGAGCATTGGAACACAACCTAGGCATATGTGAACATCAAAATCCCAGACATTGACAATGGAAACTCGTCTAGAGGCAGGTCAGCATCATGTTCAGAAGGATGGAGGCAAAAAGTCAAGAACAACAGTTGGAAATGCAAGCATCCAAGAGACTTCCAAGTCAGTTATATCCAGGGTGAGGGAAGTGAATGATGATGTGCCAGTGGAGAGAAACAGTGTGAGAGGTGTCATTTCCTCCAACCACAATAATATCTGATTCTTCTGCAGTCTCCCATACCAATTATCAACCCACTCTGAAGGATCAGTAACCAGGAGATTCTATGATGAGCCACACTCTTCGCAGATGGGATGACTGTTGCCAACAATATGTTGATCTGGTCGGTCAAGGAGTATTGCATCCTCACTGGTGTTCCATTAGCTGTGGACTTTGATGAACAACTCATGTTGCAGAGCCCAGAGGAGGCCTCATTCAGACAGCATGATTCATATTTTGAGGCCCTTGGGCTTGAATGATTTTACATTGCATTAGCTCACATGGAGCACAGTCCTTACCACCTCGTCCATCTTTTCCATGCACTGGGGAAGGCCGCCCTGGAGACAAATCTATTATCAGCAAGTAGCTCCACAGTTGATGATGTGGACCCATTGCTGTGACTGAGATCAAAACAGCCAGAAGACTCCCTTGATGATGACATTTTCCTATTGTCCAACAGTAGCTCCATCGTCTGTGCCACTGATAATTGTTATGAACTTGGATAGAGCGTCGTTCCAATAAAGGAATCAAGATCAGGGTCGATCAAGGACTAAGCCTTATTGAGTCAATGCCTCTCTCAGGAGCAATCGTCTAGACTCCCGCAGGATCTAGAGTTCAAATGAGACAATGGCTAGCCTCCTTCCCAAGGAGCTAGAGTTCAAGTTATCAGAGAGAACCAAGTAGATTCAAGTTAGAGAGAATACAAGTGGTAGCTAGGGTTTATATACATAAAGGAATCATGCACAGACCAAGCTGGGCAAAGGGTAACTAGTACTAGAAATGGAAGGTTCATGGGAAAATAGGGTATAAGTCAGAGATAAAGGAGACCATGAGGAAACAGCACAGTGAAAAGGAAGTGTTAGAAGTACAGCAATATAGGAGTCCGCAGTGATGATGGGAAAAAAGGTGGGGCACTGTAACAATAATTTGCCAAGACTGAGATCGAAGCAGTTGGAGGAGTCTGATGATGATGATATTATCATTCTTAATGATGAAGATGTTGAGTTTTTACAGGATGATAGAGCTATAGGCAAGGATTGTGAAATCTTCATTGTTGACCATGATATCAATCAAAGCACTGATGAAGACACTCACATGGTATGCTCTGGCCCACTGATAATGAACACAAATTACAGCACAATCAAAGACCTAGAAAGGTTATGCAAAGATGTTGCAGTGGAGGGACAACAGAAGTGAGTAGAATCACGCACAATGTCCCTCCTGAAGGTAAGTCACAACTGAGTGACCTTATTATTGCAGATGCTGACTCCTCTACCTCAGGGAGAAGGGGAAAGAGGACCTAGCAAGTGATCTAAATGTGTGGTAGACCAGAGATCTGTTAGACAGTCAAGCCCCATCATAAGGTCAACCCCAGGACCTCTTACCACACATGTGTCCCACCAGGTGTGTAATAGCATGCCATATGTGTTGACAGGACACACTGAAGGTACAACTGAGGTGAGTATAGTATGCATTGCTGATAAATGGAGGTCCATTCATTTCTATTATTGTCCACATTCACAGAACTTCATGCCTGCTCCTTAGCCCATCTCAGATGACTCAATGGTTCAGGTGTCAGGAACAATACAGGGAGGTGCTCCATATGGACCAACTAATGAAGAGACCAAGGTATGAGGGATCCCATCTATTTATGACAACTGCACACTATTGATCAGACCTGGTTCGAGAAATGGATGCAACAGGATTGACTTACCAGGAACCCATGCCATCATTAATCTAGACTCCTGTTTTATGTAAATAGGTGTCCAGATCTTGAATATGTACCCATAAAAATTCTGCTCTCCTTTGTACTTTGAGAGTCATATTATTCAATGGTAACATATGAAAATGAGATGATGCAGGAGGGAATAAAACATAAATACAGTGTCAAGGACACAATATATTATTGATACAAGATCACAGCAGGTAATCTGATATAAACATTGAAAGGACAAGACAAGTGTGAATTTCTATCCATCTCCTAATCTTCTTCAGTCTTGATCATAGCTGCTAATAAACCCATCTCTTTTACCATTGACTCTGATTTCACCCTCTGTGAATGATTTCCCTCCTCCACCCTGGCAATTGTCTGTTCTAGCTGCTCTTCTTTGACTGTATCTAATTTTACATCAGTTGGAGGCACCTGCAAGTGGCCTTTGGCATCTGGTTGCACAATCTGTGCCATGTATTAGTAGGTACCATTCATAAAAATTTGATGCGACACTCACTATATCAGGTATGTTTGGCTCAGGTTGATTTATGACCTCTGGTTGGCGTGCTTTGTCGATGAGCACTGGCAGCATAGCAATTGCATGGAGGCTGCTGCAGGTACTGCAGAATGGTGCATCACCATAGACTGTCCTCAAGTGATTGTTCTTCTGGAATGTCAGAAACACATATAAGAATAAAATAGTACTCACCAATCACTCAGCTCTCACATTTTGAGACAATTGTTTTTTGAGAGTGTGCACTTTGGCAACCTGTAATCTAGTGATTGGTGGCATTATATGGCGAGGGATTATTATTCAGAGACAAATATATTTGGCAAAGTTGAGACAAGTGATGGATTTGTGATGGACAGATGATGGATGGATGATGGACAACATCCAATTGTGGCATGTTTGGTTGTATTTCTGACACATTCACACAGTCCTTTGGTGGACTTTATAACTGGAACATTGTTGTGTGGTTTGTTTTTTCTTGTTTTTAGCATGTCCATTGTTTTTGCTAAGTCTTTCATTCCAACTTTGCATCCAAGTCCATTCTAGTTCTCATCTTATATTACAGTTTCTTACTGCACATGGGTCACACTACAAATGAATTTGCTCCATGTGCACATGTGGTCCTATTACATTATCGCAGACAAAGAAACTCGCTGCCCATTCTCAACCTATGACCCAAACTTTGCTTGTTGTGGCTTGCCAGTAGTTGAAATCAACAGGAAGTCCTGATCATTGATTTGCAACATTATTAGTACATCCCACACTTGCTTAGTGCCATCCACCTCTCACTGCCATCCTTATCTGAGTACCCTCTGTCTCTTAGTGTTGTCCATCTCTCACTGCCATCCATCCCTTGATGCCATTGATATCTGACCACCATCCATCTTTGACTGTTATCTTCATCTTAGTTCCATCCATCTCCTCCTGCCATCCAGCTCTCACATCCATCTCCCAGTGTATTAGTACCATCCATGTCTCAGTGCTCTCCATACATTACTGCAATACATTTACTGCTTTATGACTCATACTACTGCCCATCTCTGGGTGCAATTAATCTGTTTCTGCCATCAGGATGTCAGTGCAGTCCATATCTGACTGCAATGCATGTCCTGTCATCTGTCCCTCATTTCTGTCCATGTCTTACAATGTATTTGGTTCCACTGCCATGCCACATGATGTGTCACTCCATCACCCTCACTTTTTATGTGTTTGGCAGTCTCACTGCCATCTGTCCATTCCTACTGCAGTCTCTCTTCCTCCCATGTCACTCCTGTCCATCTGTCTGGGTGGGTTTGATTCATTGGTGCCAGGTGACATTTTTGTGGTTCAACCATGTTCAATTCATCTCACATCAGGTAGAGGAGCGACAATTGAAAGTGCTCTCTTTTGATTTATTCAACATGCAGCCTCCAATCCACCTGTTACAACTAATTTTTGATGGCTACAACCATGCAAAAACTGAATTCAATGCCAAGCCTTCTCATGACATACTGATTTGAGTTCAGAACCATTGTTCACGTCTACCTTTACCATGAGATGAAATGGGATATCACTGCCCAGCAACAGCACTTGATGTCCAGCTGCCATTGAGCTGCCATGTGCTGCTGCTGAAAATTCATTGACAGTGATGCCTGACTTACAGACAACAGTTGACAATGTGTCTATAAAGCATGATTGACCATTGGAAAATCTTGTCATGAAAGTTGGCTATGATGCACATCATGTCACGACATGGGATGAGCCTAACCAGTGAGTAAACTCTGGATGGTAGTTGCATTTGTGCTTAGTGCCTTCCAGATGTGTAGCATATGCTGCCTCTTCCCACCAGAACTCCCAATGGCACGCACCTCTACACATCATTGTGACACCATGCTTGTTGTTGCTGTGACTCTTGTTAATGTTGTGTGTAGTACAGTGACAAAGAATGGACCCTGTGAGTCCCATAGTAAAATTTGATTGTAGATGTTGTATGATGGTACTGCTGTGCACTATGTAAATAATATGTATACCTAATGTGTCTGATGGAAAGATTATGTATGAGGGTCAACAGTGATCAACCAAGAAGCATACACTTCTGGATCACAATGCCTTTCATGAAGCAGAGACCAGGGCATTCAAAATAGATACCAAGGCACATGTGAAGGGACATGAAGGTGAAGGAGGGTATATAACCAAATTGCTTGGTCTATCTATGGTGAATCTAGGTATATGAATGGTGAATTGAGCGTGCAGGAGTGTTGTAAGTATGGTTGCTGAAGTTACAGCTCAATTGCTCAGTTTAAAGTGTACATTCCAAAACAGATACAATGCATGATGTGGAACAACTCCAATGCAGAGTCCACTTCAGATAATGACCAAATTCAGAACAAGGGCTATAAAGGACAAATGAAGTATATATATGTACATGGATGTCATGAGACTAGTTGGAGTACCAGTGATATGCAACATTCAAATAGACATATACCATAGTCAATATATCATGTGCAATTGATGAGTGATCTTTGGGCAGCATGGACAATATTGCATACCATCCTAAGAGAGACAGTGCAATGAAGTTGAAATGTGAGTCACATCAATAGAAAAGTCAAAGTAAAGCAAGGCAGAATAACAGAAAATAAAGCAAAATAAAGCAAAGACAACAAGCACTATGAAACCCAAACAACAAGCAGTGCCCAAGACCACAACAGCAACAAAACAGCCCAAATCAAGCAAGGTCGAGCAATAAAACTGCAATAAAATCCAAATATCAAGCAAAATAAAGTCAAGTCAAAATGAGACTCTGTCCTCAGCCAATGCATCACCCCCCAGACAAGCACAAAGACATGGGTATGATAAACAACACTACAAAATCAAAGACACTCCACAAATCAAATCAAGACACAGGACAAGGACAAGGCAAATCCCTCAAAGCAATACAACAGCAACACCACCAGTCAATCAAGAAAATGCACCCCAAGACAATGGAGAAAATAGTGTACACATATGCTAACACCATCTCATCAATAAACAAAACAAAAGAGCAAAGATCACAATAGTCACCACCACACAGATAATCTCATACACACATGCTGACACCATTTCCAATCAAAAAGACCAGGATCATGATAGTCATCACAACAGAGATAATAGCATACACATACACTAATACCATCTCTCATCAAAAAGACACAGAGTGCTCAAGTCACAACAACAGAGAAAATAGCATATGCACATGCTATAAATGCATGTCTCATAACTGGCAGGGGTACCAGTCATGCGCAATGCTCAAAATTGAATAGACACAGCAAGCCACCAAATCCAGCACCACTCCATCATAAGAGCATGATTGATAGTCACGACGAGGGAGATGATAGCATATGCATATCTTGACATGATTTTTCATCAAAACCAGGAGAGCCACAGCACAAAAAGCAGCACAAAAACAGTAAAAATCAAGCAAAATGAACCCAAGACATCATGAGGATCTGACCTTAGCCAACATGTTGCCAAAGACAAGGACCAGGACAACCAAGACTACGATAGCAATAAAACAACAAAAGTCAAGCAAAGATGAAACAAACAAAAACAAGAAAGACCACAATAGCAATAAAAACACCACCCTAGCCAGTTAGCTTTCTATCTATTGGGATAAAGTATCTATGGTCCCATAGATTTTCTCTGGATGAAACATCTTAATTTAGGTAGTAAAGAGAACAGAGGAACGCCAAGATCAATATTCTGTGGGAAAAAGGGAACACCATGTCTTTATTTGGTTAGGAAGGGCACAAGGGAACAGGGAACATTTGTCATTCTTTGTGGGACAGAGGGAACACATTATATCTGTCACCCTTCATTCTCTCACTTGGCTTTTCGCATTTTTGGCAACCTAGGTGCCTTCTATCAATTCTACCCTTCCTTTCATATCTTCAGATCATTTACTGATATCAGAGCTATTCTTCTTCCCTTTCTCCCTCTCCTAGCTTCATTCTCCCCATCTGAACACCATATCTAGCCCCAAGAACATACTATTTAATATGTACATTTCTATCTAGCCATGATCTTATGATATTTTTTGCCAGAAGATAATGTTCTTGGGGTCATAGAGGAAGTGTGCTGAGACATGCTGAATGAAGAGTGTGCTTGCTGGACCCATCATCAGATTTCTGTGAACATTACAATTTGTCTCTTAAGTTGTCCTACCTACCATCAGTATTATTGGCAGAAGTCAATCTGAATTTATTTGTACTGCAAGCAAATAACATGTTTGATATTTAAAGTGTGTGTCTGAGCCTCTATGCATGCCAGAATGTCATCACAAAAATGTCTAAGGGTTGTCCTGAGCAGTGGATGTTTTCTGGAGAATCAATGATGCTGATGGGTGATGCATCACTTCCCTACATGCAATTAGGCTTCCACATACTGTATTCTCTCATGGGAATCATACTCATTTGGAACATCAAACAACTTCCTTTTGATGTACCTTGCTTGCCTATAGGCTATTGGGCCCATATCCATCTAGCCATCCAGCCATTTATCATCTATTTAGTAAACCTCCTGCCTATTCTAAAGTCTAATGATTCTTTTCTTTTCAGCATTATCCTGCCTCCTCCTAAATGCTGCTACCAGTACTACTAGCTTCCTGCACCTGCACCTGCTGCACTATGCCACTTGTCATGGCATTTCTGAGTCCTATGCCTTCTTGGAGTCCTCACAAGCTTTGCATGTCACACTGTGCCCTCTTGTTGCCTCCAAAGTTTATAAGCATTTGTTTCCTTTCTTGAAAGTCTTGCCATGATAATATTTTCACTCTCTTATCCCATTGTACTCTGTTGTGACCTCTCCAAAGCTTTTGAGCCACCCACAGACTCACCTGGCAAATCAAAAATTTGATTGCCTGCAGATATATTTTCTACTATTTCCACTAGTTTACACAAATATCTCACTCTTTCCCTGATGGTAACTTTATAATCAGCATCTACTCCATGCAATACTGCCTATTCCTACTATTTATATGTTTTGCCTGAACATAAAATATGAAACAGGGTCCAGTATTTCATTGTGTTTTCAGATATTTACTCTTGCATTCATCTAAAGTTTTAAAGCATATTGCAGCCCTCTCACTTCAGCTTCAGCTTGAGCTGAAAAACTATGCATATTACACTGGTGATGCTCAGACAACTTCAATTTTAACTGGTCAAGGTTTAAGCTCTCAAGTTGGGTACTATTTGTCCACACAGGTATGTACAAATGGTGGTAGCTCTGAATAATGAACACTTGTTCAAACACTTTTTGTTAAATCAATGGTAGACAAAACATATAAGTATTTTACTGTGAATTGGTTGTGTGTTACTCTGAGTTATATTGGGATCTGTTCATTGACCCAATAGATGTGTTGGGATCATTAGCAATAAGTTTTGCAATATATATAAGTACTTGATCCCTCAGTATCTACTGGTCTCATACTTAGATGTGTTACCCACTGGTCTGTCCTCTGACTGTGTCCTGCTCTCAGAGAGTGCATCACTGTGTGTATTCATGTTCATTCACCTGATGCTGATAGTTGTCTGGCTGCATCCCAATCTCAGACAGTGCATGTTCTTTTCTGTTGGCTTGCTTACTCTATGCTGATGGTGCTCTGGCTGTGCCCCACTCTCAGTCAGCACTTGTTCTTGTCATTTGGCTAGCTTGGCTGATAGTACTAATGATGCTCTGGCTGTGTTGTTGCTCTGCAGCATCTGTCAAGAGTCACAAGCAAGTTAAGGTAAAGAAGAAGAGCATATCATGAAAGGGCATATCATGATTTCTTCAGTGCATTCTTTAAGTCATGTTTTGTGAGCCCTGCTAAAATATCATAGTTTTCAAGTCAACTTCCAATCCACTCAAACTATCCATTGCATATAGCATCACCCAGTCTCCACCCACACTCATCTCTTCATTCCTGACCCACTCTCACTCTCACTCATGCCATGAAGCTATTTGCACTCCCTATTTTCAATTTCTTGATGTAATTAATACCAGTCTCTACATCTCTCATTGTTACATAGAAACTACCATTTGACATCACTTTTACTGGGTACAAGTGTGGGTAGAGCTCTTGATACCCATGCAGCCAATCCTTATCTGTAGCCTTCTTGATTCTAATATAAATCATTGTGTTGTCCAGAGGGTTATTGATGGCACTAGTGCCCTCTCATGCTTATTTCCTGTACTGTCACCCTCCTTGTCATATGCTCATTGTTGTTCATCATTTCATTTCATTGTCAGATTCTCTGATCTTGCATGTCCTTTGCTTGCCTTCCTTGTTGCTGCTTTTGCTTGCTGTTGTGTCACTATTATCCTATGATATTCATGTTTTCTGATCATGGGTCAAACCATTTATAATGTTGGATTATAGTATAATTCATAAGAATAGAACCAATTTTGTTATACCATTTGAACTGGTTAAATATCATGAAATATGGTGTTATTCTTAACATACCCTACCATCAGGAAAATGGGGTATGGCTATATAGCAATATATAGTGTGCTATTGTGCCATATAGTGTTATGGCAACTATATTCTGCCATCATAGATGACCAACATCAATCCCATTTCAAGCTATACCTGGCTATATAGGGGCCATAGAACTATAATGTTGGAGTCAGAGGAAGCAGAAGTGTTGGACTAGGTATGAGTGCAATGTCACTCATTATCTTATTGGCCAATGTTCTGCATGTCCCCAAAGGTCTCAGATATATATTTTGTTTTCTCTTCCTATTCTACCTGTCTGATAAAAAATCCTTGCCAGTTGTAGGAACATCTCAGTCCTTGTATCAAGACTGAGATGTGAGTATCATAGTTTTATTTCCTTTCACTACAAGCTAACAAAAGTATTTGAATACATTCTCTTCTAGCTTGTTTGGTCCCACCCCTGTCTTTATTCACTAGATATAACTCATAACCAAGTCCCAAAAAAGCGAAAATCTGAAATTATATTTCAAGTAACTGCTACAATACGTAAACTACTAACTACAAAGGAGGCAAAAATGCGAAAATTACAGGAGGAAGAGACAAGAGAGCTAGAAGAAAGAATCAGATAGGAAAGGTGAAAACAAAAGAAAGACTTACCAAATAATCAAAAATGCAGAAATTATTGAGGAGGAGGAGTGAAGAGAGCTAGAAGAAGGAAAAGGTCAGAGAGGGAAGAAGAGGAAGAGAGAAAGACTTACCAAGTAGTCAAAAATGTGGAGCTAGAACAAGGAAAGGGTCAGAGAAGGAAGGAAAAGAGAGACAGAAAGACTAACTACCATATTGTCAAAAATGCCAAACTTTATGGTAATCTATAGAATTACATGACTTCTATAGTGGTCTATATACTGTTATAGCTGGCCATAGACTATATGGCACTATGGCATGCTATGGGGACTATATTGAGGGGGGTCTTCTATATAGAGAAACAGTTTTTGTTGATGACAAGGAGTGAGTCTCCTGTTCTGAGATATGTTGCTTCCAAATTCATCATATTTCATACTATTCTAACTGCTCTTGTCACATCTGGGCATCAACATTGATGTAGCCTCAGACTCTGAACATCTGTTCAACATCAATGACAATCTTGCAGGTCCTGAATCTGTATCACTTGATGAGATGCTGTACAGCATTTTCACTCCTAGAACACAAGAAAGAAAGCATGAAATGAGTGCTGGGTGATGGAAATGATGTGTTGGAAGACTAAGTTCTTGATTTTGCAGAATTGGAGCATGCTGACCTAGGTCTTCTACCAAAATCTGTTGATGATGAGATCATGGTAGCTGACCACACCTCCAGGCTTCAGCCTGTAGCACTTTGATTATTTTGTTTGGCACAATTGCCCACAAATAGTTCTGCCTCTATTACTACACCTGACACTACCTACCACAGTCTACCAGTGTTGGATCAGCTGTTGGCAGCAGAGTTCAAAAATGTTGCTATATCATGTTTGTGATTCATCATCACACTTATGCCTCTCATACTAACTCACTGAATGCCTTGCATCAAGAAAACAGGCTACCAATGACACAGGGGCATGGTGCTTCAACCTCACTTCAAACCTGCTCGCACACAGCATTGTGCGATGACTGCAGCAAAATCTGCAGGAAATCATGCTGTTATCAGTAGGGTACTTCCTCAACCCATCTGCGATTTCTGCATCCCTGTCAGCAAGGCCAAACTCTCTATGGACCAGTGGGATGCATGTGCACCTCACAGGGTTTATTATGGTGCTCTGGAACTGATAAGCTATGGTGCAGGGGATGCTGGCCAGCTTGAATTTCTGTGGGTTCCTGCTATGAAGGACCAGTGGATTCTCAGCTATGTGCCTCTCCCTACCAGTTATCAGTCGTCCTGGGTGTATCTTTGCTACTGTGTAGAATACTGGCTTGCAATGTGGAAATGTTGGGATGGGGAGTCAAAGAAGAATCAAAAGCAGAAGAATACAAAGATGCAACAAGAGTAGGCAGGTCTGATTGACACCTCTCGCAAGAATGCTGGTGCACATTTCCTTCAAGCTATGGTTTCCAGAAGAATTGTGTTGGAGGAGTGCATGGCAAATGGTGTGAATGATGGGCAGATTAAATCACTTGATGAGTTCCTCATTCACAATCACCAAGACTGGCTATTTGTGGAGTTCAATGAGCTGCCTGACAATGCAGACAAGTATTTAGAGGCCAATCCCCTGCACATGGGGAACAAGAAGATGTTTGGTAGGCATACCTGACATGGACATATGCATCTGTGCTAATTTGCGATGGCCTCAGACATGGGCTGTGGCATAAATGTAGATGACATCTCGATGATGCTCGGTGGGACAGACAATGCATGGATGTCCAAGGGACTTGACCTCTCAGAAATGTTCAAGAAAGAGATGGATGTGGCCCTCAAGCAGCTCAAGAAGGGGGGGGAAGGGATTGACATCGCATATGATGCAAATGCAGAATTGCCAGACAAGTGGCATGAGGCCCATGAGCCTCCAATTCATTGTCAGTAGCAGACTACTTCAGTTCTCTGCCCAAACTAACATTTCTTGTGTTGCCTTGCAGGATTCACCTTGATGAACCCCTGGTCTTTTTGTACCATTGCTTGTGGGTGGAGGAGGAGATCAAATGTGAAGATTTCCTAAAGGAAATTATGGACATGATGGCCAACAACAAGACACAACACAAGTGGTCATCGCATGTTGAACAGCTGATTGATGGCGGGATGACATGGGATGGCTTTAGTAATTTAGTCACTGATGAGTTGGATTTGGAGCTGGATCGGCAGGCTAACACAATGGGTCCAGGTATGTGCATTCATCACTTCTGTGGGAATGTATACCATACCCTGATTCACAGATGGTGCTGAGCCTGACCACTGTGGGAATCATATTTCAGCTGGCCAAGCTGCTGAGTGGAGAGCAGTATGTTCAGCCCATGGGATTCTGACTTGGTTCAGTGCTCAGAGAGTAGAAATTATCATCAAAAGGGACTGTCATTCAGGCTGGTACTGACACTAGTGAAAGAGATACATGCTTAAGTAAGCAGCAAAAATGCAAACATAAGCTAAAGAAAGTGAGTGTAGGTAAAGGTAAGTAAAGTAAGTAAATCTAAGCCCAAGGAAAACTTGACTGTCACACCGCCCATTTCTCAAATTGGATGCAAGGATCACATTGTGAGCTTACCTACACAACTCAACAAGCAACCCTGAGAACACTGCCAATATATTTCTTGAGAGCATCAGCCAATTTTCTAATCCAGATGCAAAAGATTGCAAGATGTGAGATTGGGTTTTGAGAAAGGCCAAACCCAACACAGTGACTACAGTGCTGCAGAAAGCACATGATCACCATTCAAAATCATCCAATATTCGCCAAGGTATGGTTCTTGTGTACTGCATGTACCCACACCTCACATGTGTACATCATTCATTGTAGGTGATGAGCACCATGTTGCCCCACCTGAAATGGAAATCTGTTCATCAATGGGCATGCATGTGTTTCCTCTTCATTTCCTGTACCTGCAACCAACATTCATTGAATTGTTTAGATGGTCATGAGGAGGCTCCCATTGGAAGTGACAGATTGCCTGAGGTCATGGTTACACTGCCCATGACTAATCACACAGATGATATACACAAACCATCACCTGGTCCCTCCTCAGTGGCTCAACCAATTCCTCCTGCTAAAACTGTTCCATCCAACATGGGCATGAATCAGACTGAGACACCATCAGTTCAAGATAGTGAGCAATGGCTCACCGATCATCCACCAATGGTCTCAGATATGTGAATCTCTAGCTCAAGGAAGGAGGCATGGCTTCATTGAAGCACTGGTAAGAACCAAGAGGATCAGCTACCAACACCATCAAACACCCCTCCTGATCATACTCCTGATGCCATCATTGAATATTAGGATGAGATGGACATACATCCCAACTCACCATCAGATCAAATTTCTCAATTCCCTGCAGCACCTGAGGAAGATAGCCAAATGACCAGCGATGATGACTCCATATCAGAATCACTTTTTTCCCTGGTGAATGTGCAACAGGCTATCAGGTCTTACAGCCATGTATCATATCCCACAATCCAGACCCACATTCCATCATATTCCCACGCCTTCCAAGCCTACATCTAGACCACACTTCATATCCAACTCATTCCCAGATCCCCTTCTGCTGTGTGCTCCACACCTCAGCAGGATTGACTATGCTCCAGATTTACCCCTGAGCTCCAGACCATCAGATCTCCACTGCTAGCCTGAACCATAACCCCCTGTCCCATCCACCCTATGTACACTCCATCCAGCAAGACATCCAGACTTCACCTCATCTCGGATTCTGGACTCTATCCACCTTCTCATATCCTGGTCCTGTATCCACCTTGTCTTCCGGATCCCCAGATCTCCAGACCTCTGGATATTAACTCCAGACCTATTCCCACCCTCTGTCCGATATCCTGCGCCTATCCCCATTTAGGCATTCTCTGCCTTCCAGCTTTCAGTTACCTCTTGTTCCGTCTTGCTTATTGATCCTTGTATGAGTCTTCATCTCTGAGTTCATTTACTTATGTTCCATCTTACTTACTAATGTGTTTCCACATGCTCGTACATAGCCTTGCTCCATTGCTTACTGATCCCCTCAGATACTGTTCAGTATATAACCCCTGTAGATACTCCTGTAGTTCCTTAGTTTGAATATCAACTTAGACTTGCCCAATCCTCTCTCAGACTTTGGTCCAGCTAAGTCTGTCCTACCCATCAGGCCTAGGGATTGATTCCCTAGGCTGGAGCTCCACCTTTCCGGCACTTACCCTCTTTCCAGACTTAGGTCCAATCCCTGTCTCTCCAACTCTACCTTAGGGTAGTCTACCTCTGTTTGTTTCTACATCGAACTTCATCCGATGTAGCCCCTATTCCTTCCAGACCTCCGGACCTCCTGTCCCTTGTACCTCCAGGCATCCTGTCCTTCGTACCTCTGGACATCCTGTCCTCCTGTCCTTCGTACCTCTGGACATCCTGTCCTCCTGTCCTCCTGTCCTCCGGACCTTCAGACCTCCTATCCTTCCATCCTGTTTCCTGTAGAAGTATTACCTTGCAGTGGGAACTCTCCTGAGCACTTCCTGTGTTCCTCCGGAACTCTCCTGCGCTCTTCTGGAAGTCCTCTAGCACTCTCCAGCAGAGTAGCCAGCCTCTGGAAGTCCTCTGGACTTCATCAGACCATCATCGGACTTCCTCTGAAATGAAGGGCCCATACTCGGGTAAGGGGCACAGCATATGAGCTGAGGCCAAGCCCTTCTGAGTCAGTCTCTCTCCTCCTTCAGCAACATGGTTATTAACACCATGAGGGTATCTCATTCAATGAGCTCCACAACATACTGTTGACCGACATCCCTCCTATTCACATATGTACAAACTGTGCATGAAGCTCTGCGGGCACTTGATCCTTGTCACATAGACAAAAAGATACTCAATTCCTTGTTCAAGAAGTTGGAAGAGGAAGAGTTGTTAGTTGATCCAGTTTTCATCTCACATGGACAGACAACCCAGTGTGATACTTGTATTGATAGGATATTCATTTTTACTTGTTTGGGCATCTTTGTGCCATCTCCAAATGCCCTTTGGTGTGGTAAAAGTTCAGAATACCAGGAAGAAATAATGTGCTTTGTAGGCACTTTCCTCAGTGTCTAGCACTGAATGGACTTACCTCATGCAGGCTGCATCAAACACTCTGACACTAGTATATTCAGGGCACTCCCTATGTCAATACTTGTAAGCCTTGCACACAATGAGTCAGTGCAGCTCACTGATTGGCATTTGTCATCCATACTTGACTAAACAAAGTAATATATCTACATACCATATCTCTTACTTTAAGATACAAATGTCAAATTAAATAAACTTGTCCCGCAAGCAAGCACCTGAGCACCCTCTCTGCACTCAAGCAGCATGGCACTCAAAGGAAAAGGCATCCAGCAAGGCATCTCTGCTGACTTGGAGAGCTTGTAAAAAAAGCACAGCCAGTGTGTGAAATATATCAGAAAGCAGCAGTGGCCTATCAGATTGAAGCCCAGTGTGAGAAGTCACATGTCAAAACAAAGGAACAAACACAAGTGGGCAAAATTTTGAAAACAGGACTCTTGCAGCTTGTGCATGACTCTATGGTGTGTTGCATATGAAACTGCAGTATGATATTTTGAAAAATTTGGCCTTGTTGCTTTTGCTGGGCCTTTTGCATCCAAATTAGGCAAAGTGGTGTGCACTTCCCACACCATTTTGCCTAATTTGGATGCAAAAGGCCCAGCAAAAGCAACAAGGCCAAGTTTTTCAAAATCTCATACTGCACAACACACTGTAAAGTCAACTGTGACATCATGGGAGTCAGGGAAATTATCAAGGTTTGGTCAGAGATTTATTGAAGTGTCAAAAATGAGTTCATCCATATCTGGGTAACCAGGTCACAAGTATAGATCAATATTGCTTGCTCTATAGATTGAACTCCTTTGTTGGCACCATCCTTCAACTTGAATGCAATGCCTCCAAGAGCTCGTACTGCTGCCATTCACCTTGGAATCACTTGGTCTGCCCCTGGGCGCCTTGACATTGGCAGTCTGACATTGCAAGATATGTCAATTGCAGCCCCTGTCAGTCAGCCCCCAGCTGCCCATGCCATTGAATCTCCTGTTACCAAGATCACAAAAATTGAACTTGACCATCTTGGCACCTTCTGTCATTTCTGCTCAGATGGGTGTGACACAACAGTGTCCTACATGTGTGTCAAGTGCAGTGCCATTATATGTCACCAAACACAGCCAGGCAGATCTGGATGCATTGGCCATGACTTGGTCCTGAAAACTTGGGAGTTTCTGTGTCCACTGTGTGCTAATACAAACAATCACCTGCAAATGTAAGCCATTCCTCCTTCTTGACCCCTAGCAACTAACCTTTGTAATCAACAGTTGACCACAGCTACCCTAGCCATGAAGGCAGGGGCTCATGAGAAATAGTCATGTCTGTTGAAAATACCTTCAAACTTTATCACCACCTCCATCTTAGAGAATGTTCCCAGCAATACACTTGTGATCATGGACACTCACTCTGATGAGTACACTGGTATGCTGCAGCATACTGGTGGGGCTTCAGGAGGAACCAATACCATGGCTGCAGAAATCATAGAAGCCTACCTCAGTAAGCAATTCATAAAGGCAATGAAAATAGCATTATCATATGCGAGGGATGATAAGTTGGTGGAGACAACCATCAAGGGTAACGTGCCATGGTGTGATACCACACCCAAAGCGAAGGGTGGGCGACAGGGACTTATCCTTGTCACTTGTGGGCCTGCCACACAGGTCAGTCATCACTTTGACTCACTGCTGATGCTGGTGAAGGAGTAAGTGGCATTGCATTGGTTTATCACACATTCCCCCTCACATGTATCTTAGCAACATCTTTGATTTCATCATTGTATTTGGAGGAGCCTCGACCCTCCCCATGAACATTGGCCCCATGGTTCAAGCCTTTGTTCGCAATGCTACCCTGTTTAGAATACCAGATGTCTGGGACTCATTGTGTGAATTGCTTGCCTCCAGTCCAGATGTTTTAGATCACAACACCATTGTCATTGTCTATGCCTCATATGTAGAGGGGAAGCATATGGTTGAAAGCAGAGAGATAAGCAAGCACTGTCCTCCACATCATGTGTTTGGTCATGAGTTCAGTGCATGCGCAAAGGAGGGCTGCCATCCTGCAGCATCAGATAACCAGGTGTCAACAAAGAACAGCAAGGTTCGCATTATTTGTGCAAAATGTCAATGGACATCTGCCTGGGTGGCTATTGACATGGACAACAAGTATTTCTTCTGCATCAAACCTACCATTGCTCCGATGCTCTTCTGGCACCATTTCCCCCCATCAGCTGGACTCAACAACTTTTTCATGAATGCAACATGGGATGCCAATGGAAAGTCCAAGAGAAAGAAAAGGCAGGAGGACAATGCTGATGCATCCACTAGTCACCATGCAAAATGCCAGAGGTTATCGTCAAGTTTGGAAGGGTCAAGCAGTGATGGCAATGAAGGGTTGCCCATGATATGTGAATGACATGGGTGCCTTTCCATGCATGGCCTTTCTTCCCTCTACAATTTTCTACACTGTCATTGTTTGCAATGCAAAGCCAATTTGTTTTCAGTTGATTTGAATATGCGACAATATCAGAATCTACCCTCCACAAATGCACTCAATGTGAGTTCCTAGGGCCCCTATATTCAATCATCAGTTACATATGTCTAGGTATATCCATCCCAAATATTGATGCACATGTTGCTATCCTATTGCAGAGACATGGCTAGGAACATTCCTTATGGTCTGTCAGTGTTGGGCATGCAGGGTGTAAGTGTCCAGTCTGCAATGTGTTGAAGCAAGAATTGATACTGAGGAATTCATTAGTATCATGGTGTTGCCTACAACCTGAGAATGTCAACCTCAACCTATCATCATGGTGCAACTGTAGATAATACTCATATATGTTAGTGGAGCCGGGTGTCTGAGTGGTGATGTTGTCGACCTGTTTGAGAAGGCTGAGGGTGTTCTTCCCTTCCACTCCCAAATCAGATATATTCATCTCACACATTTGATCCTGTTGAGACACTCCAGAATGGAAGAGCACCTCTACTTGACTCAGTTTATGAGCAATGCAGTGGAAGTGAACATTGTGAACAGTGAAACAAGGGTAGAGGTGGGCAGACTGGAATGATATTTAAAATTGTGATTGCAACCAGCAATCATAATGAAAAGATCTATTGGACAAGTTGAAATAACATGGAGCTTGTTGAAATCATACAGCTTTTTGATGCAGCATTGAATTGACACCATTGATACAAAGGGGAAATGGAGCAAGATACAATTTTTGTCCACTTGTATCCATTGTATAGATCAATACATGGCAGCATGTCCAAATTTACATGGAAGACTTTGGCAATGATGGGTTGGTAACCCTAGTTTCTCCAACTAGGTAGGATCTGAAAATTTAGCTAGAAACAAGGCTCTGGACACATCATCAGCCTAGTGTTGCCACCAAGGCAAATCAAATCAAATCAAATTGAGGTGGGAAATTGCAGTAACTTGACACAACTCAGCACTTATGAGTTGTAATGAATTGTGCCTTGTTTGACTCATGAGTTGGTAATGAGTTTGGGAGTGATACAGACCAATAGTCCAGCCAATGAGAAGCCAGTGACACTTGTACCACCAATGACAATTATTTGCAAGTACTTACACAAAAAGCAGACAGAACTAATTACAATCAATTTTTCTTGCATTCACAAGCAACTGATCAAGCTCTCAAAGATTCCCAGTAACCATCAGCTCATCAACTGCTCTTAGGATTACAGGTCCACATATTGTGTAGTCTTGCTCATTAGCCACCACTGTAAAATTGAGGTGATCTTGCTTGTAGATGAACTTCAAAACTTGTAGTGCTTTGAGTGTAGTCGGAGATAGGTTGTTGCACCATGGAGTACAGGTCTCTTTGCTGGATGAAAATATATGCTTGGAAGGCACAGATGAAGCTCAAGCAGGTAGGACATCCATAGTGACTCGAAATAGAAGTGGGAATGTGTGCTCTTTTTGCTACATAACAATTGCTAATGCTATGAAATTAACAAAGGAATTGTATGGCATACCTCCCAGAAATAAACTATATCTGTTATGCACTCAGCTGTTTTGAGTAGTAGACCTGCATTTTCACAACAAGAAAACTCACACTCAGCATTTTTTCTATCCTGTTCAAGTTTCTTGCAGATGGGTACCTCTGTGGTTTCCAGTGCCAGGGAGTGCACTGTTGATTCAGAGACAATGATGGTAGGAGTCAGAGGAATAGTGCTGGTGCTAGTAGTGGATGCTGAGAGCTGAACAGTTACTGAGTGTGGGGATGGTCCCAATCACAGGGGATTACAATGTATGGAAGTGAACTACATCAAATTGATTCTAACTTGTGAGTCAGACAAATTGCAACTCGATTTAGCTTGGTAGGTTCGAGTTGAAATGAATTTGGTCATTTTTGAAGCAAGTTGAGTTTAACTCAATTTGAACTCACCTCAACAGCAACACTACATCAGCCAAGGCAACTCATAATATGGAGTCATTGGTCAGATTCGAATGATATTCTGCATGTTAAATGTTTATCATGCAGTGCATGATCAACATGTCATGTACACCAGAGAGTATAAATCATGAATGGAGACCATTTGTGTGCAGCACTTCCAACTCATGAGTGGTACACCCATATTATTACAGTTTAGATAGCAGGAACTGACTCGCACTTGGCACATTATGCATGTCACTCAAGTCCAGACTTCCCCTTGGCAGAAGAAGGGAAGGTACACATAATGTCTGAATGACTCCAGACCACACCATCCTTATCAGGGAGGGCAATCATTCACCTGAAGAGACAGAGCCTATGCATCATTGGCCATTGGGTAACACCACCTTGCTATGAACACAATCAGACACCCGAGTATGAGTGCAGGAGTGTTGTGCTTCTTGCCCAGGCCTATCAACCACAAATTATCTCCTTGACAGGAGAAGGGGACATCATGTATGCTAGATATCTAGATGACTCCAGAATATGTGTCACTGGAATGTGACACAGCATGGTACATGATGTTGTGGATAAGTTCAAAGAAAAGTTGGATATTCAGCATATCCTTTACATGAATCCAGAACACCAAACATACCACCACAAAACCATACATGAAAATTGTGGCAACTTATCATGATGCCAAACACAGAAAAATATAAATGATAAACAATTTTCAATAGGGGAGCTCACACTGGGAGCTTTGCTTATGCTTGCATCCCCTAAAACTATCCAATTATTACATGGGTATAAACAAACCAAATATGTTATATGCACTGCTGCTTCTGTCAAGCACTCCTCTGCTGCAGGTTCTGACAGTGGATTATTGATTATTGATCATCCAAGTCTTGTGAATGCCACAAGAAAGGAGGATCTGCCATGCCTTCCCATTCCCAATGTCCACTGGTTCATGGACATTACATGGATCTTGCTGTCAGAGGTTGAGAAAGACGAGAACAAGCATGTTTTACTTGGTGAACCTGCCAGCCTGGCTCTCTCAAGAAGAAAGGAAACTGAGTTCTATGCTATCCTCATGTAGCCCTTGCACTGTGTTCCCCACTGCATTTGGAAGTGGGACTAGAAGGAGGCAAGCACTGTTCACCATCAAATCTGCATTCATTTTTTTTGATCATGCCATAGGATACATCTGGTGATAAATGAGTTCTTTGAGTGTTATGTTCCTGCCAACAGTACAAATTTGATGACAAATGTGGACACTCAAAGTATCTGGGGGTATGCTTTCTTTCATAGCACTTTTGTATTATTGAATTGATTCCTTAAGTAGATGGGATTGTCTAGAAATTCCCATTCTTTCCTGTCCTTCACTGCATCCTCTTGTCTCATCCAAATGAAAGTCCCATTGCCATCACCAAGTTAGGTACTGGTCCATGGAGAACCATTGTCAACATATATGCATGCAGATACTGCTCATGGAGAGATCTTTGCTTGCAAGGTACTGATTGATTACTGGCTCAAGAAGTAAGCACTGTTGTATTACACAATCTGCATCTGCACAAACCAGGGCAGGGGGTTGTAAGCATATAAGCACAGATAAGTGTAAACTGTAAGCTCCCAGGTGTGAGCATCCCTATTAAATGTGTGACTATGCTACTGATATAACTTAGGCACTACATATAAGTACCTCATCAGCTCATTGAGCAAACAAAAGGCATGACTACAATCATGAGTGTGGTCCAATGGAGATGTTGTAGGTACATGAGTAGATCAAATGAAATGCAACTTGGAAGGTAGAGGTAGCTGACAGGGAACACTGGATGAATGGCAATCACATTGTTTTGCCCACTTATGCTCCATACTCTGACTTCTCCCACCTGGAATATCAGTGAGGTATATCATGGTGAATATATCAATGATGGGGGAGAGCTAGCATACCTCTTCTTCTCTGACATTATATACTGTAAATTTCAACAACTCTAACATACATCAGTGGATTTGCACAGTCTTCCGTATTCAATGAGATCAGGAATGAAATAATCAATGCAACAGGTCAGGTGTGCTCCAGCAAAAAATAATTGCAAAGGAACACAAAGGGAAATGGTAGGATAATGTACTTCCAGACCAATCATGTTTTGGCTGATACAACAGTTGTCATGTGGAGAGGCTGGTGGAAACAATTGTCCTCAATATATTTGGTGGCTTTTTGAATATCCAAACACCCAATGGTGACAAGTCTGGTAGTCTGACTAAAGCAAAATATGTTGGCAGATCCAGACCCTCAGATATAATACACACTCCTTGCCAGCACATACTGACTGCAACACCACTTCTCTCTACACCAGAGATGTATTCAGCACATGTACTAAAATATATTGTCCTACATAAGCCCAATTCTTTAACTGATATAAATTGAATTTAAAAAAAATAAAAAGTGGCAGAAGCTGGTGGAAGTGGACCAGCCGAGGGAGAAGATGCCAGCAGCAAGAGCTTAATGAGGTTGCTTGAATTCATGACATTGGTTGGTTGGAGTGACAAACAAGATGTGTACTACAGTACAGTGATCCATAAGTATGTGATATAAATGCCAACAGAGGCAATGTCCCCTGTTATATGACCAGGCCAAAGTACTAAAGAAGGCAGGGTGGGGAAGATCTACTATTGTGAGTGTCACAATTGTTGTCTTAGTGTTCTAGCCCAACTACAAATGGAGGGCTCAATCTATACACTTCTTTCCTGTACTCAAATATCATGTTAGTGAGGAAGAGGCACAGGTGCATCCACTCCTCACCCGCACAAAGGAGCTGGTCCTCCCTTTTGCTGATAAAATGAATTGGAGGCTCATGGGCCTTGTGCCACTTGTCTGGCAATTCTGCATTTGCATCATATGCGATGTCAATCCCTTCCCCCCCTTCTTGAGCTGCTTGAGGGCCACATCCATCTCTTTCTTGAACATTTCTGAGAGGTCAAGTCCCTTGGACATCCATGCATTGTCTGTCCCACCGAGCATCATTGAGATGTCATCTACATTTATGCCACAGCCCATTTCTGAGGCCATCGCAAATTAGCACAGATGCATATGTCTGTGTCAGGTATGCCTACCAAACATCTTCTTGTTCCCCATGTGCAGGGGATTGGCCTCTAAATACTTGTCTGCATTGTCAGGCAGCTCATTGAACTCCACAAATAGCCAGTCTTGGTGATTGTGAATGAGAAACTCATCAAGTGATTTAATCTGCCCATCATTCACACCATTTGCCATGCACTCCTCCAACACAATTCTTCTGGAAACCATAGCTTGAAGGAAATGTGCACCAGCATTCTTGCGAGAGGTGTCAATCAGACCTGCCTACTCTTGTTGCATCTTTGTATTCTTCTGCTTTTGATTCTTCTTTGACTCCCCATCCCAACATTTCCACATTGCAAGCCAGTATTCTACACAGTAGCAAAGATACACCAAGGACGACTGATAACTGGTAGGGAGAGGCACATAGCTGAGAATCCGCTGGTCCTTCATAGCAGGAACCCACAGAAATTCAAGCTGGCCAGCATCCCCTGCACCATAGCTTATCAGTTCCAGAGCACCATAATGAACCCTGTGAGGTGCACATGCATCCCACTGGCCCATAGAGAGTTTGGCCTTGCTGACAGGGATGCAGAAATCGCAGATGGGTTGAGGAAGTACCCTACTGATAACAGCATGATTTCCTGCAGATTTTGCTACAGTCATCGCACAATGCTGTGTGCGAGCAGGTTTAAAGTGAGGTTGAAGCACCATGCCCCTGTGTCATTGGTGGCCTGTTTTCTTGATGCAAGGCATTCAGTGAGTGTCAGCACAAGAGGTGTAAGTAAACTAGTTCTTATGTGCTTGATCAATTGGACAGAGGTGCAGATGACATAACACTTTTTTTTCAGCCCTAATGACTTCAAACTCTGCCAGCAATTACCAACACATATGGTGTCATGTTCATGTGACCTGCTACCACTTTGAAATTGTTTGGCTCCTATAGTAAGGTTCAAGCATTACCCTACTCAATAACAGTTTACTTATTTTTTGAGTGTGCAGGACAATAACTGTGATAAATTCTCCAGTAAGGTTTGTGTGCTGTTCCTATTGCAGAGAGTGAAACAAGAAACAACTTGCTGAGAGACTTGCTGTGAATGACAATACAGTATCCTCATGGTATACTCATGGCGCACAATAACTCAGCACATCAACAATATTGATGCCAACCAAGCAGCATGAGAGAATCCACAAAGAACCTCTTGACAAGTCAGAGCTCCTGCTTTCCATCTCCATACTCATGCTCGGTATCTGCATATTTTTCCCTGTAGGCTTGATGCACAATCACAGTGTACTCTGACATCTTACTGATGATTTGTTTTTCTTGGCTTGTTGTTCAAACAGCAAATAAAGTAATGAAATGAAGTGTTATCATTAACTCAGTTACACCTGAGGTGAAGATGTTGTTCACCAATGAATGACAAATGATGAAAGATTTTCATTGCCAACTACCCTACCAGTGATCTCAGGCACTCATATGGCAAGTACCTCGGCAGCTCATTGAGCAGACAATAGGGATGGTCAACAATCAAAGTAGGTCATTCAAAAGCACACTGAGCTTTCCTGACCATTAGATGCCCTGTGAGTATCCCATATTCAGTTGCTGCTCAGCAAGCATAGATCTTACATAAGTCCTTTGATATTTTCACTCTTTTTCTTATAAGGTATGCCTAAGCCCTATTCAATAACAATTTTATTTAGCCATTTTATTTTGTAGCAAATCAATCAGGCACATTACACTGTGTTGCAAATGACTTTAGAGGTGCATGAGAATTTTTTTATGAGCTTGGTGTTGCAAATGGACATGTCAAACATCAAGTTCATGCATTTGGAATTCTCGCCCTAATACACCCCAGTATCAAGTTTCCGAATTGACTCTAGAACCTGTTCTTAATCAAGCATGGCCATGAATCAGCAGCACATGGCCCACAAAGACCTACTTCTTGGACTTGCACCCTTGCCACCTCCACTCCCTGAATTTTACAATCAGCATAACCCCATCTCAGTCCCCTTCACCCAAACTCAACAAGGAAACACACATCTCAGTCATGGCACCCCAGAGCACCAACCATCCCAGCCACAAAAGAAAATTTAATCCTGCTGCTATCCATGATGGCAGGAATGAAAAGAGTATCATGTTCCTGTGCAAAGAATGAAACACCCTCACAACCATCATGTGGGCCTACAACTGGAAATACTGGTGAGCAATGGTCAGATGACCTATCCATATTGCAGATTAGAGCACAGCAAAATGGTGAAAAGGGCAGCTGAGGGCAAGGAAAAGAAGGGAAATCAGGGCATTTGAATTGACAAGAGGGAGGAAACTTGGACACAGAGATCATGAAGCTTGGGGAGACTGGTGTGAACAAGTCACCACTTGAGGTTCCTAAGAAGAAAATTGAGAAAGCTAAACCTCATAGAGTCACAGAAAAAGAGAAGTTACAGATCATCCAACATGTTACTGACGAAAAACACTGGACTGAATTCAGAGTGCAAGCTGGTTACTACTGGACACATGTGAATTTTTGAGCTCTATTCAAAATTTGAGTACAGTACACTTGATCATAATGCATGGCATTGTAATGCATACATCTCATACTGCATCATTTTTTGTGGGTCCTGCTGTGGGACGTAGGTGAAATGCAAAAAAACACATAATGCATAAGCCTAGAACTATATGATGCATTATAAGAAGCCTTCTTTGGGGGATTAGGTAATGTTTGGGGGAGTGTAGGTTCATGTTGGCACCTGTTCTAATGTAGTTACAGCTACCTCAAGTGACTATAGGTGTCAAAATTTTATTTTCTTTACCTCAAACATGCATACCCAGACCTGCAGCCATGGCAGAAGTCAGCACCTTGCAAATAACACTCGCAGAGGGTTCAAAAGACAACTAGACATGCACCTGTTACCCCAGCTACATCCAACAAGACTGACATTCGAAAAAATCTCACCTTAAATGACTAGCTCACTGTCTTTGCATACATTGATGCCAATCCCCATCAGTTGTGAGCTGAGAATGTCATGCACTTTGGGAAGAAAAGCACAGGGGCTTTGGCCTTTAGCTAGTCAGCCTTGTCTTGTGCCCTCAAACAATAGCAAGAGTCAGAAGTGCATAGACACTACCCATAATCAAGAATCTTCTGGACCCTGGTGAAGAGAGGGAACCTGGTGGTGTTTGGTTTCTCAGTGGAGGCAAAGAGATTATGAAGGAAGTTTAAAGGGAGATGACTATTGAGAACAGAGATAGCATGGAGGTGGATTCAGATGGTGAGGACAGTGAGGAAGATGGAAATGCAACTCCAGATTACACATTTGCACAAGTTTTCACACTGTGTCAGCAACTCAAAGATGCTCTAACTCTGACCTGAACTCCATTTCATTGAAAATGTGTTTCACATGGTGCACTTTCATTCCCAGTTCCATAGGTAGGATGTTGTGCTGTCTTGTGTAGGCTGGGAATGTGAAGAGGAAATGGTGTACTGATTTGTTTCCTTTGTCACACTGAACATCTCCTGTAGCTAACTTTACTATGCAGTGAAGGTCCTTGTTGAGCAGTGCATGTCCCATCCTGAGTTGGAAGAGAAGTGAACTATGGTGGCAGGGAAATTGATTGATGATATCAGCAAAATGTTTTGATGGAGCGGATGGATCTATGTACAGCATGTACTATGTATAACTCTGCTAGTCATACTCTCTGCTGGTCACTGCAAGAGCCTGGAGTTGACTCCACAGCCATGAGAGTATCCTTGCATATGGTGGTGACAAATGTGGTGATGCCATGTGGACATGCATGGAGTTCAGAGCCTGCTGCAGCAAGTAGAAATAGAGGGAATACCAGGGCTCAGTAAGAGCGTGAGGGTATGAGGAGAAATGGACTGAGTCCACTTCTGCAAGAGGCTTGCAAGAAGCAGAAGAATCAGCAGTTTTTTGCATTGTTGCTGGGTGGATCACTGATGACCTGATGTAATGTGTTGGACTGCTAGTTGATGCTGACAGCAGTCAAAGCACCATGAGTCACTCAAACAGGCATGTCACATCACTTGACCCAATTAGGATGTAAAAGTGCCAGTAAAAGTAATCAGGCCAAATTTTGACAAACTTGTGCTGCAATCTCATATACAACACACCAGTTATTTGACCACCATGATTTTTAAAACTCATTGTCAGCTTACCAAATGAACAACTAACTAATCTCTATTTGATATAAACTGAACAGTCTGTGGCTGCATCATTATAGATACAATCAACTACATATTGACCCTGACACCTAGGGCTTGGTGTATGGGATTGCATTCTAGGTCATCCGTGTAGCCTTTCACCCTCTCACACTGATCACAGAAGTATACAAGTTGTCTTATCCTCCTAAGGTGTAGGTACATTCTGCTTATATTTTTGCACAAGGATTGTTGGTAATTCCACAACAGTTAATCCACTGAGTTCAGTGTGTCAACTCTTCAATGTGTTTCTACACCTTTTATTTCCAATCCTCATCACACTTTGACAGTCACATTGAACTACATTGAACTACATTAGTATGCTCATATTACTGGTCTGAAATGATCTGACTAATCAATGGCCTGTAATAATGGTGTGTTCTCCAACCAAGGGGAATTCTGCTATTTAATGCTGAGGTTCTGCCCACCAGCCCTTCACCCACAACCATCATTATTGTGTTGAGTGCAGCAGCATGTCCAACTCACATGTGACTACCACACTCTGCAACATTTACCCTTGCAAAAATGCTAGGGCAGACTGTAAACATAGTTATCAATACTATTCAGATGTTGTTTTAATGGACCAAGGTGCCAAAGTCACTGTGACCTGCTCTGGTGATAGCAAGCTAAAGTGTCCTGCTAATGGCTGTGATGTCATGTTCAGGAGATGATGTTAAGGTCGTACTCAAAGGGTAACTAGATCTGAAGGGCTTTGGCCTCAGCTTGTGCGCTGTGCCCCTTACCCGAGTATTGCCCCTTATTTCAGGAAGGCAAGACTAGCACATCTGGAAGGTCGGACAAGTAGCGTAATGGATCCGGATGACTTCTGGATGAGGGATAAGTATCATAAGGCTAATCTGGACGAGTCCAGACTAGAAACTAACGGTAATGGACTGTCGGGGACAGAGGCGGATGCAGATAGACTATAGGAATCAATCCTAAGTCTCGGAGGGTGATGAGAGTAGAGGTACTCAAGTCTGGAGGACAGGAATGAGTAGAACTAAGATGATATTCAAACTGAGGTACTACAGAAAGTTACAGGAAGTTATATACTATAGGTATCTAACGGAATGATCAATCAGCAGAGTCCGAGGCTATGTATGAAGCATGTGGATAGTCTATTGGTAAGTAGAAACAGATCACAAATCGTGAAATGGAAATGAAACATAGGTAGTGGATAAGGGAGCAGGACGGATATACAGATAACTGAAATACCGGAGTTAGGGGGTTACTGAAAGGAGACAAGCACTGGTTGTGGATTCAGATGAGTTGTGGACCGGACTGGACGAGTGGAACAGATTGGATGATGAGATGTTGGAGGGAGATAAGATGTGGATAGGATCAGAGATAAGATGTGGATCTGAGATGAGATAAGGGTTGGATCTGAGATCCGGATATGTGGATATGACAGATGAGCAACATATCAAGACCATGTGGTGAAACATCGTAAGTCTCTGCTTTTGTATTTGTTCCATGATTACACCTCTGTTCCTCCCTCAGACACACATCAAATTGCCCTTCTTGATGTGCCAAACCAATGCAAGCAGCAAGATATTTACAGGGATGCATCCTCTCATATTTCCTTCCTCTTCCTTCATTCAATCTGTTGGCTTTTTAAGGCCCTGTAGTGAATGACCTTTGTGCATCAATTCCAAATAATATGGGTGAGTATTTTATACTAGTACTTGCCCTGGATTGACATCCCAACCTTGAATAAAGTTAGTTCAATGGAGGTGCCAAACTGATGTACACACCAAACTATGAACTGTGGTGTGTGATCTTATTTCTTTTTTGTTCATTTCATTCAATCTAGTACATTCTCAAGGCTCTACTGTGGTCCCTTTTGAAATGCAAAATGACCAGCAGGCAGTGGCATACACCAGTTATTCTGGTGCATCTTTGTGTTGTTTAGTCAACTTCGATTGAATTCTGTATTCCATCATTAGTGTCAGCTGACCATTCCCAGGGCCATGTCCCAAACATAGCTGATGATATTCTTCCTGGTGGGTCATCATCTTCCCCAGACTTTCAGACCCCATATTGAGTACCCAATTTTATGAAGGATCCCTTGAGGGAAGAGTACATCTTCAAACTGGCATAGATTACCTGGTGTCAACTTCACTATTGGACACCTTGGGGATTTGTATGCATGATGGACTCCAGATTTTTATCTGTAGGGCCCAGGGTTGCAAGAGTCCACTCACAGGTAACATGGTGGCTGGTCACCTCAAGAACAAGAACAATCATTCTATTGCCACACACAAATTGGATGAGCTCACTAAATATTGTATTGACAACAACATCTATGGTAGGCAAGAAGAAGTCAAGCTTCCTGCACCTGGAGGGCCTGTAATCCAGATGATCTGCCTTCCCCATGTTGGCATAGCCTGTACCATGTTGACGGATTATCTCTATGCTGTCTGCAACCTGGACACCATGAAAAGACATGCTAGACAGGTACATGGACATGCCCCAACTGAAGCAAGGTATAAGGAAGTTTCCATGCAAAACCTCTTTGATTCAGTTGGGTGATTGTACTTTACTGTGGATTCAATCACTTTGGGCCCCACCAACAACCTCAGGACTCTCCTCATGCAAAATTTCCACTCATCCCTTGATGTACCTGTGATACCAGAAACCTTGACCCCTGAAGAGCAAAGGCCTCTGCTCAAAGTCATGTTGTGGGATACATTTATGGTCGATGTATGGCAACATCCAAGGGAAGTCAAAGCAGTGGAAACATTGAAGGGAAAGCACCACCAGGAAGAACATCACGGTCTTTTCAAGGCCATAGGCACCCTAGTAGTAAATCACTTTCATATAGCTAGCACCATCCTCAATGGAAATCCAAACAAGCTGACTATAGCAAAAACACTGTTGGATGGCAGAAATATTACTTGCCAGTCGTCAGTGTCTCTTTTTCATTCATAATCATTTATGATATTTAACCACCACCTGCTGACAGTAAATACTGGTGTCCAATTTCCAAGGATGACCATGTCTATCCCAATATGATCATCCAGCTCATCTGAGCCATTATTAAGCTTTGTTCTAGTCAGGGTGTTCAATCCTTGTTCTTGTTCAGCCTTGATGTCACCCAAACCAAGGCCTTGGACACTTTCATTGGTGGCATGGTATCTTCTAACATGAGCATCAATGACCAGAACATCAAGGAATTCCACAAGTTAATATGGTCATTGATCAATGGACCCAGTTTTCATGGAGGTTAACCATGGGCTAATGTCATACAGCATTTTATCTGGCTACATGCACTTCAACATGATGGGAACTTCTATGAGGCAGGTGACCTGTCACCATATCTTGCTAAACTGGAATATTTTGTGAATGGCACTGCACTTGTTCATGTGTTATGGTATCAGAAGGACAGTGACATGGGCAAAATCAAGTGAGTCCCTCTTGTAAACTTGTGAGCACAGCTCATCCCTCCATTTTTGATTTCAAGTGGGTCCTTGCCATTCATAATGAGGTCCTGGCTGTGGGACACTCCAATACATTCAATATGCTGTTTCAATACCAGCAGTTTGCTTTGTCCTTGGCCTTGAACCAGCAAAGGGAGCTGAAGGTCTTTTTTGACCCTGGGTTCCAGTGGCTGTCGGTTGGAGCGGACAGAATGCACATCACTGCATTTCACCAAGGTATCCAAATGCTCCTTCAACAAGTGGAAGACAGATATCTCCTGCTTACAAAAGGATGTGTTGCATTCAACAGCATGCCAAACAATCTGAATGATGACATGACAAACACCATCCAGAGAGATTCCTTTGCAAAGGACAAGCAGTTTGGTTCAGGATCACAACTTGGCTATGATGGATGGAGATGGACACTTTGGATGGAATGTGCCAGTGGTCAAAGACATCCTGTGATGAAGTGGGGAGGTATGGAAACCATTGTACCACTTGCTCTATGTCACTGGTCAAATCTCCATGTGATTGGTGCAGTTTCTCGAGCATCACATCTCCAACAGTGATCGCCATCACAATATCTTCATTCAGGGACAGGAGTTGATTCTTTTGTCTGGGTACAGCAAAACCACTCAGATTGCAGATAGAGATTCATGCACCCCTGTATTCATCAATCCCAAAGTTGGACTTTTCTTGTTTGAATTCCTTGCAGGCAGGTTAAGAGATACTGAAGCAATCCTGGCAAAGGTTGGGTATGGGAATGCTGCACACCATGAGTATAAAATGTAGGTCACTGCATCATCAGCCATCATGCTGACTGTTCTCACATCTTGAATTTTAGGTACTTGGTGGTGGAGAATGGCAGCAGAATCAAACCTGATGGTATTTGGAATTTAAGCAAAGGAACTGCAAGGTTTTCAACTGCATGTGGCGTGTGTGAGCATTCCAGCAAGGTGCCATTGCCATGGCAAGAGAGTTTATATCTCTGAATGACACATTTGCTATGGCAGAAGATCTCCTAGCTGAGGGGATGGACCACTCCATGGACACTGACAAGAACCATTATGGCATTTTATATGGCTCAATGCCTGAACTTACCAACAATACCATGTTAAAGCATCATTGGTTGAGTGAAGAATGGCAGGTGTTCTGTGGTCTTGGCCCCTTTCCACCTCAGGAGCCAATTCAACAGAAAAGGACCAGGAGTGCACATTCACAAAGTGCACAAGGTGATGGACAATTGTCTCCTGACCTTGCAGGGATGTCCAAGACTGTGTCAACCATTGCCAGCAGTGCAGTGACAAAGTTACTCCAGGACAATCTGCCTTGCCTCCTGAAGGAACTTGCTACCACCACTATCCTGCCGCCCATTCTGGATACTCTTCAGCAGTGCACTGCTGCACTCACAGTGCTTCAGGACCACCCTTTCAGTCCTCACAAATTGTCATCAGTGCAGACTCCTGCTAGGCAAGGGGGAAGTGGTCATGTATGGTCTGGAGGTATGTATCAATCATGTTCTGGTAGGATGTGATATTCACAGGTCGCACAGGGAATGTGGTCCAAACTAGACAATCCAGCATGTTGTTTCCCTGTAATGATACTGATGAAGGGTCAGGGTCTGTGGACTTGGGTAATGGGGAGCCCCTTCAGTGACAAACTCTGTATTATACGGGTCACCCAACCTACATAATATCCCATATAAGATAGGCCAGTGGACTATGGGCCAATGTTATGTATATCCTCAATGTTGATGGGTGGGCTGGGAGGGATATTATTTCCAATGGGGACAGGTGGGCCCATCTATGCTGATGTTATAAATATCCTCGACAATGGCAGATGGGCCAGAAGAAATATTATTACTGATGGAGATGGGTGGGCCCATCTGGGCAATATGTAGAGTAGGATAGACATATATTATAGACAGCTGGGCTGAAGAGAGATGTATGGTAGATATTATTATATAGACAGGTGGGCTGATGTATTAGTATGATTTGTAGATGGGTGGGCCAAGGTGGGGGTTATATTAGATAGATGGGTGGGCTGATGTAGGGTATATTAGATAGATAGGTGGGCCAATGGGGCAGGGAAATATGTATTATATATACAGGTGGGCTGACATAGGGTATATTAGATAGACAGGTGGGCCAACAGAGGGGGATGTCATATAAACGGGTGGGCCGATGGGGTGGGAAATATGTATTATATATATGAGTGGGCTGATGTAGGGTATATTAGATAAACAGGGTATGCCCAAATACATATCATTTAGATGTATGGGCCGAGGTATTGGTATACTATATGGACATATGAGCAATGCTGTTGCACTAGTTTTGATCCGAGTCATCAATGACATTCAGACTCAGATCCTGTCAACGTCGATCAAAGTCAACACAGCAAGTACCAAGTCCTGAACATCAAACCCTGACCATCGAAACCCAAAACCCAAAACTTCAAAATACCAACATCAAAACTCAAAACTCAAACATTTGTATGACTGTCAAGTTTTCTGTCTTGAATCATTGAGGCCTGCATACCAAATGCTGACACCCGAAGTTGTGTCAGTAGTCAGGACTTCAGGACTCAGTGATTCGATACTCAAAAGTCGTACCAATATCTGAATTTCAAGTTTCAAGTTTCAAGACTCGAATCACCGAGTCCCAAGTCCTGAGTCCTGAAACCTGAACATCGAAACCCAATACCTGAAACTCGAAAGTCATACTGATATCTGAATTTTGAGTTTCAAGTTTCAAGACTCAAATCACCAAATCCTGAAACCCGAAACCCAACACCCAAAACTCGAAAGTTGTCAAAATGTATGAGTTTCAAGTTTCAAGTTTGAAAATCAATACTCAAAACTCATACATTTTTACAACTTTCGAGTTTTGGGTGTTGGGTTTTGATGTTTGGGACTCGGGACTCGAAACCCAACAGTCATGACAATGTATGAGTTTCAAGTTTTGAGTCTTGAATCACCAAGTCCTGAGTCCTGAGTCCTGAAACCCAAACATCAAACCCCTTATATTGAACCCCAAAATCTGAAACTCGAAACTCATCGAAATGTATGAGCTTTGAGGTTTGAGTGTTGATTTGTAAACTCAACACTCAAACCTCAAAGCTCATACATTTTGACAAGTTTCAAGTTTTGGATTTCAGGGTTCAATATAAGGGGTTTGATGTTTGGGTTTCAGGACTCAGGACTCAGGACTTGGTGATTCAAGACTCAAAACTTGAAACTCATACATTGTCATGACTGTTGGGTTTCAAGTTTTGATCTTTGTTTCTAACTTTCAGGTTTTGCTACTTGGTACTTGAGACTCAGTGATTGAATAAATGGACTGGCAGAGGTAACATTCATTGGAAAACTTGTACATATGTCTATCACTATGCAATTATGTAGCCATGTCAACCTCCTCAGAAGATGCTTCAACCTTCACCTCAACATCCATGTCATTGGAAGAATCATATTCTGGGACCAGGTTGCCCAGATCACCTGGGTCCACATTTTCGCCAGACGTATCTCAAAGCTCTGGTTGAACAACCCAGTTGTACTCAAACAGGAGGCCCTCAGTGGCAGAGGCATCCTCAAATTTTGGGGGTGCAGGCATCATCTCTCCAAATTGAGAGATCAATGAGAGGGGGGAGTGCAGATGTGGATGGTGACATGGTTGGGGGGATGGATTGATCAAGCAACAAGGATGTTGCATTGGCTGGAGGTTCAGGAAGTGGGAATGTGGGGTGCCAGTTGATGATTTGTGCCTAAGGCCTTCATGGAGGCATTGCAGGGTATCAATCTTACCATCCTGCTCTGCCACATGAGCCTCGAGAATGGTGATGTAAGCTGTGCCATCCTGAATCACAATTGCCATGGCATGGAGATCTGGCATGGGCAGGTCGAGTGCTGCAGCAGGGACTGCTGGACCAGGTGCTGGAGCAGGGACTGCTGAACTCGAAGATGGAGGTGCCACAAGGGAAAATAATGGTCAGATGGTGATGAAACAAAACTCGGGTGACTTACGAGCTGGTGCAGGTGTGGGTGCCTTGACAGCAGTGATGGTCTTGCTGCAGCCACACGTCTGGGTCTTGGAGGTTGTCACAGCAGCGACACCTGGAGTTCCAGACTTACCATGAGACTGACTGTGAGTCTGGGCCTTGGATTGGGAGGTAGGGGGAGCTTTGGAGGGAGCCTTGGAGGGTGTCCTGGACCTTGTGTTCTGGGTGGTAGAGGACCCATGAACACATTTCAGTGGGGTACCCATAGTTGCTGGGATGCACTTGATCTTCTTTGTTGTGCAGTGGACGCATGACATACATGGATTCCCAGTCCTCTTGTCCAACTGAGTTGCGCAGGGCCACTTTAGCTTGGTGCAAACCTGGCATGAGTTGTTCTGTGGATTGTGTTAGTGAATGGATGCTTGTCAAATAAATCAAAGTACTCACTGGTCCAGGAATGAGAATATCACCTCCATCGATGACTGGGGGTGCCTCCACTGGGCTTTTGGGAGTCAGCTGGGAGGGCTCAATGACTGCTGGGTGACTGCTAGCAATCACCTGGTACAGTGTGAGCATACACCTGAGTCCCAGATGCATAAATGTGACTTACTGTAGTGGGGCCAAAGGGCTTTTTGGTCAGAACCCAGGGTGATCTAGGCAAATTGGAGAGCCAGGGAAGGATGACTTCTGGCACTCCACCCAACAATGGCTACAAGAAACTGTGAGCCAAGTCAAAGACAAACCAGACGACATACCTGAATACCCATATCTTCCTTATCTTCCAAGTCCACTAGGGGCTTGGACATCACCCAGCAAGAGGACTTCGCATGCTTGTGAGTCTTCATCGCAGACTTTGGTGGTTGGGAGGAGAGTCCCAAAATCATGGGAGACTTCCTCTTCCAGCTCCCTTCCACCTTGGGCTCCAGGTCAGCATCGACAGCCTTACCTTTCCCCTTGTCCCAGAACTCAGTGGTGGTGCTGGTGGAGGGACTGGTGACATTGCCAGTGCAGATGGGTGGGGAGGGAAGATCCACTGGAATTGGACCTGTGGAGGGAGGAGCAGCAACTGGGAGATCAAAGGTATGGTCACCTAAGGCCTCCCAGGCGATGAACTTGGGGCACCAGACATGTGTCAAGAGACAGGGATCATTGTACCCAATGTTGTGCCAGTTGGGCCAGACCTGGGGAGTCATGCCCTGGATGCACAATAGCTCCTTGGAGCACAAAAGCACAATGCCAGGCAGGGGTCCAGACCCATAGTCCTTGATCACTTGAGCCTGCCTGGATGTTAGAGAGAAAAAATGAAAAGAAAAAAGAAAGCTACATACCACAAGTGAACTGACCTGTGTTGTCAGAGAAAAGTGGCTGTTACCTAGGGGAATCTGCTGGGCGCCACTGATGATGGCCATGATCTGGGCAGTGGATGCCTTGAGACCAGTCAAAGAGTTGTCAACTGGAGTGGACATGATGATTGAGTTGAGAGATTTAAAGATCTTCAAATAGGGTTGAAATCAGTTATCACAAAGATGAAGTTTCAAAAGAAACAAGACATTTGATGGACGATTGATAAAATCATTGATTGTTTGTCTTTGTTTGGTCCCAGCTCAACTTCAGGCAATCACCAATTTTGTGTTGAACTTCGAAGTTTTTTCAATTATCAGTCAACAAATCAGTAAGTTCCCCACACAACATGAGTCCACAGTCAGCCGTTTGATTCAATGACCCTCCAGTGACTGACTACAATTCAATGGATGTGGATGAGTCCACTGTGTCCCAGGCATCACTAGGTGTGTTGTATTTTTATCATGCCTTATCTATTTACTGGATATCCCTTAGATGATCTATACCTAGGGCCGGATGATGACATAGAATATGATTCTCCATCATCCAGATCACCAGATGTCTTGGCTGCAATACCCAGTGAGTTGATCCATTCATTAGGATCAAGGATCACCATGTATGCTCACTAACCCCTTGCAGATCAATCACCTCTAGCTCAAGCTGATCATCCAGGTTTTCTCATTGATCCAGACTTGTACCTTGGGCCTGAAGATGATATCATTGATGTGGATGAGTTGCCAGATTCTGCCGATCCTAAGATTGATGTTCTGGCTGCATCAGAAGCATCTATGTCATGTGAGTCCATTCATTCCAGAGGATTATAGATGCTTATTGTATCTCTCAAGTGGATGACACCTCTAACAAACTTCAGTCAGAGCAGCTGGAGCTCACTAACAAAGATTTACATTCAATGGCCTGGGAGTTCCAACCATTTGGGTCATATGAACACACTGGGTGTGAGTATCTGACCAAGCAGATCATTTATCTCTGTGCTAATTTGTCTGCAAGTGCAATCCATTCAAGATTGACTTGGTGATTACAAACACCATACTGGGGATCTTCCTGATCCTTCCATTCCACTGCTACTTGAGGCTGAGTGACCCTTCCAGATGGCTTGGGCAGAAACTTCCAACAAACTCAGAAGAGCTGATGCAGACCTCCAGAGGTTGCAAAGAGCCCAACGGATGAGCATTGAAATGCTCAAGGTAGTAGATTCACTGATCAATCAGTTTGAAGATCAGATTCAAATGTAAAGCACTGAATGTTTGATAGTAGTCAAACCACATGTAAGCTTCTGAATTTTCATTAACATACCCACATTGTGTAAACAACCAAATTTGCGATGCATTCCTCTTCCATTTCCAATTGAGTTCCGCAGGCTCAGGAGTCCTGGGTGTCAAACACAGAAGTATAAGTCTCACTTTGGCTCACCAAGTCCTGAGTGTCAAACACCAAAGTTCAATTCTCACTGTACAGAGGATCGCTGAGTCCCAAATTCAATCTTCAAATCAAACTCAGGACTTGGCGATCCTCTGTACAGTGAGAATTGAACTTTGGTGTTTGACACTCGGGACTTGGTGAGCCAAAGTGAGACTTACACTTCCATGTTCAACACCCGGGACTCCTGAGCCATGAAGATTAAACAACATTGACATGTACATAAAGGCAGGCAGTGTAGTATCAGTCCATTACTTCTTTCCCCTTGCTCTTGTCACTCAAGAGGTATTGTCTGATGGCTGTTGAGTTGATTTACTCTGGGTTGTCCTCACCAATGGCTCAATCGCCAGTTATTTTCCCTGCATGTTTTTTGGCACCAGAGATGTGTGCCCTCCTTCCATTCCAACATCCTCCTCAACATTGCCAGTGACTCTGTCAGTCAACCCAGCCAGGAGGTCACCCATTCATGATGTCAGCAGTGCACCAGTTTTCACTGGCTTGACTGGGTAAGGCTTTGGAATTGCACATGAGGACTGCTGTCCCTTCATGTGCTGTTGAAGGACCTGGCTCTCTTCTGGGTCTCTTTTGCAGGGATCTACCATTGGCTGCATCATCATCAACATCATCCTCCATGTGATGAGAGTCACTCTCAGGATTACTCCTGGGATTGCTCTTGGTGTTGGTTGATGAATTCCAAGGCCTTCAGATCATCTGCTTTCTGACTTTACAAGTCTGATGAGAAGGTGAATTCCCAGACACAACTGATGCTACCATGTCTCCATCTTTGTTCTTCCATGCTTTGAACAGGAATGTTGGTCCTTTGCCTTTCTCCTGCTGAGCATGCCAGAAATTGAGTAAGGCTGTAGTGTCCCAATTTTGCAACTTGGAAGGCTCCTTCAAGTCCACATCACCAGAACATACTTCCTTGCCACAAAGTTATTGTGACTTTGTATGATGGCACTCCATGGCATGACTGCCTTGTTGCTCCCAGAACAGATCCCTGTGTCCATGCATTCAACAAATTCTCAGGTGTTGCGACAATAGACTCATGATAGTGCGATGTAAGAAATGCCCTCACTATGACCTTCTTCTCCTTGAGTTTCATTTTGGTGATGTCTGGAAGCAATGGCATCCCATCTCCATTGGTTTCCAGTTCAAAAGCAGGCTCTCGATGTCCTCCCAGTCCTTTGTCTTCATGAAGCTGTCCCCATCTCCTAATGCCTCATTATCATTGTGCCTGCATGACATAAATTGAGATCAAAGATCTGCAATGGCCAACATGTTTCACTTACATCCAAAACAGCACCTCTCCCTGTTCATTCTTCCAAGCCAACATCACAAACACTCTCATCCCACATTGCCTCCACATCTCCTTCGAAAAGTGCTCCATATATGCAGGTCCCTTCTTACAAGTGACTTGTGCCTGTATCTTGGGAGGAGGAAAGTTGTTGGACCATTCTTTGGCTGTTTCCTTTGCCTTCTCCAACTCATCATTGGACAATTCAGCCATGACTCTCTTCACAGCCGCCTGATAATGCTTGAACATACCAGGACCTCCTGGCTTTGCCCTGGACTCGTCCTTGATCCTATTTAGCACCTCTTCCTGGTTCTGCTGGTAGATCACCATCCTATGGGTCCATTTCCTCCCATACTTTAGCATGTCCTTCCTTTCCTTCTTTTTCCTGTTGTTAAACAACCAAGTCTTGTATATCTGAGCATTGATGGAAGAATAAGATATTAAAATTTTAGTTTTTCAACACAGCAAGGATGAATCATCTGCTTCCTCTTCTTCCATTGTGCTTGATCGACCTTAGGAGCAAATAACCTGGCAGCCCTAGCTATGGCAGTGAAAACTGCTCACCTCTCTTTCCATTTTGCTGAAGTCCACTCAGGAAGGTAGTTCTTCAACTCTGAAATTTCATTTTCCGTGAGCTTCTGTGTCTGTGGTTGACGTGCCCTATGTCTTCCAGAAGTCAACTGAGTGGAGTGACCTGATCTTGCCATGGTGAATGAGATTGCAAAATGGGCTGAGGATAAGCAAGGTGTAAGTAATAATGGTGACAAGTCAAACTTTGAGCAAAGCCTAACAGTTGGTTAATCAACCCATATTGGATGCAATGCCATTAGTGGAAATGAATTTGTAATGATGCATCAAGACTGCATAACATCATATTGCAACAACAATTCATTCGACCTTCCTGAGCTAATGCTTTGCTTGCAACATCAGAAAATAAGATGAAGATAGGTAGATGCACCCCACTGCAAAAATCCCACAGGGTAGAAGCAAGGGGCAGCAAGGGTAGGAAAACTTGGGTCAAGGTCCCACTTGCAAGCATAAAACAACATGCCTACAGGTCCATGCCTGACTCTCCCCCAGAATCACCAACACTTCAGCCTGTTGAGGCACCACCTCCTTGGGAAGACTTTCCTGACAATGCTTACAAGCATGACCAAGGCTCATTTGAGCCTTTGCAACTCCCAAAAACCATGGGAAGTTCATGTAAAATGTTGGATTGTCATTCAAACGATAGCTAAGCATAAAAAATGCAAAGTCAGAATGACTACCTCAGGCAATGGCTGCCAAGGCAGGAATCATATCTGCATCACTTCCTGGATCGAGAAGCTCCACCAGAAGATAGGAGATGCGTCATCTGCAACCAGGATGGGGTCTACAAATGTCAAGATTGTCTTGGGGAGCCACTATATTGCACTGGCTGTTGCAGGAGTCAACATTGTTGCAATCCTTTCCACTGGATCAGTCAATGGAATGGTCAATTCTTCGAGCAGAGTTGTCTCGCCCATGTTGGACTCGTCATACACCTCGGTCATGATGGCAAACAACATCCAGTCCTCACAGATAGGTGGGATTTGTTCGAAGAAGACAAGCATGAAGACCAGCTTGAGCCTGATGATCGACCATCTGTGTTGGGACCTGAGTTCCAGCTGAAGGAAAACACCATGGTCATCATTGACAAGTCTGGAGTTCATTGTCTCGAGGTTTAATGCTGTGATTGTCCAAATGTCATGAGTCCAGACATTCAAATGTTTTGACATGGATTTTTCCCTGCATCATTTAACAAGCCAAAGACTTTGTTCACCTTCAGGGTGCTTGATGATTTTCTATTGGACAACCTTGAATGCAGCACCTCGGCAATGAACTATTACAGCAAGCTCCAGCGAATGACCTCGAGCATGTTTCCACATCTTGTTCTGGTAATGCCAAATCTCCAACATCTAAAGGACATTATATTGACACAGCACGCAGCAAGGACCGATACAGAGAGCTCATGAGAGTCACTTGACAGTGGAGGCAATTGAAGGCCATGAAATGGCATGGATTTGGCCATCATTCTGACAACCCGAATGCAGGAGATCTCACATTGTTTTGCCCCACATGTCCTCAGCCTGGGATTAACATATCCTTGTCAGGGGATGAATCACTTGATGAGTGAGTCTAGTTTGATACTGAAGTCACCTCAGCTATAATAATGACTCCAAGCTGGAAATACACCTGGTCATTTGTTATGGATGAAAATTTCAAAGCAGAACACCTGCATCCCATCAAGCCATGTGATGAAGTGTGGCTTTCCAATGGGTTTGGATTCATGGTGGGAAAGGACAGGTATAAAACCCATCTTGCAGAGGCTGCTGACACATTGGAAAAATCAAGCTGCAACAATCACCAGGCAGTGAATCAAGCAAATGCAGCTTGGCACAAGCTGGAGTCCATGGGAATCAGGGGAGTTGCCTGTGCCCAACACGGTTGCTTTGTCCCTCACTCGATGGTAGATTTTCAGAAAGGTGAAAGGCAAGCCAACCATGCCATTCTACATTAACAAGTTAATGGTACATCATTTGCAGACAAATGAACATGGATTATGCCCTTTGTGAGGCTGCCCAGCACAACATGGAAGACATAACCAGGGCTGTCACCTTCTATGACATCAACTGTCAATACAACAAGCACTTTTGGGTTCAGGTGGATCGAAGCCGATTTCTCGAAATGGTTCTGGAATTGACCATCATTCCTGGAATCAGGTTGTGGCATGTCCACGGACATCAGGACAGCTGCTATGTCCGATATGCATCAAATTTTATTGAAGGCATTGGTCGGATCGATGGTGAGATCATGCAGACCCTATGGTTGTGTCTCAACCTGATTTCCCCTGCTGCTCGGGGAATGTCATCCCCACATCAAAAGGAATGTCTTGATTATCAGATGAACAATTCCAATTTCTGCAAGATGATCTGCATGAAAAGGACTCTTTGCCGTAAATACAAGCAGGCAAAGAATGGCATCGCCCAAAGTGAAAAGGCTTTCAACAGATTCAATGAAGCAGTGCCTGCAGCTTCAAAGAAAGAATGATTAGCCAGCAAGAGGATTGCTCAGTCCAGCAGAATAAATGATCCTGCGGCAATGGATGTATATGAGATTAATATCAAGAAGGGTAAGTTGACTTTGGCTACATCGAAGTCAGAATTAATTGTTGCACTCAGCACCGAGCAAAAAGGAGATTGAGCTTAGACTGCTGGAGGAGGGTAATGCCCATAATGCAGCACCTGCTCGCAGATCAGTGGCAACATGGATATCAATGGGGTTGGCAATTGAAGAGGCTCAAATTGCATTGGTCATCGAGCTCCAAAGAATTGGAAGAAGAACTACAGAGACACAGAGATTAGACATCACCCAGCAACACAATTGTCTCCAAGGCCAGATAGATGGATTCACTTGGTCTGCTCTTATGCATCTGGGAGAGGGATTTGATGCAGACGATGATCCTGATGACTTGAACATAGACATTCCCGATGATCTTGATGATGACCCAGCAGATTTCACCGACACATCTGATACATGGGCAAACTCCCCTGAGCTCACTGTCATCCCATTGCCATCAAACCTCGGGGTAGATTGAAGCAGATGCTGTATGGCAGAGGATCTGATTCTGCTGGAGATGTCACTTCATGAAGGGCAGGCCAATGATGCCCTTCACAACCTCCAGATTCACTTGTGCAACAAGGTGATCCTGTTCTGAACAACAGTCAGGCAGGCCAAATCTCAAGCCCTGAAAACTCGAGCTTGGTCTCAGGTGACCTCGGTGCAGCAGGCAGTGTCCCTCCATGCCAGTATATATACAAAGACCTGGAAGCAAATGATGCAACTCAAGCCAGGGCAAGACCAGCTTCAGACATACAAACCACTACTTTGGGAGCAGCTCAAAATCAGCACTGCCGTCAGCAATCCAAATGCCTGAGGTCAGTGGAATGAGTCCCTCACTTGGTTCTGGTCTGTCGATGTGGACCTGGGGGGTCCAGATCACTTGTGGAATGAGGAATGTGAGTTCGGGCATGCATGACATATCCCATGCTCAGCTGATGGGACCCATCTGAAGTTTACCAAGTTCATTGGCTTTGGGCAAAGGCCCTATGGGATCGATGGAAGGAAGAAATGACATTGGTCCAATTGGAGATGGATTGGACATGCAACTTTTTCTTGTGGGAAGCAACCCAATGGGGCGACAGGATGTGGGAATCATTGGTGAAACACCTTCCAGGTCATTCATGCTACTCAGGAAGGCAATCCCAAATGTATTCATTACTGGTGCAGGATGCCCAGGCGGCATTTCAAGACCTGCAGAGTGGGTTCATAGACACTCAAGATGAATGAACTTTTTTGCCAATGATATGAAACAGCTACTTCAACCCAAACATTTGAGTCTCGGGAAATGCCTGGATGAACAAACATCAGAGTTTGAAAATTTTATCTATCCACTGGTGGCTCATATCTTCACATCTGAACCAACTGGCATTGTGATTGTGATTTCCAGCTTCATACTCCTGCATTAGCCATGCCTGTATTGCAAACTCCTCCTGCATCCCCTTCTAATGCCATGGATTCCGGCAATGAATACTGACCCCTCACACTCGGTCTTGCAGATATTGCAGCCACAATGTCAATGGCTGCATCACACATCTGAGCAGTGATCTTCCAATATCAGACAGAGGCTGCCAACACCGAGGAGCCTTCCACTGCTCAGATCATGCACTTTAAAACTGGGCTGCAATGGGAGATCACTGTAAGAGACTGATGACTATGGTGGTCAATGCTGAGATTTCCAACAGACTTTTGTGACACCCATCCTGCAGTACTCGGCTGCAAGGCACATCATCTCGGTCATTCCAAACCTAGTTGCCCATATTCTTCAGTTGTTTCCCCAGCTCACCTGGAACACAGTTCCTGACCACATCTTTTCATCCCACTTATGTCTCTTTCATGATGTTGCAGATCTGGGAGATCCCTCCAGGATTACAGTGGCTCAAAAAACTGTTTGCATGTTTTGACATTTTTCACTATCTATGATATTGTGTGAGAACAAACAAATGCCTCAAGGACATGCTTATACCACATTGTAGTATGGCCTCAGGGCTTTCATTTGAGCCCTTCACCGTGGGAATCGGTGGAGATATGGTGGAGACATAAGGCTTACAAAATCATGACTCATGCAGACAGTTTTTTGAGCACATATTAAAACTATATAAATCATCATTTATGACACCATAACAATCATGCCACCATTAAATAAATTATCAAGTGGTGTCATTATGTCATTTTAAAACCATATCTAACTATACAAACCAAAAATTTCCATATGTCATGGTTATATTCACCATGAAAGCCACCCCCCCTGCTCAAAGGGATAATATCCTCTCTCTTTCCTATTCTGGCCTCTCTGCTTGTCAAATTTTCTCTAGAACTGGAGTATGCAAGTCCACTGTGGCCAAGTTCATCAAAGAAAGTCACACAGACAAGGAAAACTTCTGTGAAGGGCATCCATCCAAGCTCACCTCTACTGATAGGAGGGCTATTATTCAACATATCACTACAGGAAAGGCTGATAATGCTGTCCAGGTCACCTATTACATGAATTCCACCATCACATTCCCTGTCTCTTCACACACTGTGAGAAACATTCTCAAGACAGCTCATCTCAGGTATGCAGAGAGGACTAGCACCCTTCTTTTTTCACATATATACCTTGCCATCTGACCCAATCCTATTTATTGTGGTCTTATATGATCATATAACATGCTTCCAGTCCATGTAATCCAATTCTGATGGGCTAAGGCAAAGGTTAGTCATCTCTGTTTATGTGTGTTAGAGAGGAGAGCCTTTTCTTCCTTGTTACTGACCTGAGATGAGCTGTCTTGAGAATGTTTCTCACAGTGTGTGAAGAGACAGGGAATGTGATGGTGGAATTCATGTAATAGGTGACCTGGACAGCATTATCAGCCTTTCCTGTAGTGATATGTTGAATAATAGCCCTCCTATCAGTAGAGGTGAGCTTGGATGGACGCCCTTCACAGAAGTTTTCCTTGTCTGTGTGACTTTCTTTGATGAACTTGGCCACAGTGGACTTGCATACTCCAGTTCTAGAGGAAATTTGACAAGCAGAGAGGCCAGAATAGGAAAGAGAGAGGATATTATTACTTTGAGCAGGGGGGGTGGCTTTCATGGTGAATATAACCATGACATATGGAAATTTTTGGTTTGTATAGTTAGATATGGTTTTAAAATGACATAATGACACCACTTTATAATTTATTTAATGGTGGCATGATTGTTATGGTGTAATAAATGATGATTTATATAGTTTTAATATGTGCTCAAAAAACTGTCCGCATGAGTCATGATTTTGTAAGCCTTATGTCTCCACCATATCTCCACCGATTCCCACGGTGAAGGGCTCAAATGAAAGCCCTGAGGCCATACTACAATGTGGTATAAGCATGTCCTTGAGGCATTTGTTTGTTCTCACACAATATCATAGATAGTGAAAAATGTCAAAACATGCAGACAGTTTTTTGAGCCACTGTATATCTGGCTATGATACTGCATGGTGGATCAGAGACACTGCAATCCCAGACAAATTATGGCAATGGGACTGGGTAATGGGTTGCTGTGTCTTTCACTACCAGCATTGGCTAGTAAGAACTATGAACAATTTCCTTGAGTGATGATTAATCTGTTCTAGGGTGGTGTTGAGGATGATGGTCTGATTCTTCCTGAGCAGGTGGATGAAACCTCAGTTCCATCACTGATGGGACTGAGGTGGCTTAGAGAACACCTCCGGACATTGGTTGAGGAGCAAGAAGAGGGCATCAGTGAAAAGATGGCAGAGATTGATGTGTACACTGGCATCCTGACGAGATTGAAGAGAGGCAGAGGAGAGTAGTGCTAGTCCTTGAGTTCAGAATGTTGATGTCCAAACTCCATGAAAATGACATACAGTCTTCCAAATATCTAACCTAACATTATGTGCCAAGTCCTGAATACTGAATATCAAGTATTGAGTACAGACAATCATATATCATGTTGTGAATGTGGACTCCCGAATATTGAGACCTGAATGATGAATATTGAGTATTGAGTATTGAGATTCAGATATCGAGACTCGACTATCAAATATCAAGTCCCCAATACCGAGTCCCCAATATTGAGTACAGAGTTCACAATACCGAGTCCCAAACATGGACTACCAAATCTCAAGACCCGACCATTGAATATCAAGTTCCAAATACCAAATACCAAATACCAAATACTGACTACCAAATACTGAGTCCCTAATATCGCAATAGTGGACACTTGGAACTTGATATTCAGAATTTGACATTCCATAGTTGGGTCTCAAATATCAACATCCAAATGCCAAATACCAAATACCAAATACCAAATACCAAATACCAAGTCTCACATATCGACCCCTGAATACTGAATACCAAATCCTGAGTCCCAACTAGCGAGTATCGACTATTGAAACCCGACTCGATATTCAGGTGTTGATATTAGGGACTCAGTATTTGGTATTCAGTATTTGGGGGTCAATATGTGAGACTTGGTATTCAGTATTCGGTATTCGGTATTTGGCATTTGGGTGTTGATATTTGAGACCCGACTATGGAATGTCGAATTCTGAATATTGAGTTCTGAATGTCCACTATTGAGTATCAAGTATTGAATATTGACCATTAAGTCTTGAGTTCTGGATATTGAGGCCCGAATATTCCAGATCCTGATATCTAATATCTGGTATTTGACAGTACGTGCTAACATGGGTAACTACACTTTCCACTTCTTTCATCTTTCACTGTTTGTAATCCACCCTAGCCCATCCACACAACGGAACCCCGGCATAAACATGAACAGAATCCCTCATATACCATGCCCAAGCAATCCAATCCCCTTCCACTGCATGAACCCCATGTCTCACAATCCTTCCAGAAAACACAATCATGCAACCCAGATCGTACCTGAACTCCAGCTGAAGGCTTGGCATGCTCATCTGAGCATTAGAATAATTCCCCACAGTAGTGAGAATGTCGAAGCATTCAGGAATAGATAAATGGTCTTGATGATTGGGGGTTTCCCAATTGGAAATGATGGACAGGCTGTTAAACACAGATGCCCAGTACTGGAGAGTCTCTGACATCTTCTGCAGTTCCTTGCTTTCTGCCTTTTCTCCAAGGCTCGAAAAGGCTTGCAAACCTGCCCAGTACTGCTCAGGATGCATCACCCTGAGTGCTGCTGTTGCAATGGCTGCTGGCCTTGCAATCGCTTTGAGGATCTTATCAGAGGATGCCCCCTTCAATGATGCAGATACCTCCAGATCGATATCACTTTCAGTGACGCAGTGTGGGATAACTCATCATCAACTAAAGAACACTATGAGTGAGTGGACATTGGCTTGATAGTGGCAAAATAGTCAAGGACTAATGGCCAGTGCCTGTGGAAGTTCAAACCCCACAACAATATATCACTGCAGCTGTTGGAAGACAATGCAGTCTCATCAGGAAAACATTCCTACATTGACTTGGAAAAAATGGAATGATTAGTTGGGTAGGAATATCATTTACTTGTCTTCTTACCTTTCTTTCTCAGCCTCTCTACATCATCTATGTCCTCACCCTTCACCTGATATAGTACCATTCTGACCTGCCTTTGTTTTTCCTGTACCATGACCTTCTGCACAACCATCTCCCACATTTGTTCCCTCAGATTCTCCACCTTGGCTTCTAGTTTGGCACATGTGTGCACTTGATGCCTTTGAGGTGCCAATTGCATTCAGTTGTATGAAGAAAGCATAGTCTCATTGAAACTCAGCTTCAGGATAGTCATAAGTGCTTGGTATGTCTCCAGAGGTCTTCAGGGGATGATATCAGCATAAGCTGAGTACTCATTTCAACAGATGAGGAACCCACCTCTTCCTGGATGGGAAGCATCATCACCACATCGTGCACCTCTCTTGCCTTTAAATCTTTCATGCAGTGAAATGGCACTGCAGGGCACATAGGAATGATGTCTTCGCATCAGCAGAACTTCCAAGGTTGAAGGACAGGCTGATGTGTTTGACCAGGTCAAGTGGTTTGAGTGTGGTTGTGAGATGGGATATTGACATCTCCTTGTGTGTCTAGATGGTGCAAAGGAGCTGGTGGGAGGCTATGTCATAGATGTGGATGAGGCCTGTGGCAGTACCCACAAGAAGAAGTGAGCTGGTGAGGGAGATGGTGAGAACTGCTATTGGTTGGCTGTATTCAAGGTGTGTCAGCTAGGTATACACATCAGTGAAAGTATGAGAAAGGCATACTTGACTGTTATGAGATCTTTTTGACTGTTGCTGTCCTCATCAGCGACAGGGATGAGACTGATGCCTGTGCCTCCAATGGTCTCAATCATCTGCCCAGCATGTTTTTCAGTTCACTGGCAGAAAAGGTTGACTTGGTACATGAAGCCATCTGGCAAGGCAGCAAAAATAAGTATTTGGTGATATCCCAGCTGCTGATGATATGGATTTGGGGAAGCAGAAGGTGGTCAATAACAACTGCAAAGATAAATCCCAGAGCTTTGTATCTGAGGTGAACAAAAGCTAACCGCAACTTGAAAGATGAACTCACCTTTACACTATGATTGAAGGATGTGGTAAGCATGTGACAAGTAGGGAATTGCACCCACACTGCAAACAATGTCTTTCACTGGTAGGGTGTGGTCTGATAGCATACAATATGGGGTCAGAAGTTCATTTTGGGTGTCATTGTCAACCAGCCTACATTGCTGTCAACAGCACAACAACAACAAGAAATTTACAACAGACCTTGCCATGGACCAAACACTAACACCAGAGTCATCACTACCTGAAATAAGGGTGTCATGGGTGACATATTATATTCTCTGATGTGCCTCCCATATTTGACCTTGGGTTGTTCCTCCCACACAGAAGCTTCCCACATTATCTAGCACAATACACAAAAGCCTCTCAGGAAGGACTATTTTGAAAGCAAGCTTGTCCTATGATGCTTTGAGAAAGGTGAAAGTTATATCAGAGACATGAGACTGGTATGTCAGTTAACCATGCTTGAGAGTGTTACTTAATGTGAAAGCTGTTTGGAGTGATTGGATCTAAACCTTGTTCAGTCTAGCCATCATGTGCAGTGAGTCATCAATGCACGCCTTTAAAGCCAGATCTATAGCAGGGATTCTGACTGAGATCCAAGGTTTCTAGATTGACCAGAAGCTGAGAGCAGGGGAAGTTGTGCTGTCACAACACCTTGGCAACTATGAGGTACATATAGTGTATAAGTTGTTTAAGAAGGCATGGATGATGGGTGATGTGAAGGAGGTGGTACAGGTCCTATACAGGTAACAGGGATCATGTTGCAAAGAGATGTTGTGAAGGGATGAATTGCGAATGACTTGGGCTGCCACACTTGTTGGAAATCATACAAAATGTGAATGTTGATGGCTTATCAAGTACTTCAAGTGATGACACCCTGAGAGAGCATCATCTAGACAGAGGGAAATAAAACCAGGGTCAGGTGCCATGGTTGATGAGACTATGATATATACTACTGCCTTCTTGTCTAAATTTATTTGTGAGAGGTTGAGGAATTATAGACCTTTTGCCTGGCAGTGGAATGCATGAGTAGCTGTATTATTGTCTGTGGAAATAATGTACTTGTGAAGCATAAAATTCAAATGCTGGTATTTTCAGGTGATGGTTTGATGAGATGAATAGGAAAACAAAAGTGCAAGGTATGAGTAGCCGTGAAGCATAAGTTTCAATTTCTAGGTTGTGGTAAGTACAGTCCAGAGGCAATCAGAGGAAACACAAGCTACATAGTCATCCAAATCACATTCTTGAAGAGTGAATTTCCAAAGACCTCACTTCATCATAAACATGTCAGAGAGTATTGTAGTAGATATGAGTGTCAATTGTATACCAGAGAGATCAACCCACATTATTGAGTACAGCCATCTGAGATTAGCTTGACATGCTTTCAGAACCTGTAAGTAAATTTTGTCACCTTAAAGGCACTGGTCCTCTCTTGATGTGAAACATTCTCTCTAGAATGACCACCATATCTCTCTCTTCATTTGCCCGTTTCTCATCTTTGAGGTTTGGTAAGAGTTGACAGAGGGTATAGGGTAAACTGTGACAAGTGGGGAAGTATAAAATGGGCACACTTACAGCTACCTTCAGATCGATAGGCTAGAATTAATTTTTGTTCATTCACCACTTTTGTTTACTTGTGGAGCTAGACAAACAAAAGGGTCCTGCCTGTTACTATACTTCATTGGATGAAATATCCCAGAATGGCACTGGACCGCACAACTTCTATGATATGGTATGCTGCTCATTTGACACTGCATCTGACACCCCACTAAGCTCACTGCTGCTATGACTATTTATTACCAACTCATTATGGTATGTTCAACATCATCTCTGTTACTGATCATGCCAGCATGAGCTCAGCATTAGTACTTGCAGGTTTCAACATGCTCCACTCAGGGCTAGCAATCTGGTCATTAGCACAATGGCTTTCTCATCTTCTCGAAGAGGAAAGGCAAAACAAGGGAGCAGAGTGTTGAAATTTGAAGGAGCATTGACAAGTATTGATACCAATGTCTAACACTAGCTGTACAGTATATGTCAAGTAATAGTTGTTGTAGCTGTATAAAATAATCAAGACAAGTACCTGCTATTCACAAACCAACCATGAACCTTTTCAGGTGTGACAGCATCAAATACAGCATTCCACAACAACTGGTATGGATCACAAGTCAGCTCACCTGTCATGTCTCCCCTCGCAGACAACCACTTTCCAAGGGCCTTCTGACAACAGAACCTATGAGACAAGAAAGCCAAAGAACTCAGTTGATAGTTCAGTGGCTTGTGTTAGTGGCTTGTGCTATGGCCTTGGATGACATTTGGGCAGACATAGTGACCCATTGTTGCTTTATGGCTGCTGGAATGTGATGGCAGTTTCCAACCATGGTGAGAGTGGTGTCCAAACTTGAGGACAGTGCCAAATGAGAAAGCTGCACAGTTCAGTGCCATTCTGGGGTATCTTGCTGACAAAGTATTGTAAAATTTCATATGTTACATATTTCCTTAATAGGAATGTTACCCTCATGTGAAGTCACTGTCACAGTGGTAGTGGTGGGTCACTGAACTACATTAGTCAGTGTCTGGAACTTATGGATTGCACACCTCTTGCTTGACATATTGATTTGGCTAGTTCACTTTCCTGGATCATGTTTCACCCCTTACCAAGCCCTTTGTTGCTTTCCAGACTATGTCTGTCAGAACCATGAATCACCTTTTCTGCTTCCTCCATATTCCAGATACAAGTGTTGAGAATTCCACCTGCAATCTCAGCATATATCTTATGGTACATGATTCTGTCAATGTGGGGTTTGTAAAGTGTATGAGGTAGTAACTGACTATAGCGATACTTTTGTCAATGCTTATATTTCCTTCCCCCAGTGGTGTCGTGGTGTGTCATAAATGTTCTGACTCGACTGCCTTGTCTGATTCATCTGTCTCCTCGCATATCTCGACCTCCTCAACATTGTCAGTAGAACCTTTACCTCCAAAAAAGGTCACAGTTTCAAACAAGGACACAAGGCCCAAGAAAAGACACTGTTCATCAGATCATGATGATGAGAAAAGGGCAAGGTAACTCAATCAATTCATTCCAAATGTTCTGATCATTCATAACAACTCAACATAGAAAAAAAGAGTCCAACATCAATCCTCATGAAGAATTTCTTGCCACTGCATGCTGTATTGCGCGCTGCATCAATGTGTTTTGTAAGACAAAACAACTAATCAATGTAGGTTTGGCTCTGCAGCAGCACGATGCTGCAGAGAATGGTGAGCTATCGGAAGATGAAGATTCCCAGGTTTCTCGTGAGAAGCAACTCTCAAAGATGTAAGTCAGTCTCAAATATTTGTATGAACCAGTTCTTTTATCACTTCACAGTTCATCTAAAGTCCAAGAACGATACAAGAGGAACTATGCTCAGCTGCTTCAGCTTGCTCCAAGCTTAAAACCTCTACTTGGTAACCCTTGGAAAGCCTCTGAGCTCAATACTATCATCAAGAAAGTGAGTGCACACGCATACATATATATATTATGTACTTATTTGATCCATCAGATGGATGCTACTATCTCGGCTACTCACTCTGATGACACCTCACATCTCAAGAGCCAAATTGGCCATTATGCAGCCTTCAACACCAAGGACCACCCAATATATCTGGCTATATATGACAGAAGTAGTTCATGGACCCATTTGGGTATTAACCACCCTGTTCTAGTGCAGTTTCTCTGTCTGGTCAGGGAACTTGGGAGATTTTCAGAGGATGCCGACAAGTGAGGTTTTTTAAAGTCCACCTCATGTTAGTCTAATATTTCACAGGGCACTTAAAGACATTCAGTGCAGCAAGGTTAACTTGACCACATTCATGCTTCCCGCATTCCTATGGGCTGGAGACCCACCAGGTCAAGACTATAACAACAACAACATGTTCGAGGGCATGTTTGATGGGTACTTATTGGAGCGGGTAGGCATTTTTTTTTGGTATTATTTTAGATTGATATTCCTCTGTCTATTAGACTATGCAGCACATTTTTACAAGTCCATTGAGTGCATATGGAGGGGAGACACGCATGACACACACCTGCAACACTACTCTACACAACATGACCAGTGGTGGAAGTGGCACATATCACCTATGGCTGTCTACAGGTTTGATTGCTTCAAATTTGCATACTGATGGGTTGCTCAATTTTTATTCAGGTTCATTTTGGTATCAGTGCTAAGAACACTTGGTCCAAAATTGATGGTGCTTTCAACTGCTAGGAATTCTACAACAACATCATTGAGCTTATTGAAGATTCACCTGATCCGGGGTGAAAGAAGACCTCCTCAAAGCTTGGAATGTGTAAGGTTTTTTTTATATCATCAAGGGTCATGCTAATCCTGATTTATCTAAGAAAACTATTCAAGAACAAGGAGGGCCATGACAACAGCAGTACTAGAGATGACAATAAAATCTCTGGCTCTCGCAAAGGCAGGGATAACAATCTAGCAAGAGTCCATGCTCAAATGGCAGCACATCATGCAGCCAAGGCAATCCTGACACCAGTTCCTTCTACTCATGGACCAACTTCACCTCCACCTTGCAAGCCAACCCCACCTCCACCTCACGAGCCAATTCCAACTCCACCTCCCCCTGCTCCTCAACCTAAGCTAAAGCCAGCAGTGCCTGTACATGCTGAGTCATGCTAGGATTTTGAACTTGTACAGGTTGTGACCAAGCACAAGGCTAAGTAAGAAGGTAAGCCCAGCATATACTGGAGTTTGTATTAAATGTAACAATCTCGATCCACAGGCTGGTGGTCATTCAATGATGCACAAGGCACCCACACCAACACCAGCAAAAAAGTTCAAGGAAGTAGCCATCCACTACTTAATGGATCCACATTGCACATTTCCTTTATTTGCATTGCTCGCAGGCCATCAAACGACACTCATGTGTTATGGTTATATTCTTGCTTTTATACTCCTGCTGTCATGCACTATTGAACTGCTGTATTATTGACCTACTCACAGGCTTTTCATATTCTTGTTCTATTGTCCATCCTTGACTACCCATGTTCACATACATATGCTTGGAACCATACACCCAAGTGTCCCTTACTGCTTTGTACTGTCATGTTTTCAATGCAATGTCTCATTATATTGGAATAAAATTGCAATGACTGATTACTCTGAGCGAGATTCAAATGCCTGATACACATGGAAATGTCTATTATATCAGAATGCCAGACCAATGCCAGACCAAAGTCATATGGCAGTTAGAATGGCATAATTTTGTTTCTCTGATGTTATCTGACTTGCACCAGATACTTATGGCAGACCCATGTCTGAGTTGTGTAATTTTGGTAATGTGAAATATTCTTGGCATTACAATCAATGCAAACACAGCTATGGCTATTACTGTAAGGACGTTAGCTTGAGGCTGCACTTCAACTTAAAGGCCAGATTTGAACTTCACAAAAGTTTCAGAGCCTTGGTAACTTCATTCTACCATGGCAGGGTGTCCATCCTCCTACCTCTTGTTTCAGTGCATCCCTTTGCTCTTTGCATGGGCAACTTTCCCTTGACTGCTTTGTTGGAAACTATTTGGGAAATGCACAGTAACACTCTAGTTGATGGCACTGTGATCAATCCTTGCATCATTGAGTTCACATCAATGGTCAAGCAGATGCTCAATTTCAGCCACACTGGCAATGCGCATGTGTTGTGCTGGAGACTAATGGATAGAGCTTGGATTTCATTAGGTATCATTCATGACAATCATAAATGCATGACATTGAGTCAGGGCAGTGCTGGGTATGCTGCTCTGGCATTATCTGAGAGGGTGGTTTGGTTTGAAAAATGTTGTAGGAACTACAGCCAGCCATAGTAGGCCTCTTGAAAGTTGGTCAATACTAGGCATGCACATATGCATGCTCCATAAGGCTTTATTGTGTGCTTGGAGCTCTTTTAGGTTATCAGTCCATGATCATGCCAGTGCATGTACTAGTATCCAGTAAGGGTGAGATCAGTGAGTACTATGGCATGTGTTTCCATTCCTGATCATGATTGTTATCATTTGTAATCTTGATTATCTCTTCCAGAGCTTCCACAACCTCACTCCTCAGTGTTTGCCACATGACGTCAACATTCAGTGCCCAGCATCTAACAATCATGCCTACCTCAGTGGTCCAGCATGAAAAATCTTCTTGCTACAGTCCTTTCCCCTCCAAACACCCCTACAGACACCATGGAACCAGAATTATTTCCATTCCACAGGCAACACCTGTCAACCACAAGACATTGAATCTCATAAAACCATCATCCCCAGGTTTGCCACCCACAGATAGCACTGAAAATTGTTTTGAATCCATCAAATCATGTGTTGGGGAAGAGGAATTACCAGAAAGACACCAGTTGCAGTTCAGTTACATGTCCCTGCTTCCACAGATCCCAGACCATTGCGTGATATCTGTCAGTGGTCCTTTGCTTCTGATCATTCTGCCTCCAGTATGTTCAATGAGAATTAAGTTTTAATTGACAACATTCTGATTAAGTTGAAGATGTAGTACACAAGGTACTGAATTATTTATCCAAACCAATGTTACATAAGAATTGCATGGTATGTCTCTTTGTTCAATGCTTGGTGCTTGCATGCTTACCAAATATCACAGGAATTCCATGGTGTGAGAGCATGAGAATATGGGTTATTAGAGAAATTATTGGGTGAAATGGCCCGAGTATCAACCAAGCCCAGGCAAGTCATCCGAATCTAACTGTTTTAGGCAACACTTAACTTGCTCAGACTGACATACAATTATCATACCCACACCCTCACCATTAACATGCCCAGTGTTCTGCATGAAGAAATGTTTGATGACATGAAGAAGTTCATCAGTAAATCCATTGATGCCCTTCCATATGATCACACCATTATCAATCTAACAATCCACATGACTTGGCCACTGGAAGTCAAGGATGGATCAGTAACACCAGATATCATCATTACCATGACTGCCATGGAGGAACCTACAGAAGTTCTGCTGATCCCTTTCTATGGAGAGTGTGCATTCATGGAGACTGATAAACACGTGTTTGAGAAGATGGAGAAAGTGATATGCACACATCTGGACATCATCTGTGTGGTTATTGTATTAGTATGTGAAGCCACAGATTATGCCTCCCCTGATGAACTTTTGGACACCACCAATATCCTGCATGGTGACACTGATGGCAGTTACCCACAACCCCACACTCTTAGATCATTCATCAGGAAATGCAGCATGCTACATATAGTTGGGGAGCCCATCGTGATCACTGGTTACACTTGGTGCCATCTCTCTTCAGTAGAGTACTTTGTTTGGGTCAAGGAAGATGATGTTCTGATAGACATCTGTTCCCAAGATCCTGTGCACATGGTGTACGGTGTAAGTTCTCATCATTCTCAACCTTTCAAACTGATGTAATGAATTTGATGCAGACTTTATTGCCTGAGGTGGATATAGACACTGTCACAGAGATGCTTGAGTGAAGATTGACCATGATCAAGGATTCCTTTGTTACTTTCCAGAAGGAGATTGCACCTGACCTCAACTGCACTGCTCTTGTGGAAACCCACATCACATCCTACTCTGACTTGGACTGGCATAATGCTGCAAAACAAATCATTTCTGCTTCAGAAATCACTGCCCACAAACATTATCTCGCCTGGCACCTGTCACTTTTCAGTGTGGACAGTGACAAGTCTTCTTATGTGCCTTTGCAGGAGACAGATGAGGAGGGAGGGAGGGAGGGAGATCACTGAAAGCTCTGAGCGTAAGTATCTGAGCACATCCAAGCTTCCTTGTTCCAGGTTAAAAATTCTCAAGGTGGCTTAGCGGGGACCATTTGATTGGATGCATCATATCACAAATTTGAATTGAGTGAGTCCTAGATACTCATAGTCGCATTGTATAGTATGAATCATTTGTGTTAGCTGTCTCATCTGCCTTACAGCTTTTACCCCTGACTGTTCTTAATTTAGGCTAGCCCCCAGTGAGTCACATTCACTGATGAACAGCAGGAAATACTATGGCTCATGGTAGAATCATCACCCCCAGAAGTTGCCAGGTCACACTTTGTCACAGCAGGTTACTGCTGCTGCTTTCAGAGTCTGCTTGGTAATGCCTAAGAAATTTGTGGTCTGACAGTTACAGGTCAAAAATCATGATTATGTTGGTTGGTGTGATGTGGAATATAGTATGGGATGTGGTTGTAATTATAATGGCTGTATGGTGCAGGAAATGCTACATGAGAATGAGAACTATGTGGTCCATGATGATGAGGCAAATGAACTTGATGCTGGTGTGATATAACATGTCTGGACAATTGCTGAGATCAGCTCACTGACAAGTCATCACAGCAAGTGGTAGTATTTATTTAGAACTCCACTATGGCAGCACTTGGCTGGCTGGCTGTCACCTGTGTGACTTTGATGGCTTTCAATGAACTTCACCATTTCTTAACAAAAATTGATTGTTCAACCTCACAATGACAGGTGCATGATAGAAACATTGACTCAAGTTCTGAATTGTGTGTGGAAGTAAGAATTGAGTGAGATATTTAGGTCATGATGACTTCTGGGAGTGATAATTCCACCATGAGCCATAGTACATGGCAGCTGTGCCATGGGAAGGGGAGGCTTACAAATGGTCTGACCGTTTTTCAAACACTGCAGGACCTTTTCAAAAGCACATGAGTTTTGTCATCATGTGACTGGTTCAATTTTGCCCTAGGTGACAAAAGCAAACAGCGATGTGATGGTGGGAATGATGAGCAACAAGTGAATGAAATGAAAACATACCTACCCCTTCTTCTTAAGGAGGCTCTCTGAATGTGCTGGGTGCTGGAGGGTGTCATTTGACACCTACTGGAAGTGACCTGAATGTTTTGATGAAAGACAATGTTGTGAGTGAGTGCAGACAACATCATAATCCCACTTGGTTTGGCATGCTGCAGTGAGTTCCAGCCTTTGTGTGTGCCCTCAACATGGCTGCCATCAGACTAGATGTCTTGATCTAAGCGCTTGAGGCACCCTTTTTGGACATGTTTGAGTTGCTCTTGATGTACCTAGCAGAATATGATGGTGTGAGTGTCAATTTCCACTCCCTATGAAGCAGGCAGACTTACCTTCTGAGCCACTGCTGACCACACACCTTTCTCAGCCCATTTCTCAAAAGCTGCAAGAAGATGCTGCTCTTATTCACCATGATCCCAATACTCTGCTCTGTGTCCATGTTATGCATGCTTCTTGAGGATTGTGCCCTGAAATATCAGCAGCAATGGTGCTGTGGAATGGGCTGTTGCTTATGTTCAAGATCACAGCAACACATCTCATGAGGGTTCCTGTTAGCCAGAGTAGTATAGCTCATGCCAAAGTTACATACCTTGCACTAAAGTGCTAGATGTCCAACTTGGCCTCTGTCTTGGGCATGGCAGAAGCCACTGCACTGTGAATATTGTAGCAGTTGTCAGCAACCATCATCTTTGGTTATGGGAGGTTGAGGACATCATGGCGCTGCTTGAGGCCACACAGTAGCTCTGTAATCTCAGCATTTGCATGTGTCTGACAGAAATGCTTGCAAACAGGGCGTATCATACTATCAGCCTCCAACTTTTCAAAGTCAGGTCGAATACCCTTTTCTAGGGTACAGGAACTATCATTGTCTGATTCCAACAACTACAAGGACATTTTAGAATTGAGCATCCCTCACAGGTGCTGTTGCACACCTACTAGATGGACTGAATATGCTACTGAAACTGCAAGGACAAGGAAAAAACAGGGCTGGGAAGGAGGCAAGTGATTGTGTGCTGGTACTAGCATGGAGACTCAAGCACTAACCAACTAATGTAAGGACAGATTAATGATGCACTATTGCTGGGCAACACCAGACACTCTGCAGGTCCATGTTAAGAACCATGCTCAAGGGAGAGAGAGACTGACTCAGAGGGGCTTGGCCTCAGCTCGTATGCTGTGCCCCTTACCCGAGTATGTGCCCTTCATTTCAGAGGAAGTCCAATGATGGTCCATTGAAGTCCAAAGGACTTCTGGAAGCTGGCGGCTACTCTGGTGGAGAGTGCTAGAGGACTTCTGGAGGAGCACAGGAGAATTCCGGAGGAATGCAGGAAGTGCTCAGGAGAGTTCCCACTGCAAGGTAATACTTCTACAGGAAACAGGATGGAAAGATAGGAGGTCCAGAAGTATGGAGGACAGAAGGGTGGGATGTCCAGACATCCAGAAGGAATAGGGGCTACATTGGACTTCATCCAATGTAGAAGCAAACAGAGGTAGACTACCCTTAGGTAGAGTCAGAGAGACAGGAAGTGGACCAAAGTCCGGAGAGAGGGCAGGTGCTGGAAAGGCAAGACTCCAGCCTAGGGAAGCAATCCCTAGACTTGGGATAGAGACATAGGGGACAAATCCAAAGGTCCGGAATTCTGGCCTAGGGAATCCTTCCCTAGGCCTTATGGAAAAGGATGAGACTCAGATGGACTGGAGTCTGGAAGATGATTGGGCAGATCTAAGGTGATATTCAGACTGAGGACTCTACAGGAGTTGTACAGGGGTTATATACTAGAGGATATCCAAGAGGATCAGTAAACAATGGAGTAAGGCTATGTACAAGCATGTGGAAATACATTGGTAAGTAAGACGGAACATAAGTAAATAAACTTGGAGATGAAACTAGTACAAGGATCAATCAGCAAGATGGAAACAGAGATAACCAAGAACCAGAAAGGCAGAGATGCCTAAATGGGGATAGGCCCAGGATCTCGGACAAAGGGTGGGAATAGGTCCAGAGATCTGGGGATCCAGAAGGCAGGGCGGAAACAGGACTGAGACATGTGAGGTGGTGGATGTAGTCTGGAATCCAAGAGGAGGTAAAGTCCAGATGTCTTACTGGACAGAATGTGCATAGGGTGGACAGGATAGGGAATCCAGGAATGAGTCAGATATGAGATCTGGAAATAGGTCCGGAAAGCATGGGAATATGATGGGATCTATGTCTGACATATGGGATGTGACAGTCCATCATTAGATGATAGTATGTCATATCCCACAATCCGGACCCACATTCCATCATATTCCCATGCCTTCCAAGCCTACATCCAGACCCCACTTCATATCCAACTCATTCCAGATCCCCTTCCACTGTGTGCTCCACACCTCAGCAGGATCAACTATGCTCTGGATTTACCCCTGAGCTCTGGACCTTTGGACCTCCTATCCTTCCATCCTGTTTCCTGTAGAAGTATTACCTTGCAGTGGGAACTCTCCTGAACACTTCCTGCATTCCTCCGGAACTCTCCCACACTCCTCTGGACGTTCCCTGTGCTGCTCTGGAAGTCCTCCAGACTTTGTTGGACCATCATTGGACTTCCTCTGAAATGAAGGGCACATACTCAGGTAAGGGGCACAGCATACAAGCTGAGGCCAAGCCCCTCTGAGTCAGTCTCTCTCTCCTTTGAGCAACATGGTTCTTAACATAGTATCAACAAGGTTGCAAAGCATAACAAGATTGCAGACAAAGCCATCATCAGATTCACTCGTTTCAACCTGATCCAATATTATAACCACCTTGAGTTTGGTAAATGGAACAATCAACCTTTGGTTGACTTGCAAGTGCAGTCCCTTCATCAATCATTTCTTGAAAATGGGGCTGACTGCTTCAATCCCATCCATGCAATGTGACTGGAAAACCACCTTTGCTGGTGCTTCAATATGATCCCATACAACTCTGATAAGGGCAAGAATGGGGACACTGAGATGTATCAATGGCTTAAGCAAGCACATCCAGTACTGGATGTGATTTCCAGCCCACTCCAGGAGGCTCTGAATGATGCCTATGAGAAACACCTTGGGAGCAACACTCCCACATCCTACTGATTCAGCAACACAAATGAAGATGTGTGGTCAAAGGCCTATCTGCTGTACAAGTTTATGTAATCTCTGCCATGAAAGACTATGTCCAAGACAAGCAGATAATGAAGGACCTGCCTGGTGATGTTCAAACAGCACTGGAAGGCTGTGTAGCCAAGGCAGCCCTTGTGCTTGGCTGAAGTGATGATGTACATGCTGACTTCAGCCATTTTCTGCTGCTGTCTTGCTCTGTCATTACCACTCTCATCTGGAATTTACACATAATTGAGAGGTCTATTTTCAAGGTGCATATATCCTGTGGGTAGATATTTCAGTGCAGTCTGAAGAAGTTGCTTATGTTTCTGCTTGGTTCTCACCATTTCTATATATGGCAAAGGCCCATGGGAAAGACTGGAACCCTGGGTCAGCCTCTGCTGAAATGATTTGGGCAGTCATGACCCATTCTGACTATGATCCTGAACAGTGTGGGGGCACTGTTGCTGAGGTATGTTTAATGATGTTTCTAGTATTACCTGATGATTTATGCATTTATACAGATTGTATCTTCGATCTTCGAGATGTTCCCTGAGTTCCTCAACATGGGAGGGCAGATAGCAAACATCAACATGCCTCATTGAGTCACATAGCAGTGAGAGCTGCAGTTGGCATTTGGAATTGCAGATGGGGGAAAGAGTTCTAGAAGAAGTGGCACTGATGCAGCAAAGGGCAAGAAAAAGGCAAGAAAGGCAAGAAAGGCAGTGATGAAGATGGTGATAAGGATGACAGTAGCCCTTCATCAAGTGATAAAGAGACTGACAGCAATCAGGAGCATGATAATAATGAGGATGGTGAAGAGGCTGAGGAAGGGACCAACTTGTGCACCTTGTGGTTACTCTGGAAGGAGCACCTTCAAAAGGATGCAGCACACATAGATAGCCTTCATGTGGAGGTGCTCAATGCACAAAAGCTTTTCAATGGTGCAATGAAGCTGACATCCATAAAGCACAATACCTTGTATGAACCATGGTCTTGACAGTCAAACATCTTGATGGGTGTTGGTGACAACATATTCAGGGGACAGAACTTTGTCCCTTTCTACACATATGAGTGGTCTGCTGCAACAGGTGGAACAAGAGCATGCTGCTTGCATATTCTTGCCTGCATTGCAATCATGGAGCAGACAATCATCAATACATACCAGATTGGCTTGCTGGATGACAGTAGTGGAGGTGCAGCTGCCATTTGTCTCACAATCAAGGACAACACCAAGAATTATCGAGTTGCCTGTCCAATCTTGAGGAAGAAGCAGAAGCAGAAAGGCAGGGGACTTGAAGGCATCAAAAAAGTTACACAGCTAGTGCCAGAGCATGTGAACCTGACGTGGCCTGACCAAATTGATATTGCAGCAATATCACAGGTTGACTTTAAATTAGAGGTCAAGCTTGGGTCACAAAAGCATGATCTTCTAGTGGTCCATTAGACTCATCAAGCACAGAATATCATTGATCTTGTACAGCACAGCTGCATTGCCTGGGAGGATATTACAGGTGTTGCAGAGACACACAAATGCCCCCCCCCCCCCCTTTGTCCTGAAGTTCAGGGAGTGTTAGAGGTACTCATTAAGGTAAGTATATTCACATAGAGTGACATTCTCTCATGATTCACACACCACTACTCACAGGAGCTGAGCATTAATACCTACCATCAGCACCAGCCTTTGAAGGACAAGAAGATCTCTTTTGATGACAGCATCTCCCCAAGTGATCATCTCCATGTCCTACACAGAGCAGTAGAGAATGAGACAGCCATCTCCCACATTATGAGAAACAAGAAGTTTTTGGTACCATCACAAAGGGATAAGCTCATGCTGCTGGAGGCAGAGGCAAGAACCTGCCAGAGACATTGGGAATGTGCTAGGGAGCATGATAAGAAGGAAGAACTTTTGGATGCAAACAAAAGTCCAGGTAAGTGAGTTGTTCAGATTGTTGTATAATTACTTACATGTGATGTCAGATGGCAATAGTGCTAGGAGCACACCTGTCCAGTCTGACATAGATAACCAAGCAGGTACTAAGACACGTTGTTTGCCAGCTCCAATACAATGTTCAGCAGCAATGATAACAACTGCTGTGGGTCTCTGCATCCATCCAGCATATCCCTATCCATCTGTCCAACATGATGCTTGTAGGGATGCAGGGGGTATGGGCCCCACCTCAGACATGACCACTTGATGCCACCCACTTTGGATGTTGATCTCACTTTGGATGCCAACCTCACTTTGGATGCTGACCCCACTTTGGATGTCAACCTCACTGTGGACGTGGCTCCCACCTTGAAGAAGCACCAAGCCTCCCACTCAGTATCTTCAACTGACTCTTATGGTGGCTGTAAGTATCATCTCTATGAAACACCAATACAAGCACTTACACCTCCTATAGATATCACTAATGGGAAACCTGACAGAAAGCGCAGGCAGCTTAGTGAAGACAATGCCAGTTTACCTGGCAATACACACTTCCAGTTTCAAGAGGATGATGAATCAATATTCTCCAAATTGGTGTAAGCAAAGTCTTATATATATACAAGCAGTGCACTCACCTGCAGACAGTCCATCCTGATTTGTTATAGCAATAAAGCCTTGTAAACTACATTTGCAGTCTGCCTTTTCTCATTTGACACTAACCACAACATTCTAATATCACCACACTTTCGTACTCTCAATAGTGCAGTGTACAGCTGACCATGTGCAAATACATCAGTGCAAAGGTCAAGCACAGCTCATTGGAGAGTTAGACCCTGCGAGCCATTGAACGTCATTGCATACAGTGGCTCAAAAAACTGTCTGCATGTTTTGACATTTTTCACTATCTATGATATTGTGTGAGAACAAACAAATGGCTCAAGGACATGCTTATACCACATTGTAGTATGGCTTCAGGGCTTTCATTTGAGCCTACACCGTAGGAATCGGTGGAGATATGGTGGAGACATAAGGCTTATAAAATGATGACTCATGTGGACAGTTTTTTGAGTGTATATTAAAACTATATAAATCATTATTTATGACACCACAAAAATCATGCCACTATTATATAAATTATGAAGTGGTGTCATTATGTTATTTTATGACTATATCTAACTATATAAACCAGAATATCTCATGTATCATAGTCATAATCACCATGAAAGCCATCTCCTCTGCTCAAAGAGATAATATCCTCTCTCTGTCTTATGCTGGCCTCTCTGCTTGCCAAATTTCCTCTAGAACTGGAGTATGCAAGTCCACTGTGGCCAAGTTTATCAAAGAAAGCCACCCAGACAAGGAAAACTCTTGTGGAGGACATCCATCCAAGCTTACCTCTACTGACAAAAGGGCTATTATCCAACATATCACTACAGGAAAGGCTGATAATGCTGTCCAAGCCACCCATTATATCAATTCCACCATCATTACCCCTGTCTCTTCACAAACTGTGAGGAATGTTCTCAAGGCAGTAACAAAGAAGAAAAAGCCTCTTCTCTCCATCAAACATAGGTAGAGAAGACTAGCCTTTGCCTTAGCTCATCAACACTGGACTGTAGAGGACTGGAAGCATGTTATATGGTCAGATGAGACCAAAATCAATAGGATTGGGTCAGATGGGAAGGTATATGTATGGAAAAAAAAAAGGGAGATGGCCTAACAGACAGAGAGGTTAATGGGACTGTCAAGTTTGGAGGAGGTTCTTTAATGGTATGGGGCTGTATGGGATGGAATGGTGTGGGAATGCTTGCTGAGGTTGAGGGGAAGATGAATGCTGAGCAGTATGTGGACATTTTAAATGACCACTTGCTGCCTAGCTTGGCAGAATCAGGGATTGATGAAGAAGATATCATTTTCCAACAGGATAATGATCCCAAGCACACATCCAGAAGAGCTAAGGAATGGTTTGAAGAACATAACATCAATGTTTTTGACTGGCCAGCACAGTCTCCTGATGTCAATGTCATTGAACATCTCTGGGGAACACTTAAGAAAAAGCTTCAAGCCTATGAAAACCCCCCTAAAGGAGTATGGGAGCTTTGGGAGAGAGTAGCAGTGGAATGGGGGAAGATCACAGCTGAGGATTGCCAGAAATTAATTGAGAGTATGCCTAGAAGGATAGAGGCTGTAATTAAAGCCAAGGGAGGTCATACAAAATACTAGAATACCTGGTTATTATTGTAAAATACTTGAGTCAAAAAACTGTCTGCATGAGTTACCATTTTGTGAGCCTTGTATCTCCACCATATCTCCACCGATTCCCACGGTGTAGGGCTCAAATGAAAGCCCTGAAGCCATACTACAATGTGGTATAACCATGTCCTTGAGCCATTTGTTCGTTCTCACACAATATCATAGATCCTGTTGGACTACATTGACAGCAAGGCTGAAGACTTTCATGGGTTAATATCTTTGAATGAGATGCTTATACAGATATGTGAGACACTCCCTGTACTGTTCGATCAATCTGACGACCTCAATCATGCGCTGTTCATCGTCGCTATGAAAGTGTTATGTGATATCAGTAGTTATATAGATGTGATATCTGCACTGCTAGCTAATGATAATGCAATGTGCAGGAGGGGTGATGTCCTAGGGGTAAAGTGAACCAAGCACAAGGAAAAAAAACCAAGAGTGGTTACCTAAATAATGTTACATTCACATGTCATCTGCAAGGAGAGTTTTGAAATGCACATTGTTTTACATTGTAAGGCCTTCATGATTTTCCCCATTCATTACTGCAGCTAGGATGCCACCCATCTTACATGGCATTGTAATATCTATTCCATTTCAGGTAAGCGACAATACCAATACCAATATTCAGGCTCATCTGTGCTTCTTAGGGGCTTCAAAAATTTACTTCACCTTGAGGGCTTTTTTAATTTCATTGATGACACACAATGGTGTTTCTAAATTGACAATATGGTTGTTTAAACAGGGCCCTGGACTTGCCTGCATTTCAAACATGTGTGAATTAAGTCATTCATTATATTCATTGTTGGATCTAATATTTTTTATAGTTTGATTGCCATCCATGCACCATAGCTCTGCCATTACTCCCAAACCAACTCTATAGGTTGTGTCAGCATTAAATTATTGTGTGAATATCCCCATAATTGCTTTTCTGCCCAGCATTTTCAACATGTCAAATATTGCTCTTTCTTCATCTGACACAGCTTTGAACCTCAATGTTCTTGGCATTGCACACAATGAGAGCAACCTTGTATGTTGGTTCCAGGTGAAGGGATGTGAAAGTGTCAGTGCACTTACATATCATTTTCATAGCCTTCTCTCATGACTTCACATTCAGCTCCCAGACTTGCTCTTTACCACAGCTTCTGTGCTGTTTGGATTGGAATACCTTAAGTGAGGAGGGCATTTTTTGATGGAGGAGTGAATGGATCGGGCACAACTAGAAGTCTCATTGTTCAGTAACACTATAGCAAACTTGTGTGAAGAGCTGAATGGTAGATGTCACCCAAGTGAGCTATGTTGTTCAAAGAATCATTCACAACACTCTAAATTTGTTCATAGCACCATCTGGTGTTAATCCAGAGAAACTGGTCACACCCAATGCTGTTTGGTATGCAGGTCAATGCCAAGCATCTGCCTCAGTCAATTTTGATTACTTCCAACCTAAAGGCCATTCAAGAAAAATGCCATGCATGGCTCCGCATGTCGTCACAGTCTCAGGATACCATGCAAGATTCTAATGCCAGCCAAATACTTCTTGATTTCCCAGTAACTCTACAATACCCCTGTCCCTATGACCATGTTCTATGGGAATGTGCTAGTTATATTACAAAGGCCTGGAATTCTGATGCTGTACAACCCAATAATCAGCTTATTCCCCTACCTCATGTGATGAAAGCTTGGGTCAATAATTTCACATATCATGCATTTATGAGCACCTCATTGGTGGAAGCCAATGGGCCTTCATGCTTTGACTGCAGCAATAGCTTCACAACAAAGGAGCTTAAATCACTAGAGGTGCTCAAGTCTGATTTTCACATTCTGGACTTGAAGAAGCAATATGCACAGTCCAAAGTCAACATGTTGTCTGAAGCCATCATGTGCATTGCTGAGTTCCATGGCAATGATAATAGTGAGCATGCAGCTTCTTCAAGCTTCCTCACACTGAGATGATTGTAGGCTGGGCTTCTGAAAGTGATGACATTGATGATTCAGATTTTCATCATGTTGGATTTGATGATTGGATGTCAACCTCATCCATGTCTTCCAGTTTGTCCCCATGATACTTACTTGGAGTTGTATCCCAGGTTGTAGTAGTTTCACTCCTAGTGTAAGTTTGTGTCATACCACTTTCATGCTGACATTAATCTTATATGAGTTAGTTGTACAATGGACTTCATTTATGTTATTTCTGTTCTTTTTTATCACTATGATCACCAATTAGGATCTGTCTGCATGAAATGTCAGTAAAGCTTTTTGGCCTTGAATACCTGTAACAACCAGTGAATATACACACCTGTTCACCCTACCTCCAAGTCATTGCTAGCAACCATGCAGGAGGGAGTGAGACCTTGGGACTTTGGCAAGACCAGTTTACTCATTCCAGTTCATACTACGACACTTATACTTACAGTCATGCCACCATGTACTGCCAGTAATAAAATGAAAAACAAAAACTTGTATCTCACTTGTATGGCACTCTAATAATATTGATCAGCTAGTTGCAAAGTATGGAAGGTTCAATTGTCATGCTGTTGTCCCATCCAAAATACATATCAATATTATATCTCCCTTGTATAATCATATCTTCTGTCATACATGTGATAATATCATCCATTTCAAAAGCTTAGCATATAATTATGTGTTTGGATGCCAGCCAATTATAATGGTTGGCAGGTTCCATTGTCACATTGCTGTAGACTTATAATACAAGCATCAAAATTATATCTTACTTATATAATCATATCCTCAGTTGTACATGTGAAAATGTCATATATTTCAAAAGCTTAGCATATAATAATGTGTTTTGAGGCCAGCCAATTATAATGGTTGGAAGGTCCTGTTATCACACTGCTATCAGCCTATAATGCACATATCAGAATTATACCACCCTTGTAAAATCATATCTCATGTTGTATATGTGTGACACCATGATAAAGATATCTAAGGGCCTGGACAGCTGCATTTATTTCTCAGTTTATTTTGCAGTTTATTTTTTTTATAACAATATGTACAAACAACCATGACAAGGTTGGCATATCATGCACTGTATGACATCACACCAAGGCTGAAATGCCTCCAGCTAATGAAATTCAGCAGTTCCATATGTTGCCGATGGCAGCCACAATGATCACTCAACTTATTATGGGCCTTATAATTGCATATATGACTCCTTTTCTTGAAAGACAGCCCTACCATACATCAGTACTCACTGGACATGCATGGGTGCAAGAACTCATCAATGGACACCCTGACTGGATCAAAGCTGAGCTTGGAATGAGGAAACACATCTTCCATGTGCTTGTACATGAGCTTTGGACCTGTGGGATATGTAACTTGAAATATATTCTGCTTGATGAGCAAGTCACTATATTTCTCTATACATGTGTGACTGGGCTTTCAAGCTGTCATGTCACAGAACATTTTCAGCACTCCCACACAACAACACAGAAGTATGTCCATACTATTGCAAGATATTCACTGTCTCACATGCCACATCAGATATTTCAAGAAAGTCCTGCTCACTCTGTCTTTGGCTCCCTTCTACAACAAATTCATCTATCTACCGCAGGAGGATGCACCTATTCCACCAGAAATATCTGGGAACCTGAAATTCTTTCCACACTTTGAAGGGGTGCTTGGAGCCATGGACAGTACACACATTGCATGTTATCCATCCACAGCAGAAAGGCAGCCATCTTGAAACCAAAAAGGTTTTGTCAGCCAAAATTGTCTTGCATGCTGTTCATTTGATCTTTGGTTCCAGTATGTGCTCAGTGGTTGGGATGGATTGACCTTGGACTCAACTCTATATAATAATGTATGTCTTACTGACCTATACATTCTGCAAGGAAGATACTACCTTGCAGATGCTGGGTTCAGAATATGCTACTCACTTCTCATTCCATACTGAAGTGTTCGGTACCACTTGGCTGAGTGGGGTCGAGCTGCTGTTCACTCAAACTATTGATTTTCTCATGAATGGCAGGCCAAAGGATTCAAAAGAAATATACAACCTTCAGCATGCTCAGGCTCAAAATGTGATTGAGTGAATATTTGGTGTTCTCAAGAGGTGGTTCATGATACTTGTACATCCACCAGAATATAGCATGTCAACACAAGCCCAAATTCCCCCAGCACTTTGCGCCATTCACAACTTCATCTGAATTTTCAATCCAAAGGAAATAGAAGAATTTGCCGTCAAGGATCTTGTGGACCTTGATCCAGGTGAGCCAAGGGGTGATCATGCTGAAAGACCAGCAGGCCATACTGAAAGGCAAAAGGTGACAGAGGACAGAGATCATATTGTAGATGCTATGTGGAGAGACCATCATAGAGTGTGTTGCACCTGTCAGGACACAACAGGATGAGTACACAATGCCTATACTACCTAGATACTCTACTTGTTGATATATTTGATCTTGCAGTCAACAAAAGACCTCCTTGGCCCTTCATCGGACATGACCATATATGCATCAGCAGCACTGACATCCACCTGAAAAGCTTCAATAAGTGTGACCATGCTATCATCGTCAAGATGAGTTTCTAGAAGTTGAGCATGTCACATTGCTGTCTGCTTGCACTGAGGTGATAAGGCAATAGCTGATTTTTCTGATTGTTTTGCTACATGAAAGACATCAGTGAACTCTGAAAATCAATCATTTATTGCATAGAGTGCATTGGCTGATCCACTGGCATGCTGATATTTCAATTGCAGACCAGAAAGACAAGACTCAGAAGGGGTAAGAGATGGAGTCAAAGACACAGCCACAAATTTTCATTTTGAAGGAGGAGGAGGTGAGGAGTGACTCTGCAGTGCTTCTTGCCAGGTGTGGGAGAGGGCATAGGTGAAGCCATTGGTGCTACAGGATACAACTTCAGACAATCTGTGCATTGAAATCCAGATGTCCTACAAAGGAATGAGAACTAAGCCCTAAAACAACATCATGTGATACTTACCCAGCAGAAACGATGTGGTTGGGATCAAGGGACACAATGAATGCAGCAATCAAAGTGTGCCACTTTGTGATGGCTTGTGTAGTACATGTTGCACTGGTGGGTATGGTTAAGTTGCATCTGACACATGATGAGTGGCATGTATCAAGGCAGTAAATATAAGGGGCTAATTACCTAGCATCATTCACAAGCTCCCAGCTAAATACAGCAGGGCTGTTGAAATAGCATAATACAATCACCTTGGTGTAAGCCTGGAATGCAGTCAAGATATTATCATTCATGTAGAAATCATTGTGGTTCTGAAGTCCAAACTGCCAGATGTATAGATCCATACCGCCTATAAGAATGACAATTTGTCCAATGTTTGATCAAGCATCAAGTGTAGTGTTGCACGGTAAAGTGACAGATGTAAGCAGATCAGGTGGTCCACTTATCACTGTGTTAGGTACTGCATTCCAGTTATTTGTTAGTGACATGATAACATATACAGTGACTTGCAAAACCATTACAATGTTTGGTACTTTTTCAGTGTACACAATATAGTGCCTATGCACATGGGAATCATGCTTAGTGTTGGTGGGGGCATGTGAACTACAAACCCTTGGCTACAGACTGACACTTGGATCACGTGATTTGGCCAAGGGGATGTGAAGATATGCCTATTTTAAGACAGAGATACTATTATAACAGTTTTGCAGCTGTTGATATAGATGGTGGGATCTCAGTCAAATCAGAGGATGGTTACTGTTATTTGCTTATACAAATAAAAATATACATAAAAATATTATGTCTGGGTTTGAAATTGCTCCCACACTTCTTTATTTTTAATCATTACCACCATGGAATCCCCCTCTACTACTCAAAAGAATACCATTCTTTTTTAGCTTAATGCTGGTCATTCTATTCACTCTATTGCCTCCACAACTGGTGTCAGCACTACTACTATCTCCAAGCTTCATTAAAAAGAGTGTTCCTACTTGCAAGAGTTGACTGGTGGACATTCAACCAAGCTTTCCTCAGTCAATATTTGTCATCCTATTTGTTTCATCTTCACTCAGCAAGCAGAAACTGCTATCCAAGTGCTCAAATCTTTTTCAAATATTGTCAATTAGCCCCTAACCCAAGTACCACTTGCTGCTACCTGAAAGAGCTGGGATGAGGGCTGTAGTCAAGTCCAAACACTCTCTACTTTCTGCCAAATATTGCAAAGCACACTTGGACTTTGCCTATACTCACAAAAATTGGACTTTGGAGGACTGGAAGTTGGTCATATGGTCTGATGAAACCAAAATTAATCACCTAGGGTCAGATGGTTGCAAATGGGCTTGGAAAAAGTCAGGAGAGAGGCATAGTGACAGATTGGTATAAGAAACTATCAAGTTTAATGGAAGTTCTGTGATGATATGGGGCTGTATGACCTGTGAAGAAGTTGGCTATGCTGCTAAGATTGATGGTAGAATGGGTGGAGATCTTTACCTTCAAATTTTGAAGGATAAACTTCAGAATTTCCTGGAGTTTTATAATCTTAATGCTTCTGATGTCATCTGTTAGCAAGACAATGACCCTAAGCATACCTGCAAAAAGGTCAAGAAGTGATTAGATGGGCAGGAATTTAGGACTATGGTGTTGTCTGCACAATCTCCTGACCTTAACCCATTGGAATATCTCTGGGATCTTGTCAAAAGGGGACTTGCAGAGTATGAGCATCCCCCTAAGGAAATAGTAGCAATGGTTGGGAATAAAGATCCATGGGAGCAATGTCACACTCAAACATAATATTTTTATGTATATTTTTATTTGTATAAGCAAATAACAGTAACCATCCTCTGATTTGACTGAGATCCCACCATCTATATCAACAGCTGCAAAACTGTTATAATAGTATCTGTCTTAAAATAGGCATATCTTCACATCCCCTTGGTCAAATCACGTGATCCAAGTGTCAGTCTGTAGCCAAGGGTTTGTAGTTAACACACCCCCACCAACACTAAGCATGATTCCCATGTGCATAGGTGCTATATTGTGTACACTGAAAAAACATTGTAACAGTTTTGCAAGTCACTGTAGACCTTATTGTTCTGCTACCTGGACTATCATATTAAGTTTCTGCAGTCCATTCAGTCCATCATTGATTGTAGTGGGGCCATTCTGGACCAGCTGAAACCATGTTCCAGTCACAGGAATGTTTTCCTCAATGATTGAGTGGGGTGCTCAGAAAGATTGTGCAAGACAGAAAGGAATACACAAATATCAATGTCGAGGGATGCATCAGTTCGCTACAATGACTGCTTCTGTCACTCAAAGGATGTGAGGTAGGAAAGACTTCATCAATGACATGAAAAGGCCAGTTTTATTAGTGCCAGGTGTTGCACTTAATCCTGGACAGAGATACTTTTGAGAAGAAGAATGTGGATGATGAATACAGCAAGTAGCAACAGCTGAATATCACTCTTGAATGCTGAGAGATATGACAATCCTACATACTTCAAGGTCACAGAGGTTGAAGAAAGAGAGGGACCTTTCCCAAGGACAGAGCTGCAAACTTGATCATATGACCCTTGTTCTTGACTAGCAAGAATGCACCTGGCAGCAACACCCACAGATAGGATTGCCTTTGGGAAATGCCCTCAACAGCCTAAGTGAAGTTTTGATTCAAAGATGAAAGTTAATATCTGTAGGATAATTAACAATCAGAAAAGAAACAGGATGGAAGACATGGCATGACCTTGGTGTTCCTGAAATCAGCACCCTGAAGCAGTGCCATTGCCAAGCTGCTAGCCAGCAAATTGTCCCCCAACTCCTTCCTTCAGTGTACCACCAGTCATTGACCATGACAAACATTAGCTGTATGGGAGTGAGAATAAATTATCATATCTTGTGTGAATTCTACCTTTGTTTGAACATGATAATCGACCCAATTTTTATCAGAGACTTACAAAAAAGAGTGTATTCACCAAATCCAATGACTGGAGATGCTTGTATAAGAGTCTCCTGGCCAGGGCTCAAGATGCAACAGTAAACTCTGACTCGCCCGCTCACAGTACTATGTGTCAGTTAACTAAGACATGGTCAATAAGATAGACTCAGATGGTGAGATGGACAAGCAGCCTCACCAGTAAAGAAAATGATATTGAAGTTTGTTGATTGAGCCTGAAAGTTCTGTAGTATGCATTCTAGCGAATAGATCACATGAATGATCTGAAATGATGGGTCTTTGATAGCACCATTGTCGAAGTCATGCCAGAGAAAACTGTCTGCACTAGAGTCCAATGACACACCATCATCCTTGGCTAGTGCAAGCAGATGATCATCAAGCACAGTTTGGAGTAAGGAGTGCCCTGAGACACAAATGAACTGTCTTGAAGGTAAGACAATCAACAAGTTAAACAAGTACTGTCAATGACAAAAGGTTCTGCACCAGCATAATCTCTGATTATATCCATCTAGTGCACATTCCTACTTGCAGGCGCATACCACGTTGAATCAATCCAGTTCAAAGCTTTGGTGACAGTGCATAATTTTGACAGTTTGGAGTCCTAAATATTCCAAGCATCAGGAACAGTCTTCACCCCTGTAGATGTTAACAACAGATATATAGAAAAGGACTTTTCAGTCCTTGTATTCTGATGGGAGTCAGTCCCAGATATATTCACATTGTTCAGATAGTCTTTATGCAATCCAAGTTAACTTGATATCTTCACCATGATTCTAACTAACTCATTCAATACTCATAAGGGTTGAACTGATGGATTTCATACATGTAATTTAGTTATAGATTTAGTTGGACCACGGTCTCACATCTTTGCACACCATAGCAAATAGTCACTAATAAGTGTGAATAAAGGCAGCATATCTGGATTGTTTCATTCATTGTTTACTCAAGTTGTTATATGATGTCCAGGCCTTGCAATGCAGTGCATCATCATCAAATTGGCCCAGGACTGAAACTGGCCATCATCAATGGAATTGTGAGACCTGTCCCACCAACAAGTGCCAGCCCACATATGATCCTTGCAGATAATGCTAGCCCCAATTCACCTGTGAAGATTTCTGTGAGAAACCTGAGAACAGCAAATGCCAAGCTGTAATGGTCCACAATGTGAGTGATTAGTGATTGCGATCAAAGCTTTGCTTACCTTGTGAGATACAGAAAACTGGGTACAGGCCATACTGTGATAATGATACATCAAATAACTACAACTTATGGTAAAACTGTAATACATTAATCACTGTAATCCATAGGCACCTATAATCTATAGGGCTGATATATCAGTGGTGGATCCTATGAATACCACTTCTTGGCCAGATTGGTTTCCTGGGCCTGGTCCCTGCCTTCTTTTTGCCATCAATTGTGCTTCTTTCTGATTTGGCCCCTAGGTGTTTGTTGCCTTTGATTAGTAATCTAACTATAAAGTCATTCCAATGTAACTTCAATTAGTAATCTAGCTGTACAGTTCTTGGACAGTTCCGACACTTGTGCCATTGGTTGGATTACTAATTTAACTGTACAGTCTCAGACAGTTCTGATACTGTGGTCTATGTTGTCAATGACAGGTACAGCAGTCAACACAGGCCACTGAAAACTTAATTCTTCACCAGTGTACACAACCTACATCATCATCTGATTATGCTGTGTAAGTTTTTTTTTTATTTATTTTAACCTTGTTCCTGTTGTCAACCCAGCTCAAGATTTGGCAATGTCAGAGACCAGATGATTGTCGATTGAAAAAGAGGAGATTGATCATGTCATCAGCGCTGACATGCTGCCAACCTATGAGGACTGACATTCTACACTATATGTTGAGGCCCTGGCATCCCTCTGTGCTGATGGGTTTCATCAAACCTGTAGGGTTGATTGTCAAGTTTAATACATGGTATGTCCCTTAGAGTTGATGACCATGAAACTTCGAGTTGTCTAATTTATCACTGTAGGGCAATGTTGTGTGCATGCAAAGATCCTGAAACCTTCAAACCAGAGTGTCACCTTCTCCCACATGGAGAAGTATCTTATTCTCAACTAGCTAGCAGCTTTATGTATGGGAAGTTCAGGTTTGGCAGATGGTGTGTGGTTCCATCCTGGTGAATGCTTCATTCATTGGCAAACCTGTTTCTTACATGTTTTATATGCAGTGCTTTCCCTGGGCGTGTCTACACTGACTACATTGTGGGTTGCAGTTGTCCAGACTCTGGTGACTGAGACTATTTCATGGCCATGCTCTTGATTTTCTGCATTTGCCAACTTCTAGGGTTAGGGTGGGTTAATCTATATAAGGAAATCTGTTCCAGAATGTAACCCTAACCTAAAAGTGATGCAAACCAAGTTCATCGTCCAACTGCTTGCACAGGTCCAGGTTGGCATCTGTTAAGAACTATGTTGCTCAAAGGGAAGAGACTGACTCAGAGGGGCTTGGCCTCAGCTTGTATGCTGTGCCCCTTACCCGAGTATGGGCCCTTCATTTCAGATGAGGTCCGATAATGGTCCAATGAAGTCTGGAGGACTTCCAGAGGCTGGCTACTCTGGTGGAGTGCTAGAGGACTTCCGGAGGAGCACAGGAAATGTCTGGAGGAGTGCAGGAGAGTTCCCACTGCAAGGTAATACTTCTACAGGAAACAGGATGGAAGGATAGGAGGTCCAAAGGTCTGGAGGACAGGAGGATGGAGGACAGAAGGATAGGAGGTCCAAAGGTCTAGAGGGCAGGAGGGCAGGAGGATGGAGGACAGAAGGACAGGATGTCCAAAGGTACAGAGGGTGGGACATCTGAAGGACAGGAGGATAGGACATCTGAGGGTTAGGAGAATGGGACATCCGAAGGTATGGAGGATGGGACTGTCCAAAGGACAGGAGGATAGGATGTCTGAAGGTATGGAAGGAACAGGGGCTACATCAGACAATTGTCTGATGTAGAAACAACCAGAGGTAGACTACCCTAAGGTAGAGTCAGAGGGACAGGGATTGGACCTAAGTCCAGAAAGAGGGTAAGTGCTGGAAAGGTGGAGCTCTGGCCTAGGGAATCAATCCCTAGGCCTGATGGATAGGACAGACTTAGGTGGACCAAAGTCTAAGATGATATTCAAACTGAGGAAAATATAGGAGTATCTACAGGGGTTATATACTGGAGACTATCTAAGGGGATCAGTAAGCAAAGGAGCAATGCTATGTACAAGCATGTGGAAACACATTAGTAAGTAAGACAGGAACATAACTAAATGAACTTGGAGATGAAGACTCATACAAGGATCAATAAGCAAGATGGAAGAAGAGGTAACCAAAAGCCAGAAAGGCAGAGATGCCTAAATGGGGATAGGGCAGGATATCAGACAGAGGGTGGGAATAGGTCCGGAGTTAATATCTGGAGGTCTGGAGATCTGGGGATCTGGAAGACAAGGTGGATAAAGGACTGGGATATGAGAAGGTGGATATAGTCCAAAATCCGAGATGAGGTGAAGTCTGGACATCTTGCTGGATGGAGTGTGCATAGGGTGGATGGGACAGGGGGGTATGGATCAGGCTAGCAGTGGAGATCCGATGGTCTGGAGCTCAGGGGTAAATCTGGAGCAGAGTCGATCCTACTGAGGTGTGGAGCACACAGTGGAAAGGAATCTGGGAATGAGTTGGATATGAAGGGGGGTCCAGACATAGGCTTGGAAGGTGTGGGAATATGATGGAACATGGGTCTGGATTGTGGGATATGACAGCATCATTCCATGCAGTATGTTGATTCTCATCTCTTTCCCTCCTATCTGTATACCCAACCATTTTTGTCCATTCTGTTTTAATTTTTTTACTTAGTGATACAACATTTTAGACATGTCTGAAGACCATTAAATTTCATTTATACTAAGTTAATGGGCCACATGATGCCTGGTGTTGTTGTTGAAATAAATTCCACTCTTAGTGGACATGTTTGATGCAAAGATGATAATGAGCAATGAACACATCATGTTACATGTCCAAGTCAAATGTACATGCAATATTGTAAGAAAACAAAGTGTTAAGTCCATTCTAATGAACCCAACCCATAGATCACTGGCATGCAGACTTGCCTTTGCATGGATATGTTGTATTGTGAGATTAAGGAGGCACAGGGAGCAATACTAATGGTTGCAATAACTCCACATTCTCAGCCATGTCAACTTGTTTTGGGGGAGGTTGGAGAAGAAGTTGGCATCTAAGGGATTGAACATGAAATCTTGGTCAAATGAGGGCACCTGACTGGCTGTACTGAGTGCATGTGCAGGTAATGCAGGTCTGGAATAGACAGGTGATATATCAGTAGTGATATGTCCCAGAGTGTTGTCATTTTGGTAGGGGAACACCTGATCAGGTAATATATCAGTAGCAATGCATCCCAGAGTGTTGTCATTTTGGTAGGAGAACATCTGGTTGGCATTATCAAGCACATGCACAGGTAATGCAGACATGCCAGAAATAGTGAGTGATGTATCAGCAGGAGTACATGCACTAATGGATGGTGGTGAGCATTGCTGCTTCAGCTGGTGAAATCAATAATCAGTATCTTAGACCATGAGAACCAACTTGGATCAACTCATGGAACACACTCTACAAACTGGGTATAAGGAACCATAATGCACTGTGTAAAGTCAGGGTATGTCTGGCTGAACTGATTGTTGTTTTTTGTTGCACCAATGTGGAAGCTGCTAATGTCTAGAACACCTCCCATGGCAGGGTCAGGGCCACCCATCAGGATTGTGAACACCCAATCTGCCATCTCATACAGCTCTTTGAAGAACTAAGTCAGAATTGAGGTGATTTTGGATATATAACTGTTGTGATCTGGAGTCAGCAACTTGAAGGCTACAGTGGTCAGTGCACAAAGAAGACCACACGACTTACACCTCCTTGTTCACATTCAACTAGTTCTGCTCCTTTGCCTCCTGTATCTCGGCACACTTCTTCTTTTTCATTTCCTCCATGGCTGCAAAGACCTTTTCTCTAACTTCCTCTGATTCTTCTTCAAATGCTTGCTTAGTCTGTTGTGTGGTGATGCGGAGTGCAGATCCCCTGGCTGGCTTAGAAGATGAACCCTGTTTGGCTACAACTGCATCCTTGACCTTGTTGTGGTAGTGAATCTTGGAGTACATCTCCCATGGCTTTAAGACCCAAGAGTTCTTTTTTGAAGAACCTTTCTTCATAATATGGCCCAGCATCTTGTTCACAGTCACAGTATGTACAGCTAGGTCATTACAAAATTTCTCCTCCAAGCACTTGTGATGGTGAGGTAAGGCTTTAATTGTCTGATGAGATCACAAATATTAATGAATGCACCTGTTGACGCAGCATCCAGGATTTTGCTACAGTTTCCAGTTGCTCCTTGCCTCATTGAGGGGAATATCCTTGAAGACTTGAAGTCATTCTGGGAAGACCTTGGACCATTCCTTGAAGAATGGAGACCAGAATGGCTCATAGTTCTTGTTTACTTTACACTGGAGGAATCTTTCATGGTAAGTTTGCATGAATGCAATCTGCTCAGGAGAATATTTGCTGCATGGTGCCATCTGATTCTGTGAGTGGGTCTAGGCTATAGCACTGAGATATGTTAGTATATGCAAAAATGTTGCACAATGCCTTTGAACTGTGTTGCTTCTGTGTCAAGGCTTTAGGGTTCAATGGATTCACATTGATCCTATTTTTGTTACAAGCTCTGAGGTGTGAGCATCTAATATTAGACACATAACTGTCCTGTAGTCTACATACTAGATGGTCCCCTGTGTGGTAACTCTCTGCTGGACTCAACAGTTGAATTTCAAAACAAATAGCTAGCAGATGTTGTACCTTCAATGTCAGGCTATTGAACTGTCAAAGAATTAAATTTTTATGTTTGTGTGTTATGGAGCAATAGACATTACACCAAAAATATGTGGAGGACATCTAGTAACTGTCCCGAAGTTGCTCTAACTTAGTCTCAATCTTAGCATGGGACACAAATGCAAGTCATCATTAGAGTGTCAGAAAGCACACAAAGAATCAAAAGACCAACACTATTTTTGGTAAGTACCTCCAAGCTGTTCCCAACAATATGAGTTGTGTGCACTAACAATAAGCCAGTCATTTGGGACTAGAACGTATGAAGTCTCAACAGAGATGGTGAAAGAAATGGGGTGCTAATGAGGTGTGTTTCATAATTATGTGCTCCCTAGATCACTAAATTACTCTATACTACAGGCTACACTAGATGTCTTTGAGGGTCTAGATTCATTGTGGGCTGCTACATACACAGGCAGTCACACCAACACAGGATGTCAGGATCATGTTATCCAAATACTCCAGGATGTTGATGTTTGGGAGTGGGATCTAGTCAGACCTATTTGCAAGAAGGAATTGTTGAAAGCATAGGATATGGTCTGGGATGTTGAGGTACTTGTGCACTCTGTTGCCAATCTCGAGGGTCCATACTCAGATCAATTCCAAACTGAGTGCACTCAACTTCATTCCTGAATACAGCTGTGGCTTGCGGCCAAAGAACAGATCATTTCTTTAATGGACCAAGGGCAAGAGGTACTTGATCAAGCTCTCTATGATGAGAAGCTTGTCTGGCAATGAATTGTTAAACCACACACTATAGTCTTAGATCTCATATTATTCAAAACAAACATTGGTTCATAGTCGCTACACTAGATACACGCAAGATAGTACATCATACCCTCACAGTGACACCAGCCTCAATTACAGACTTGACAACATCAATCCCATCATCCATGGAGGCCACCTTCACAAAGAGAGCACGACTGACACCCTGGACCCATGGACCAACATTGTTCATGTCAGTGATCAATTAGTAAGCCAAGCTCACTGTCCGACAGGAATAAACAAGCATACCATCCATAGAACACCCCAATCTTTCAGCCCCTCATGATATAGTAGATGGTCACCCCAGGTTTATCATCCACAGGGACATTAAAGTACATGCCCATGTGCACATTGAGGATACTGCCCACAGCAACAGGTGCATCCACTTCAGCATAGCCATCTGCTGCATCTACTGCAACAGTGACTGTGTTAGTAGATGCAGTGGCAGCATTGGTAGGCAAGCTCCCTTTGATGGTAGATTGTTGCTCCTCATCACTGCTGATGAAAGACTCCATCTGTGAATCTATGATGTGTGAAGCATCACCACCATTGGGGTTTTTGGAGAGAAGGTTTAAGGCTAGATTGGCACAGTCAGTGGAGGAGAGCTGAAGTGTTGACAACAAGATCATGAGAGCCTCTAGTATGATTGAATTTTGGTCAGTACTGCAAGATGAATGTAGACTTAGGGATATACCTAATGTGTCCTTGGTTCCAGTGGAAATCTCTGTGTGAACTGAGGACATAGTGGATGCTCTGAAGTGATACTTGTGTGAACAAAGTTATGAGGTATGAATACATGTATCAAGACACTCACCTTTTATCCATCCAGACTATCCACGGCCTGGAGAATCATGAGTCTTGAGTGCGCAATTGCATGGGGTTAGTCATTGTTGGATGGACACATTGAGTCTCTGTTATGAACTCAGATAGAGTGTCATTCCAATAAAGGAATCAGGATCAAGGTCGATCAAGGACTAAGCCTTATCAAGTCAACGCCTCCCTCAGGAGCGATCACTTAGACTCCCGCAGGATCTAAGGTTCAAATAGGACAATGGCTAGCCTCCTTCCCAAGGAGCTAGAGTTCAAGTATCAAAGAGAACTGAGTAGATTCAAGTTAGAGAAAATACAAATGGTAACTAGGGTTTATATACATAAAGGAATCGTGCACAGACCAAGCTGGGCAAAGGGTAACTAGTACTGGAAATGGAAGATTCATGGGAAAACAAGGTATGAGTCAGAGATAAGAGAGACCATGAGGAAACGGCACAGTGAAAAGGAAGTGTTAGAAGTATAGCCATATAGGAGTCTGCAGTGATGATGAGAAAAAAAGAGTGGGGCACTGTAACAGTCTCCAATAGTACAAACACAAACACAAACACAAACTCTTGCCTTCTCACACTGATTTGCCAATAGTCTTCATTCATATGCTGGACAAATGCCTGACATTGTTCCAATTGCAGGTAAGTACTCAGTATTACACCCCCAGCAAGTCCAATCTGATGCACATCCCGGTCCCCAGTAGGTCCAATAGTCTGCAGGCATTATGCCAGTCTGGCAGAACTCCTGCTTCACCACCTGTCTTGTTCCCCACAACAAAAAGCATTCAATTTGCTAGCATCTGGTATCAGCAATACATTAGTACCAGAGGCAGAAGCTAGAGGACTCACCACATGACATCTGGCAAGTGCTTTGCACAGTTCCATACCCATTGCAAATGTCATTGGAACATCCTTTTCTACATCAAAATCAGGCCAGAGGTACTCCCACAGCAGCCATATCTTGTCATACTCCTCAAGTATTTCATCAATGAATAGGTCTGTTTCAGGAAACCCAGGCTTATGCTTCCTGTACTGAGGAATTTTTTCATGCAGGTATTTGGCCTTAGCTTGGCATTCTTCAGCCTTAGCCTCTTCCATCTGGACACAGCACATTATGTTAGCAGTGGTGTTGATGGTGGAACAAGCTTGTATGCACTGTGTGGGTGAGATGAATATTGTAGATACAGGTGTGGTTGGTGTAGGTTGTTAATCAGAATCTGGCCTTCAGATGGCTTATGTATGGATTTGCAAAGGGATCCACATTGTAATCATTCTCACAACAAGCCCTCTTGCAAACTTGATATGGCATGACCTAGCAAAAGGCAGCGTGTGCATGTTGAGTCCTTCATCCAAGGCCAGTAGCCCTCACATATTCCTTTGCAACAATGTGTTCAAGAATATGGACTCATGAGTGGTGGGTGTACCACATTACAGACAGCTTACATCCCACTACCTGAGGTTTCAATGAACAAGTTACCTTCTTCACTACAGACTCAGACTCAGTGCCCAGTTTACGACTTCTTTGATGATGTTGCTGCAGATAATAATGCAGATGACTGTGACCTTCAGTTAGCAAAGCATAACCTGACTCCAGCAGTAAGTGGTACTTTCAAAATTCAATAATTCAATCTAATCATCACACAGGACAACCCTCTACTTGTTTGGAAAACTGATTGCCAAATTTTTCTAGATGAAATTATTTTCTTGGAAGGCCATGGACATGAAGCTTCATGTTCACTCTGTTGCTGTGGTGATTCTGATAAAACATACTGATGCAAGGATTGTTTTGGGCCAGAAATGTTTTGTAGGGCTTGTATTCTCCAACACCACCGATGCCTGCCATTGCATGGAATTGAGATATGCTTGATTTTGTGCTGGCAAAATGTCCCTCATCTGCTCTGAATGTAGGAGTGGATTGATGGCTTTTTCACCATATGACCCTCAAGTCCCTGGGTATGCAGATCCAGCTGGGCCATAATCCTGGTCATTGGTGCCACAATCCACATCCTTCATCTGGTGACTCCTTTGTCATGATTGATGAGCATGGTATTCATGAGATCTCATTGGATTTTTGTGGTTGTGAGACAGCACAAATTCACTTCAAGCAATTGCTATGAGCATGCTGGTGTCCTCAAGCACTATCATCTCCTCTCCTTCGAATCTAAGGTTTTGCCTATGAATTTTATCACAGCTTAGCTAGATGCACTGACAACATGGGACTTTCTCTTATCAAAGTAAGTTTTAACTGTTTGGTCAGAGATCTTTAATGATGGTATGCAGGATTGTTATTTGGCTTTCATGTGTATTGTCCACAAGTGGCAGCACCTACAACAGGTCAAGTGCAGTGGCTGAGGTCATCATCCATCTGGAGCAAATGGGACTGACAGGGGAGAACTCACTGTACTTTGTCCAGCATGCCCACACCCTGGAAGAACCTACCTGATGGGTGGGAGACTGCACCTCCATCAATACAGCAAATATATTATTTAACCTTTGGTAAGGATGTTTGCTGATCTTTTGTGGCAGGTGGATATATGCACTTTTTATTGCAATCAATGCAAATTTTTGTCTGAAATGAAAGGCGGTCTCTTTGGATGAAGTGGATCCAGCTTTGAATGCTGGGTGGGTGTACTTTGTGGAAGAAACCAAATACAAAGAATATTTATTTGCGCAGGCAGGTGAGAGACAAGAGGTATGTAGACATTCACACCTGTTCAATGTTGTCTGACTCAATCATTTTTCAGCGCAGCACATGTGTTAGCCATAGCACCGTCAATATGGCAGACACAAAATCATCACGTGGCCTTGCAGCAACTGGTGTAGGTACTGTGGACTGTGCATGCCACGACTTCAAGTTACCAACTGGGGTAGGAGACCTTCAAAATGGTGAAAAGTGCATTTTTGTTTATTTTTAGTTGACGAATCAATTGGTGACATGTTCAAAGTATCTTAATATGGACTATTTGGTGTTCTCAGCCCTGGTTTGGTTTACGATCATGATGCTCAATAATTCCTATGATATTGCATATCAGTGGTTGAAAAAACTATGGACTAGGATGGACTTCATGCCAACCCACCTGCATATAGTGCACAACATGATGCTAATATATTATTTCATTCCCAATTTTCACATTGGAGCTCACATTGCTGCCTGCCAGACCTCTTACTCATGGAATTTAGCCAAGTTTGTAGGCAGGACTGATGGAGAGGCCCCAGAACAGGGGTGGGTGAATATCAATTGCATTGCATCAAGCACCAAAGAAATGGGACTGGGAAGCTGACACAATATGCTGGACAACTACTTCAGCAACTGGAATTGGAAGAAAGTAGTGATGTTCGGTGAGTTGCTTTTACTCTGACACTATTTTTAAGCTTTCTTACTGACATTTTGAAGGTCAGACCTTGATGCGCAAGATGAAGGATGTGGTGAAGTGGAAGAGGGAACACAGAGATGCCTTGCACAAGCTTGAAGGGACTATTCAGTTGGTGTTACTGGACGAGTGGAGACTAGAAATTGAGGTGTGAGAGGAGGACAGCAGCAAACTGAACCCTTTTGAAAGCAGAATTGCTTATGAGTTGTCACCCATCCCTTCCGCTTCTTTGGCTAACCACTCTTAGCTATCACACAGACTGCAGTGCAGGCTCAGCTCATGGAGCTGGAAGCACAAGAATTACAAGCTGGAGTTAATTCATTTCTTTAGTGGATGTCTCGCCCAGCATACTCATAAGTACTGGCATTGAATTAGAAGATCAGCAGTGCATTAAATTTTGTTTTATTATCACTCTCTTAGTTCTGATGCTACAGCAGACAGAGGCTGAAACATGACATTGCAAATATCTCCCTTCACCCTACCAACAAGCAACAAGAGACCATTACAAACAGGACCAATGCACTGCAGAGACAGATCAACTCATGGATAAGCATCCAAGAACTCTACATGCCTATCATTTCAGCACTGTGTTCATCAACCAACTATAATGCCAGTGCTACCAAAGCTGCTCTCAAGCCCCACCACCTTCCTCTATATCTCCCATCTGCCATTGACACACCTGTACACTGTGACCAATGGTTACTGGAGCATGAATAGGAACTGCACCATGTGCAGGCTCATAATGCCCTTAACGACATATGTTCCCACCTCTGTCTGTGCTCACATATGTATAAATTCAAGGACAAGAATCTATGTGGTCAAGCAGCATCCACTCACACTCAGAACTTAATTGCATGTGTTGAAGCAAAGAAAGATGCAGCAGTTGATAAGTATAGGCATGCACATCAAGCATTGGAGTCACTGGGCAGTCATTTGGATAAGGTGGGCTGGGGAGAGATGTTGCAGCCTCTTAGAAATGAGGATGTGAGACTGATGGGTGATTTTGTGGGTGAACATACTCAGGGAACTGGAAGGATCTCATGGATCTGGCTTGCTACAGATATTGACACCAGTCACTCTGAAAATGACCGGGTTCAAGATTGTATGTTTCTAGCTCACTGAGAATGACAAGCAACTAAGTCCAGTTATAGGTGTTCGCATTGAGTGGTGTAAGGCTCACACATGTGCTGTGCAATGGTCTGAAGAAGTGCAGCTACTTGTCGAAGAAATGAGACATGTTCCTGGTCTTTCTGCAGTGGCAAGCCCACTGGTGGAGTGAGTGCACAAACCTATCCATACTGGAGAATCCCTCTGACCAGGAGGGGCTTCAGGCTCATGCATTTTGTCAAGCTGCACTATGTTGTTCAATGCACCACTGATTCCAAACATTGTGGAGTGCTGTACCTGAACTTGTGGCTTCCACTCTTGACCCCGAGGCCTCTGAGCTCAATGATACTATCTGTACACCTTCAATCAACCACCCTCCTGACTTGCATGATGAACTTGTATAGTGCTATGTAGTGTAACATGTCTGGTGAATAATATTAATGCAGATTGATTCATAATCAGCTTAAGAGGTCAGATTCAATCTGAGATACCTGATTACAGGAACAAAATTGGAACATATAGCACAAGGAAGAACATGTTTGGGACAGTACAGGCAGTACTGAAGGGTAGGGAAAGGTAAGGACCATAATAGGGACTATAATCTATAGTACAATGATGTACCAGACCACCCTATGATTTATAGTAATTAATGTATCAGGGTTTTGCTATAACTATAGGGAGTGATACATTAATACCACAGGGACAGGTGCTGTGTATGCTTGCAAGGACTGCAAGACTCGCCATCTTCCTCTGTAAGTAATATGCCTATTGAGTAGTAATGTCAAGCTGAGATTTTCTTTGGATAGATAAAGTGGTTCAAACCACAAAATCAAGGGATCTCAGCCTGTAGCCAAAGTGCTGTGCCATCATGCAGGCAACAATGCAATAGACACTGAGGATAAATGAGATAGAACACAGTGTTTTTGTACCAGATGGTGTGCCTAAACCTGGGACCACAAGGATGCTGGCATTGACTGCCAAGATGATGCTTGCCTGTCAAAGATAAGTGTTCTCATCTAGGTCCACAACATAATGCTCACCATGGTAGTTTGAGCTTTGGACTGGGTGTTGAAGTCGTCCATAAATCCCCTGATGTTGATCCCATTTATGATACTATCAACATAAATATCTCTAAGTTGCTTGAGCACTACTATTGGAGTTCAAAGCATCACAATGCTAGCAGAACTGCTGCCTGAGATGGGAGCAGCTTTGTATCTGTTACCAATAAACTGTCATCTGCATTGCAGAACACATTCTGGAAGTGGTTGAATTTGTTTGGGGTATCATCAAGAATGGTTCAACTGGCTACAAATTTGAAGGCAGTGTCTACTTTGATACAGGCACATATCTTCCATCTCAATGATGAGGTTATGCTCAGTTGGAGCCCTGGAATAAAGGAAACAGGGAATTGACTAAAGGTGGAGGTATGTTGACACAATCGCAAGAGGAGATTTTATTGATACAACCATGAAGACAGCAGAGACCCAAGTCACATCTTTGGTCATCTTGTTAATGTGGCATTGCAGGACATTACAGTTCACTATAATGGCACAGCACGTGTGCAACTCACCCAGATATTTCATTCAGTTCATGCATTTACCTGCAGATCCCACTACCTTGTGATGCCAGCTATGAGAGCTTGCCTCCACCACTTTTGACACAGATGCTAGCCCCACCTGCAAAAGTCACATATGAGACCTCCCATCTATGTCCTCTATGTTGCTCAGGCATTGGTTCAAGTGCATTGCCCTCTCTGAGTCATGCCATATCTCCATAGACTATGCTCAACACTGCACTCCCTTCATGTTCAGCACCAAAGTTTACTTTTCTCTTTTCCATTAACCTTCTCATTACCCACTCTTAGCTCTGCCTCAGTTTCTTCCAGTTCTGCAGATGAGCAATCACCCAGGATGAGCATCTCATCCATTGAGTCTATTTCTTTGGTCATGATGCTGATTAGCTCTGCCTCAGGTATGTGTAGTCTATATTTGTATCACTAGCTGTTTATTCATGGAATATCACAGACCCATTCTCTGGAGCTATTATGCAGGAAAGGTAAAGCACAGAAAAAACATGGGGCTGCCAGGCTTACTTCTGGCTTTGATGCTTTCCTCTCCTTTCCCTAGTCCAACTACTCTTACATTTGGCTCTGGATCATTTGCACATAGCACTCAGATTGCAAGTGCCATGGTCATTAGTCACTTAAAGACTAGTTACACCACCATCAAGTACTGTTACTGCACAAATCTGAATGCATATGTCCAGAGTCTCAATGCACATACAAAGTACCCCTCAAGAGCAAGGTCCATCATCAGATGTGCATCCTCAAAGTGGCTCCCATGATGAACATGAAGCTCTTATTGATGTACTTGAATTAAGTGCCAATGCACTTGGAGCAGTCCAAAGCATTTTCATCAGGTGAACAAGGGTCCCAACTCTGAACTTGAGCCAAGGCATAGGTTTGCCTAGCTGAGTTTGTCATCCTTCACTCCACCTCAATGTATTGACAATCATCCCATGTATATAGTGGCATGCTGGATTGTTATACCATGATGAGCCAAAAAATAATCTGTTAGTGGTTATTCTTTCATCCCATATCACTGAACTCAGGTTCAGACACCTTATGTTCTTCACCTCTCACCAGTTTCCAGCTTTCCACCACTGCCCATGCTGGGCCACACAACTTCATTCACATCCTTCTGCTGGCAGGAAATAGTTAAAGAAGGACTTAGATGACTTGCTGGTGTTGTTTCTCCTACCTGATGGGTACATTGCATGCATTATACTGATATGATAGGTGTGATCTTAACATGTGAGCAGGTAAATGACAGCACATATATCGTTGTCATTGGAAATGCACTGCATACATGATTATAGATGATTCCAGTGAATGTTTAATGCATGAGCATTGTGCATTAGGAGTTAAGAGTTGCTGCAGTATGGCTACCCCACACCATACCTGTACCCACCAAAGCTGCATCAGCACAATGCCACTCATAAACTCTTGTGCTGAGTGCTGTGGTTTGCAGCCATGCAATTGGTGTACCAAAGTGGATTAATACTTATGTCATATATGAAGGTGAGTCATTGGTAGGCTTGTAAGTTTCAGTAGATGTAAATGAAGGCATCTCAGCCATAACAATATGTAATTGCCACATTTACTTCCAAACCTGAAGACAATGTAACACTTCATTTTCTGCTTCACAAAACAATCTACCTGTGAAGATGCCAGAGAGCAATGGTCATTGTAGCATTTGCTGCATAGATGTTAGCAATTTGGAATCTCATTGTGTGCAATTCCATTCAGCATATTGCTGGTTCAAGTTCTTCAAGCAGCCCGGAGTACCTGTCATTGTTGCCTGCCAGGATGATGGCACTTTCCAATGCCCAGCAGTGTCTTCAAGCTTTTGTGACTTATTCAAAAATGTACAATCATGGAATGAGAATGAAATGAAGAAACCAATCCACATCATTGTAGTGAACAGATAGGTCAAAGCACATGTGGGTATATGCCAGCAGTCTGGGGTGTAGGCGATCTAACTTTTGGATGCAGGCAATTAAACAAGAGAGTGATCTTGAGGATGATGATGATGAAAGTGAGCCTGAGGAGGACACTGAAAACTGGATGTATGAAGAGGAGTTATTGATGACTCTTTACTGGCACCTGTAGATGAAGACTACGAAATGGCTTTATCATTGTTTTTAAGAAACCCATATACTCCACTCACCTTTCCTGAATCCTCCCTCCTGCCATCCTGGTTACATGGATTCATCCCAACAATTTGATCATGGAGTTGAGCACTCAGGGCTTGGCTGATCGGGGCCTGCAATCCTCTCATTGGCAGCCATCTATGTCAGCCTTTGCACAGCACATGGTACAGAGTCCAAACAAAGATGATAACTTTAAGGTCACTGCGCCACCTCAATCTCAATTTACAAAGGTTGATCCCAGGACTAAGCCAGCACCAGCAAGGATTGAGACCATTCTGAGTCAGTGTCACTTATATTTCTTCCTGTGTTCAAGACACTAAATCAACTCTTGACACAGACCCAGCTGACATTTGAGTCTTTGGTCCACAGCCTGCTGATAGCAGGGGCATATTTGCTATTCCCTACAGTCATCTGTCCATCTTCACCTCAGCATTTCTGAATATGGCTGCCTGCATCATATATAAACCCCTTGGGTTATTTATATGCATAATTTGTGAGATTGGTATTGCCACTAAATAGTCTCTCTTCCCACTGACAGAAGCATCATGACGTGCCTGCACTTACCGCTGAACAGATCTCAGCATTGGAGGCCTACAAACTTCATGAGTTGGACAGCTTCCAGGACAGGGACAATGCCAGCCCCATTGTTCCCAGGATCCCATATCAAGAAGGATATATGTGCATGTTTCAGGGCTGCTGCTTCACCACCATCTCAGAGCAGCATATTCAGGCTCATGACAAGGATCATCTCACTCACAACAATTGGAAGAGCTGCACTGGGCAGGCTTTTTATGCCAGCATGCAAAGAAAGTACCTGGTAGTCGTCCCTCACTCTCCTCCTGTGCTACATGCAGCTCCACCAGGATCTCAAGATTTGCTCAGCCAGGTGGAATCCTTCTATGAGCAGCACTGCATTCTGCACAAGGGACATTTTGGACCACATATGGACAGAGCTCACCTGAACCCATTTCTGGCCAAGTATAACTGGTTGGAGGTGATCAAGGATGAGTCGCCTTCTGATATTGTGGACTGGGCAAAGATGCCTGAGAGAGATGAAGGTGAGTTGACTGGCATCCTGCCATGTTTTCAGCATTATTTTGGCGAGATAATCAAGCTGCTAACCAATGAAATTGCATTTCAAAAGACTTGGATACTGCAGTCTGTTAACACCACAAAATCTCTGTGCGTTTTTTCCCTCTATTCATTCATTCTTGGCTGACAGTGCCATAACCTAGCCATGACCTCAATAATTGACCCTTCAAAGCACTGATGCGAAAGCAAATGATCAACTGCTATGTGGCAACATTTGCAAAGTTGATTGCATTTGTATGTTGAGCAAAGGATGGTTATCTCAAACATGCCAGCAATTCCACAGTTCGAAAGGTAGCTCTGGTGAGCAATATACAGTACTGTAGCAAGCAACTTCTTATCAGCATGGACAAACACCAGGCTGCTCATTCAGCTTCCCATGAGCTGGTAATGGTACTGCTGATGACACTGTATCTACCTACAATGCCTCTTGAATGCCCAGGCAAGCTCCTTCTCATCTTCAGCTGCATCAAGCTTTCCAGCCAAATACTGGACCCCATCCACATAAATCCATTTATGAGTGAGTTGAGATGGTGTTTGAGAGCCACAGGTTTCTATCAGATCTGTCTGTTGTTCGAAAATGCTCCCACTTTGATTTTGGAGAACAATCTGCAGTCATGCATGTTACCCCTCTCTTGTCTTTGACTAACAGCTGACTTGACTTGAAGAACAGTCTGATTGAAGAAGTCCACAGGTGGCTCCAGGATAATTGCATGAATCTTTTTGGCAACCTGCTGGAGATAGGACATTTTCTCTCATTTGTCACTGCCAACACGTCCCTGCTTCCCCAAATGATGTGGGCAGATCTTGAAGGCTCTGCTCTCAGTTTTGATGGATGACTTGTTCCTATTGCCAATGTCATAAATCTGTACCACATCCTCATGGAGGAGACAAAGGTTCAGCTGTATGAAGTTGTACTATTGGGGGCTACTTTACCGAACATCAATCAGGAGCACATTTACGATGATTTGAGTCGCCTTAATCAGGTTTACTTATTTCTATCCAACAGAAGGAACTGGTTCTGGGAGCATGGATCAGCATTGATGAAAGCAATGACATTGACTTTCTCTAAGCATTTTGTTGTGTCATGCAACTCTAGTGGCATGGTGTGGTACCAGGGCCAAGTCAGGCACTAGATGAGGGATTGCGAGGACTGCCTTCAAAAGCTTTTTCTTCTCTATCATCTGGGCTCTGGACAGCCTGCTTGAGGCACCAAGCTTGTCATCATGTCCTGGAAAAACACTAACATTCACCCTAGGAACATCTACTAGTTTTCCAGCCATTTAAACTTCATGTCATGCTATAACAAAACTCAGACCAACCAGGATAAGGAGTGGGTCATTTCCTGGAGTATGCCTCCAGAAGCTGCTCAGCTGATGCTAGCATAGCTCATGTTCATCCCAAAGGTTCTGGCCACCTTTGTTGCATGTCCAAACCCTAACTGACCTTTATCTCAAAGACTTTAGCCATGCTCACTCTCTACCTCAGCTCTGATGGGCAAGACTTCCAGTCTTCTGCTGGATATGAAAAACATCTGTTCAATGGGCTGCATGGGCCATGGGACTTGGATGACTTCTCTGACATCCTTATTGCTCATACTGGTAGACCAGTCTCTGAGGGTGGACTGGGTCATCCCATGGGCCTGGCTGATATTTGGCACCTTCTCATTGGCGTCATGCACAAGCACTGCAAACATCTTGTAGCTGATCTTGACTTAGAACACTACTTTGATGAGCAGAGTGGGCACCAGGGGGAGGTTGCAAGGGGATATGTGGTTGACCACTCCTATGTCCAGTCTGTCTCAAGCAATCACCTGCAAAAGTTTGTGGCTCTTAGCCATGCTCATCATGCCCTTCTCTTCCCTCCAGCAACCCCAATCATTCCCGCATCTCCTTCTTGTATTTCATCCTCTGTTAACACGCAGCCAGTTGACTTTGACTCTCCTGCTCCTGCCACCTCCCTGCAAGGCCACTTTCCACAGGAAAAGCCACTTCCTATTGATGTTGATGTTCATATGCTATCGGAATTAGCTATTGTGCTTCTGCAATCTGCCCTAATGCCCTTGGTGGTCACAGCAATATTGGATGCTTTTGCAGCATATACCTTTCGTCAAACCTCTCAGCCAGTTCAGGAGCTCTGTCCAGGTCCCCCTCCCATCAACCCTCTGCACTTTCAGGAACTTTGGTGCCTCATGGGTCATAATGCTTCCTTTAAATCCATAGAGCAGGCCTGTGCTTTGGAGGCTGTCAGCACCAGGCTCAAGGACCTGATCAGGAAGGGAAAGACCCTTCTTTATATGATGCCAGTGGTCAGTATCGTGGAGAAAAGCCTTGCATCAGTTGTGATTGTTCCTCTCAAGGCCTTATTGGATGAGCTTCGCACTTGCTTTGAGGAGAAAGGCCTGCTCACCTTGACCTGGAGCCCCAAAATAAAGACTTATGATGCCAGGACCATCTTTGTTTCTGTGGAGCAGCTAGAATGTCCATTGTTTTTTGATTATATCCAAGAATGTGTTCAGAAGGGTGCTCTCTCCCACATCATCATAGATGAATCTCATTGTGCCTTAACCTCCAAGCACTATAGACCATGTCTGCTGCTTATGCCCCACCTGCGCCAACTCCCCCTACAAATTGTTGCATGCACAGCAACACTGCCTCCCACCACCATCCCCTAATTCTTGCAATATTTTCAGATGCTCTCTGGTGCTACTGAGATTATCTGCAGTAACACTACTAGGAAGGATATTTCATTCAATGCATTCACCATTGTGGCTGGTCAGTTTGCCATTCCCTCCTTGCTGCACTTTTGAGATGCCCAGAAGGGAATCTGACCAATACTACTCGAAGCCTTCAAAATGTCAGACAACTAGGAGGCAGGGTTTGCAAAATTGCTTACCAAAGGTCATAAACTGCACACTAGGTTCTTGGAAAATATTGTTGGGAAGAAGCATTAAGGCAGATACTGCTTGTTGGCTGGTGGCAGAAGAGAGGTTATTCCACCAAAAAAGAATAGTTGTGTGATATCAAAACCACAAATCACAATGAAAATGACAATCACACCACACTCTCCTTTATAGCTATTCACATTTGTGATACTAGGTGTGTTGATAAACCACTCACCCTGGACATCATTGGGATAGGTGCAATTGTTCGAGAAGGGCATAAACTGGCCAGACTGTGAGACAACCTGCCCTGAGCCCAGCTTATTATGCTTGACCTCGAGAATACCAATTTCAGGTAGACCACAGCTGACAGCCACAATGGCTGAGATAATCTTCTCCTGGCCAAGTGCATGACCTTGGAAGAGTGTTAGTGGTGTGTGTGTCCAATATTGAGCATGAACAGTGGGTATGTATGCCAGTAAGGAGGGGCAAATACAAAAAAGCTGGAGAAGGAGTCAGGTATGATTTATAAAAGGTGCTATCCCAACAGCCATGATAGCTCTTGGCCTTTGAGGTGTTTAACCAGAGAGCAGCAACTGATCTGGCTCTGTCTGGTTCAGGAAAGTGCTGACATCACAGGAGTCATAGCTGAAGCAGAGTAAGTATCTGAAGCACTGTTCAGACAATTGAACTCATGAGTAAGGCCATATGCCATCTGTAGTAGTAGTCACACCATATCCCGGATGTGCAAGATTACCCATCATCCATGCACCCAGCCACTAAATCAATCCATGGATTAGTACTACACATCCCACACTATTCCTGTTAAGAGGAATGCTCAATGCCATAGCCACTCACATAATCCTATCTCTCCTGATTCAGACCCAGTAAACTGATTGACACTTCAATATGGCCGCCACCTGTAAAGCAAATCTTGTTCCAACTCTGGAACATACCACTCTGGTAAGGCAAGTCATTCTCAGGGATCTGGTCCATGACAATGCTCAGTTACCCACTCCTTATTGTTATCTAGTGGGGTTATGCCATTCCTGATCATTAGTGCACCAGTACCAGGTTTTGGCAGCTTCCCAAAAAAATTATCCTCAGGCCAGAAAGTGCAGCTGCATGTGTTGCATTCGTCCAAGAAGACTAGCTTGTAAGGGAAGCTGTCAAAGCCTGTCTATGTCCCATCACCACTGGGATGAGAATTGATGAGCTGAGTCATTTGGAATCTGGATGGGCCACACCATCAGTCAGATTGTCTATATCATACAAAAGAAAATAGAACAGTGGCAAAATGATGAAGTGGTGGGACTGACCGGTTCCATTGATGAGCACGTTGCTTGTAATCATGGGTGCGATTGTGATAATAGATGAGAAAGGGATAGATGATGAAAAGTCAGGAGAGGGCAAAAATGGAGAAGAAGACCACTCCAACATTGAGGAGACCTCATCATAGATGTAGGGCACAAGAGCACCACATGCAATCCAAACAATAGAAGGGCACTTTCGATCATATGAAAGTGAGAAAATGGAATCTCCTGAGGTACTGAAGACTGAATTGTGATTAGGGAGTGGCTCCAGTAGGATCAATTAACTGTCATCATCTTCTGCAAGTAGATGATGTAGTATCAGAACCACACTGACCAGAAGGTAGTGAGGACTTGGGAGTCTTCTGAAGCCATGTGGTTGAGTTGCATGCTTTGGTGAGACTGTGACCTGTAATGCAAATTGGTCTGAGGAAAACCTGGGGATGAAATGGAGCTCAAGGAAATTGGGGTTCAAGGGAGATGATACTCACTGTAGTTGAGTCAGGTTGGCATTGTGGGATGAGCAATGTGTGGGTGTCTGTCTGGACTGAAGTTAGTCTGGAGGAAGCAGGGCATTTTGAAGTTGAACGTTCTGGGTGTTTGTGAGGACAGTATGCACTGGGTGACTTCCGGACTCAGACTCGAATGTTGTGCTTCATCACAGTCAACATACTGGACTATTTGGCCATCAACAGTATCACATGGACTGACCATGCCATCCTCACATTGTGAACCAAGAAGGTAGCACTAGTCATTAGATGAACTTGCAGGAACTGAGGACTGAGATGGCATGCCCATTCCTTGCTTCTGAGACCTCCTATTGACTCATGCTTCTTATGGCTGGCCCATTGGTGGTACCTACATACTATTACCTGCACATAATAAGTACTATACTGACTCCTGCAGTTAGACAAACCAGTGCTGTACTCACTTTAATTAGTTCCTCAGCTTTTATTGATGAGCACACCAGCATGTCATGTATTCAAGTTCACTGATCACTTTTTTGGCTGACAGGTCCACATTTCAATTTTCAACAGCCAAGTCAAATTGAAATTATAATTGGCATCAAACTGCCATGGGACAATGCGGGCCAAACCCTGTAATGCATGGATATCACAGAGATATTGCTCAATCAGTATGGTCAAGCTGACATCATGATGGTAGTGGCAACAAGAACTGTGTTTTGGGAGACCAGTCTCAAAGTTTCTGTGTTCATGGGAAGGAAATTACTTAATAACAGACAACTTCATGCCATATACTACTACTAGGGGGCAGCTTTGATGTGTTGTCTCATTCAGAATTATGGCACACCATGACTTGAAGTGGACCTTAATCCCATCATGCTGGCATAGATTCAAAGGTTCAATCCTAATGTGATAGTTCATATTGAAGTTGTGGGTAGGAAGTTGCATGTACAAAGGTAGGGGAAGACATAGTATCTGTTCATTTATGATCTGACCAGGGGAGACTAGTAAATACTAGCAGGTGAATTTGAGCTTTGATGTAACTTACACTACTGTGAGTTTTCCTCCATCACTGGCATGACCATGCCTTTGCTCTGCCTGTATCGTTGTTCATCAACATACTTATTAATATCAAGGACCGACTGCCAGTCAGTGCCTGTTTTCTCCTGGCAAATGCACTTGATAGCCATGGTATGACTCATAGACATGTTCTCCTTGTCAGCATCATATTCATTACTGATATCATTGATGATCTTCCTTTTGCATGTCTGATGTGTAGCAGACACTCGGGCTTCACAGCCTATGAGGCCAACTTTAGTTTTCTAACTTCAAGATCAGTATACCAGATCCAATCCTTATCTCATCTCAGATCCAATCCACATCTTATCTCCCTCCAACATCTTGTCATCCATTCTGTCCACTCATCTGGTCTAGTCCACAATTCATCTGAATCCACAACCAGCGCTTGTCTCTTTTTGGTAATCCCCTAACTCCGGTATTTCAGTTATCTGTATATCTGTCCTGCTCCCTGATCCATTACCTATGCTTCATTTCTGTTTCATTATTTGTGATCCGTTTCTACTTACCAATAGACCATCCATATGCTTCATACATAGCCTCAGACTCTGCTGATTGATCATTCTATTAGATACCTATAGTATATAACCTCCTGTAACTCTCTGTAGTACCTCAGTTGGAATATCAACTTAGTTCTGCTCATTCCCATCCTCCAGACCTGAGTACTGCTACTCTTGTCACCCTCTGAGACTTAGGATTGATTCCTATAGTCTATCTGCATCTGCCTCTGTCTACAACAGCCATTACCACTAGTTTCTAGTCTGGACTCATCCAGATCAGTCTTATGATACTTATCCCTCATCCGGAAGTCATCTGGATCTGCTATGCTACCCGTCTGACCCTCTAGACATGTTAGTCTTGCCTTCCTGTCATATCCCACGATCCGGACCCACATTCCATCATATTCCCACGCCTTCCGAGCCTATGTCCGGACCACACTTTATATCCAACTCATTCCCAGATCCCCTTCCACTGTGTGCTCCACACCTCAGCAGGATTGACTATGCTCTGGATTTACCCCTGAGCTCTAGACCATCGGATCTCCACTGCTAGCCTGAACCATAACCCCCTGTCCCATCCACCCTATGTACACTCCATCCAGCAAGACATCTGGACTTCACCTTGTCTCGGTTTCTGGACTCTATCCACCTTCTCATATCCTGGTCCTGTATCCACCTTGTCTTCTGGATCCCCAGATCTCCAGACCTCCAGATATTAACTCTGGACCTATTCCCACCCTCTGTCTGATATCCTGCACCTATCCCTATTTAGACATCTCCGCCTTTCCGGCATTCAGTTACCTCTTCTTCCATCTTGCTTATTGATCCTTGTATGAACCCATACTCCAGTTATTTTGAGTGAGCACAACGCCAGGAATGAGTAAACAACCCTCTGTGCCTCATTTGAGTAGAGGGACTTCATGACAACATCAACAGGATGAAGATGTGGAGGTAGGAGACAGTGGAAGTGGTTGTGCAGAGGAAGGAAATATTTGGTGTACAACTGTTCGCTGTATGACTGACTTGACTGATCAATAGGAGGAGGCAGGTTGGAGGTAGGACACTGTGCAGTACAGACATTTCTGAAAGTCTTGACTCATGTGTTTGTGGCGGTTCAAAAATAGTCAAAAAGCTGAAAATTCAGTGGACTTGCACCACTCTTATCCAAACTCAAGCAGAAAAACATAACTGTCACTCCTCTGAACATTAGATTATGTCTAATATGTTGCCTGAATGCTCTGACAAGGAGAATGTCTTTAACATTCTGAGCCAGGGAGAGTGGGCCACCCTAGGGTGGTGTGCCATCAGGTGTGCACCTATCATTAGGTTAGGAGCACAGAAGTGACTTCCACATGAAGGTCTGATTGATAGGGGACCATAGCTAACAACTCAGATAGATAGCTATCTGCAAGGACACTGACAAGACTCTGATCACTGAGGTTAGGACTTATTGCATAATACTTAACTACTTGCTCTAACTGTGACTCATAAAGGTTGCTTGTATGGCTATTGGTGTTCTTACTACTTAGAATTAAAAGACTTGGTCTTCCCTTTGACATGAACTCACCCAGGACAAGACCAATGCAGCCTGCCTGCGCCTAGTCAATAATACTTTACTCATTGTCTGCTTGGATGATGCAGCTCCAGGTCATGATGGTGTCAGCACACTCATTCAAAACAGTGAAAGGGGAGAAGTCCTTGCTGCTCTATGCAGTAATTTCCTCTATGGAACTTATGACCTACAGGAAGGTGTGCAGGTTGGCACATGCACTCACTGGTGGTATGACAGGGTCAGTCAGTGTTCACAATGTTTGTCAGTAATTAATTTCATTCATTGATCAATTTAAGCTACAAATCATTGTGTGTGCAGATGGTGCCACTGGCATCAATTTTGAACATACCGGCATTGACAGCCACACAGTTTTGAGGCACCCCTCAGTCACCTCAAACTTGTTTTCTTATATGTTCATGTTACCATTAGGTTTGCTGCAGACGTCTTCACTGAAGGCCTAATGCTACTTGCATGTTTAATCAATCCCTCCATACCCATGCTGTTCCACACACCCCTTTCCCTGCATGCCAAATCCTACAAGCCTCCCAAGTTGATACCCAATGGCAAATTTCTCAAAGTTTCTCATATGATACCTTGCCTGCTAAACTCATATGGACCCTGACTCCTTCAATTTGAGTCAGCATTCAGTATGCTGAGATGTGGCTGAGTGACCTTATATGTCAGAATGATTGTCAGGTGCTCAAGTTCAAGGGTTATGGAAAGAATTTCATCACAAGTCATCGTTTCAGCCCAGATGCATTTGTGCAGATAGCTTTTCAGGTGGCATACTTTGGACTTTATGGTCAGGATACACTCTTCTGAGACTCTGAAATTTTAATGCTGATGTGGTGATAGGGAGAATGGAATGTACTTATAAACCTGCAATAATGAAGGCCTTCCTTCATGGCAGGACTGAAGCAATCTGGACAGTGTAACCAGAGGGTGTTGAGTTCATGAATGTAAGTGCCCACATGATCATTGAGTCCTTCTTCCTTACTGGTTTCCACTCATCTATTTAGACATTTTTACTGGAGTGTTCAACTCTTCTAGCAGCAACCCACCTCTTGAACCCTCTTGTATTCACTATCTCAATGTGTGGTTCTTCTGAAGTGATTCTCTATACTTCTGCCCTCTTGACATTGTTCTATGCACTTGAACATCAACACAACACTGCCACCATGATGCTGGGACCCCATGCTCACTGGCAAATCTACCTGATCATATATGGGGTTAGCTGTGTCTCTGTGATTACCTTGCAGCATGTCAACAGCAAAGAGTGGGATTTCATGTAACTACATCATCTGGTTGGAAGACAGGCACTTTGTTTCACCCTGCTTAGTGGAGGGACATATTATTATTCTGGGAGCAATACACTATGCTATGTAAGTATCTGCATCATCTTCAAGCACTGAACCTCACTCACTACTACAGGTGGGGATACCCCTTCCTCTACAAGGCATATCTATATCATACAGACCGGCATGATCATCAGCACAACTTTTCTCCTTACTTCTACCTCATCTACCTCACATATTCTAGTTCTAGAGGTATATCAACTGACTTATTAATCTGGCACCAGCTGCTCCACTCGCTAATTACGAGTCTTATACCCTAACTAATGTTGTCCCTTGGGACTGGCCTCATCCTTGGCTGACTCTCATCCAATCTTCTGTTCATGTGGTTTGTACAGACATTCACATTCATGCTCTTCAACTGCATGTGCACATCCCAATACTTTATTTGGTACACCCTCTTCATACCCCTACTTGTACCTCACACCACCATTTCATGGAAAAAGTGGGTGACATGTGGAATAGTCTGGATGGGCATGCAAGTGCTATGGCTTGCAGAGGCATACAAGTTGGAGTCCTCAGTGATGATGTGTTCTTTGGGCTTTGGGTCAGGAGTTTGATTTATGTCACTGGTCATGTATGGGTACTTGGGGTCATCATGAGTGCATATACACCCTTTGTATTGTGTAACCAGCCTACTCAGACACCTGGGTAGTGCTCATACTGACATATACAGCATTATCCTGAACAAGTAAACTCATTAATCTGATGCCACTTGGAGAGTGACTCAATTAAAATCTTTATTCTTTTCATTCGTTGTCAGTGTCATATCTGATCCTTATCTCATCTGAGATCCAATCCACATCTTATCTCCCTCCAACATCTCATCATCCAATCTGTCCACTCATCTGGTCCAGTCCACAATTCATCTGAATCCACAACCAGCGCTCATCTCCTTTTGGTAATCCCCTAACTCCAGTATTTTAGCTATCTGTATATCCGTCCTGCTCCCTGATCTGTTACCTATGCTTCATTTCCGTTTCATGATTTGTGATCCATCTCTACTTACCAATAGACTATCCATATGCTTCGTACATAGCCTTGGACTCTGCTGATTGATCATTCTGTTAGATACCTATAGTATATAACCTCCTGTAACCCTCTGTAGCACCTCAGTTGGAATATCAACTTAGTTCTGCTCATTTTTGTCCTCCAGACCTGAGTACTGCTACTCTTGTCACCCTCCGGGACTTAGGATTGATTCCTATAGTCTATCTACATCCGCCTCTGTCTACAACAGCCATTACCACTAGTTTCTAGTCTGGACTCATCTGGATTAGTCTTACAATACTTATTCCTCATCCGGAAGTCATCCAGATCTGCTATGCTACTCATCCAACCCTCCAGATGCATTAGTCTTGCCTTCCTGAAATAAGGGGCAATACTTGAGTAAGGGGCACAGTGCACAAGCTGAGGCCAAAGCCCTTCAGATCCAGTTATCCCTTAAGTACAACCTTAACAGTCAGAGGCATCAGCCATTGCTCAAGCTTAAGCTTGGCAACCTCATATATTGCAATAACCTCCTCTTCATCCAAGATCTGGTTTATCACCAGCAAGAGGCAATGTCACAAGGAAGTATGAACATACCTGCTCTACACCTGTCACTTCTGGCATTTAGTGCATTAATATCTCATTTCAACATTGTCCATGCTAGAAGAGCACCCTCTGCAGCTTTCTGTCCATTTGATTTCAACCAAGTCTTCATCACTAAACTCTTGATATTCTATATCACTGTCATCTTCCTGATCACAAGTTGGACATGAGTGTCAACTAGCTCTTTGATCATTGCTATTGTCTTAGAGCCCATATTGAGAATTTGATTGTCCTGAGGGATGGCAGTTTCTCTGTCCTCTTGTGATCTGAAAAGTGGTAAACTGGCAGGAAACTGCTCCATAAGTATTGACTAGATCTCTGACTTGATAACTGCCCATAAGACAAATAACAAGTGATGGTTTTAACACTGTTCATGATGCATGGAACTTGGCTATTCCTTTGCCTATGACACCTAAGCCTGGTATGAATCTGATAGAATCATCATTAGGCATGGTCTGTGTTTGTATGAACATGGACCAACCTGGATGTCAATGTACACCAATGATTCACAGCAAGAAGGCAGAAATGAATAAGTGGCATGCATTGTGGGGGGGCTACAGCAAATGATGGTGCATGAATGCCCGAGACCTAGTAGCTTGATATAAATTATGATAAGAACAAGACAGTGTGCAAGACAGATGAAAATATTCCCCAGTGTTTGAGAATAACCTATCAATCAGACCTTTGTGCAAAAGTCACTTCCACACACCTAATCTCATGATGGGCAGTGTGTGAGCCTGACTACAGGGGATCAGGGATAGCAGGTGAGTGTGCAGTAGCTGCTGCTAAAGCTACAGGGGACTCAGGCTGCCATGCATCTGCACCCTTTGACCAGGCCATGGTTGGCCTGTGCTACTCAGAGCTTCAACAGGTAGCTGCAAGTCCTGGTAGAGATCACATGGGTGCATGGATGAAAGGCATGGATTGCTTACCATTATTGCCACAGCTTGCCACTCGTAACATGTGGGGTGCAGAGGTGGCTGAAGTTTTAGGCTGAGGTGTTTGGGGCTTTGGAAGGAAACACGTTTTGCTGATAAGCAGGGTGGCCATCAATTCACTTAGCCTGATATGGCTAGATTTATATTAATATTACCTTTTCACTACAACTTCAAGGCTTTGAGGAACTGCATTGAGATAAGTTGTATTTAGATGCTGCTATCACCTACCACTGGTCTTAGAAGTAAAAGAACTTGTGTTTTTGACCTCCAATTCCATTCAATCCGTCTCCTGCAAAAGGTTCGTAATCTCCCTCGCCTTCATGTATTAATTCATTTGCTGATTTAACCAAGGGAAAACCACAAATTGGAATTGGGGGAATAAGTCCCCATCAAAGTCTCTTACTGAAGATACACAGATTTCTCCTTTGAAGCACGCACATAAATATACTCAGTCTGATACTGAAGATCACCCACTTCCCACAAAGTATCAAAAATCAGCTAACACCACAAGGAGTAAAGGCAAGCGAAAGGCTATTGAAAACACTGCTACAAAAGAGAATGATGGAGTTAAAGTCAAACAAGAATTTATTGAAGGCTCTCCTACCAGCCCCCTCAGCAAAGTCGAGTAGTCAACATACAAATTTGGCTCTGTAATTTTACTAAATATGTCTCTGTCAATCAATAATGATTTATGTGTGCCACTATGCTCCAAGCTTCCATTTCATTCTTCATGACATTATATCTTGCCAATCTTAGCTGTCCAGTGCATCATGATCCATAGACATTCGTAGTCCACAACATATAATCATATGATGACCTTAACAGTGCTTTCATTTTCAATCATCCACTCTGATGCCTCTAACCAAAGAACAAGATGCAGAATGATCATGGAGACATCAATTAGACCTGTCTTTTCATGAACATGAGGCTGCACAAAAATGCACTGCAAGAACAAGCGCTGTATTAGATGAGGATCCATGACCACAAAAATGAAGCTGTGAAGATGCACACAATCACTCTTCAACTACTGCTGGTTGTCTACATCCTCACCATGAATTATCAGTCAGTCTTACCAGAATCCTTCATCATTTCAGTTAATTAAATTTCTTCTAGCCTGCACCTCATTCTAACCAACAGACAAGTCAGTGGTGGGATCAATTTCATGTTTCACTACAACACTCTTGCTGGCAACCTCCATGTTGGAATAGAACATGTGAGCATTGTCAAGCCCACCTTCTCAAAGGTGAGAACAATTCATTCTGCTGCAACAATGGCACATATATAGTCCCACACCTACCACCTCTGCCCCAAAACATTGCTGATATCCTTAACTCTGCAACTCTTTCACAAAATATCTCTGCATCATCTTGTTGTCTTAACAATCTCTTCAAATTTACTGCCATTGGTTCCAGTAAAGGATTTGCTCATTTTTGAAGTGGAATATCATCTGTTGCTGTCACAGGCAGGACTTACCACCACATTTTCGATATTTCTGAACAAGATCATTCATTCCACTGGTTTTTATATGATGAATCAGAGAGAGATTCACATGCAAACACCTTCAATATTCCAATCAAGTGGACACAAGCTCTCTGTGCTGACTTGCATGCACATAACCCATATGTAGCCCATCTCCAACAATTTCATCATATCCCACATACAGCAACAATGGCACTAGAACTTTCTGAATCATCTTCAAACAATGATTTTGCAGCAATTATGCATGCTGCTAACTCAACTTCTGTCTGCCCTCAAAATATCCTCATATGGTGTAATTCTGATCAAGAACCTACATTTGTTTCCATTTATTCACAACACTATGAACCTCTGCAGTACCCACTCCTTTTCCCACATGGAACTTTAGGATGGGGCCTGACAGCAGATGATCCATCATGTCCTGACCATCTCACATGCCCATTTGACTTCACACAACAGCAGTGGTACAAGTCCTGACTTCTCACAGAAGATCATTTTCTACACTTCGGTTGTGTTGCATCTGAATGTATTGTTGATATGTACTTGCACATAGAAGAAGAATGCCTTGGCTACATTTGCAGAAATCACATCAGTCATGCCCAACTGTCTGCACCAGAAGGACAATAGGTTGGAATTCCAAATATCAAGTTACCTACCAGTTTCATTGGTTCATGACATTGGGCATCAGAAGAAATAGCAGACAGCCTTGCACTTGCCTGTGCTTTCGATTGTCCTTCTTATTTTATCACAATGACTTGCAATCCAGATTGGCCAGAAATCAGAGCACAACTCAGACCAGATCAAATGGCAGCTGATGCTCCTGTAGTCACTGCACAAGCATTCAAATTGCAATTGCAACGCTTACTTGACATTATCCACAAACATCTCAGAGAAGTCAAGTATATCATCAAAATCATTGAATTCCAGAAATGTGGGTTTTCACACGCTCACATCATCATCAAAGTGTGTATCACACATGTTTAACAAATTCAACAAATGATATTGACTTTTTTCTGTCACATTAGGTCATACCTGAACTTCCTTGAGACAAAATCAATGTCTTCATCAAGGCTAAACTCCCCAAAGACAATCCTTGCCTTTGTGACAAGATTAAACAGTTCATGACTCACCATCGAGGCCACCTCATCCGTGAGAACAGCCATTGTCAAAAAAACAATAGTTGCATATATGGGTTTCCTCATCCCATTACACCTGAAACATGGGTTAATGAACAAGGTCATGTTCACTTTAAACAGACTACTGAAGAAGACCAATGGATTGTCTCACACATCCCTGAACTCATTGATGAACTTGACTGCCATATTCATGTCGACATTGTCTTTACCATGGCTGTCTTCATGTATCTCTACAAGTACCTGTTCAAGGGCCCTGATCACATGTACTTCCATGTTCAGCAAGACAATGATAATACCATTGACAAAGTTTCCAACTATGTTGATGGATGCTATCTCTCTGCACCTGAAGCTGTGTGGAGAATACTAGGTTTCAAGATCACCTCAATGGATCCATCTGTAACCTGCCTCCCAGTTCATCTCCCTGGTGAAAACATCCCACAATTTGTACAAGGTACTTCAGATCAAGGGTCAACAATGTCCCTTCTGATTCACTATTTTCACCATCCAAATCTCCCCCAATTTGAAAATATTTCATACCTCAATTACTTCCAACTATACATGCTCTACAGATGGGAACACAGTGACCCTCTTGATGAAGATGAATATCTAAAAGAACCTATCCACCACTCCACACAAAACAAGGTTCATTTATGTTGTCAAGGTCAAAAAGTCACCTGTCACTGCACTATCTCCCCAAGTGCTGGAGAGTTATTCTACCTCTGCTGTCTTTTGATGCACTGTCCTGCAAGATCTTTCCAGCTGCTGCACACAATTGAAGGAACATTATACCACACCTACCATGAAGCTGCACTTTCAGTGGGCCTCTTCAATAACATCAATGAAGGATACTTTGCACTTGAAGAACCTGTTGCCAATCACCAGCTACCTACTCAACTTTGCTTTCTCTTTGCACAGATTATCCTCAAGGGCTACCCTGCACTACCTTTATGGAACCATTTCTGTGGTGATCTCACTTTCGATTACATCAGTCAAAGTAGCTCTGAACACATCAGCACTGATCATGCATTGCAACAAATTGCAAGCTACCTCAAGGATGGATGCCACTCACTCAAAGACTTTGGTCTGCTGGAGCCTCAATACCAAAGTGCTGAAATCATCACTGAACTTGAAGCCTTCAGTGGTCGTGAATCTGAACTGGAACACCAAGCTCAGCAAATGTACAACACCATGAATTCCAAGCAGAAGAATATCTTTTGCAACATTTTCCATCACACAAGAAACTCTTGTGCCCATGTACACAACAACACTTTCTTCATTGAAGGAAAACCTGGCCATGGGAAGACCTTTTTAGTTGATGCACTATGTTCTCAACTAAGAAGCAAAGGAAACATTGTTCTCATAGTTGGGAGAAGTGCATTAGCTGCTGCCTTATATAAATGAGGATGCACAGCTCATTCATTATTTTGTATTCCCGTCATAGAGGTATGCACAAATTCTATTAACATACTGCTGAGCTTTCAAGTATCACACTGATATCAGTAATCAGGATAATGTTGACCTCCACTTGAAGATCAAACCTGGTACAATTTGTGCAGACCTCATCGAAAATGCTTCCCTCATTGCATGGGATGAGCTTCCCATGGCAAATGTTGCCATTTGTCATATCCCATATGCCAGACATAGATCCCATCATATTCCCACGCTTTCCGGACCTGTTTCCGGACCCCATATCCAACTCATTCCTGGATCCCCTATCCTGTCCACCCTATGCACATTCCGTCCAGCAAGACATCCAGACTTTACCTCCTCTCGGATTCTGGACTACATCCACCACCTCACATATCTCAGTCCTGTTTCCGCTCTGCCTTCCGGAGCCCCAGATCTCCGGACCTCCGGATATTAACTGTTACTATCTCCGGACCTATTCCCACCCTCTATCTGAGATCCTGTGCCTATCCCCATTTAGGCATCTCCACCTTTCCGGTTCTCGGTTATCTTTCTTTCTGTCTTGCTGATTGATCCTTGTACTAGTTTCATCTCCGAGTTCATTTAGTTATGTTCCGTCTTACTTACCAATGTGTTTCCACATGCTCATACATAGCCTTACTCCTTTGCTTACTGATCCTCTCAGATAGCCTCTAGTATATAACTCCTGTACAACTACAGTAGAGTCCTCAGTCTGAATATCACCTTAGATCTGCCCAATCATCTTCTGGACTTCAGTCCATCTGAGTCTTGTCCTTTTCTGTAAGGCCTAGGGAAGGATTCCCTAGGCCGGAATTCCGGACCTCCGGATTTGTCCCCTATGTCTCTGTCCCAAGTCTAGGGATTGCTTCCCTAGGCTGGAGTCTTGCCTTTCCGGCACTAACCCTCTTTCCGGACTTAGGTCCACTTCCCATCCCTCCAACTCTACCTTAGGGTAGTCTACCTCTGTTTGCTTCTACATCGGACGAAGTCCGATGTAGCCCCTATTCCTTCTGGACCTCCAGACCTCCTGTCCTCTGTACCTCTGGATGTCCTGGTATCCTGTCCTTCGGACGTTCCGTCCTCCATACCTCCAGACCTCCTGTCCTCTGGACTCTGGACCTCCAGACCTCCTATCCGTCCATCCTGTTTTCCTGTAGAAGTATTACCTTGCAGTGGGAACTCTCCTGAGCATTTCCTGCATCCCTCCGGAACTCTCCCGCGCTCCTCCGGACGTTTCCTGCGCTCCTCTGGAAGTCCTCCCACACTCTCCACCAGAGTAGCCAGCCTCTGGAAGTCCTCTGGACTTCATCAGACCATCATTGGACTTCCTCTGAAATGAAGGGCACATACTCGGGTAAGGGGCACAGCGTACGAGCTGAGGCCAAGCCCCTCTGAGTCAGTCTCTCTCTCCTTTGAGCATGGTTCTTAACACCATTGTAGAGAGCATCGATGAAATCTGTCAAATCATCACTGGGAAACAACAGCCTTTTGGTGGTATTATCTTCATTGGTTTAGGTGACTTCTGCCAAGTTGCACCTGTTGTAAAAGGTTCTGGTATAACACTGTCATTACTTGCATCAGTCAAGTCTTCTCTGCTATGGTCAAAGTTCAATATCAGAACATTGCATTGTCCCATCTGTGGAGCCAGAGACTACGAATACATGACCTTTGTTGACTGTATAGGTGAAGATCACACTCACTCTCATATGTCTCTCAACATCTTATCTCACATAAACACACTCAATAAAGCAATTTCCTTTCTCTTCCTGTGCTATGTCCTTGCAGAGCCACCCATCTGCTTACAGCATGCACTTCTTAGCCCAAAAAACTCTTACATTGATGACTTCAATGTGAAGATACTTGATATTTTGCCTGGCAAAGAAGGTCAGTTTTTCACCTTCTCCCATTCTGTCTACAAATTGAATCTGCTTTACCAGTCAATGTATCACAGTGGTTTACTACAGCACTGACACTGTAAAAGAAGATGGTCAGCTCATAGCAGATCACCCTGAGGCCACACCTGACTTTCTTGCAATTCTCTCACAGAATGGAATTCCAAAACATGAACTTCATCTCAAGCACAATTGTATTTGCTCACTCATGCACAATATGTCTATTCAGAAGGGACTAGTGAAGAATGCATGTCTTATTGTACAACAATTACACTGCTGCTATGTTGAAGTTCAAGTCATCAACACCAGGACAGGTCAACTTGGAGATACTCAATGCATCCCTTGCATCTGCTTCAAATTCACACCCCCACATGCAATTTGGACCATTCATTGTCTCCAATTTCCCCTCCATCTTGCATATGCAACAACTTTCAATGGTTGCCAAGGTCTTACCCTTGACAAGACCGTTCCCAACCTTCACTACAATGTCTTCACACATGGCCAACTCTACACAGCCCTTTCACAGATCTGTCAATGAGATGACTCACACATCCTATTGCTGGAAGACAAAACAAACATCAATTCCAAGATGTCAAATGTTGTTTATAAGGAATTGTTATTAGAAACAAATTAGATTTATCCAACAAGCTGCACAGCTGCAGCAAGCACTTGTATTGAATAATTTCATCAAGGCATATATAAAGGAAGTGAATATACTATGTTATGTTGACCAGAACATATGGTATAGAGAAATGTAATGCAAAAAAAATATTCAGTGTTTTAAGAACTGACAGCACTGACAGACATGAACACTGAAAATAATGGGTTTTTTTTCCAGTGTCTACATCACTGGGATTTATCATTCAGTGTTTCTCACACTTACTTTCAGGGTATTTACTTCCAAGAGTGAATACCTGGGCTTACTCATCATCTCCTTAGCCTGAGGATAGATCTTTTTGATCGCCTTTTCCCATTGTGGATGATCGACTTCAGCCTGTGCTGTCCTGAGGTCATGTTAGCATGTATCAGTACCAACCAGGGGATATGAAATACCTTTCCAATGAGGTGTAAGAGGTGAGTTAGTGTATCAATGAAAGCAATCTTGAACTGAAGACCTATATTATACAGCATCTTGTACAGGTGTCCCAACAGCACAGAATATGCTCTTGGTAGATCAACATGCCTGGGTATCTGGTTGCGACAATGATCCTGACAAATTAGAAACACCAAGTACCATAAATAAAATGTCCATGTGGGATTATGATTGGTGCTTCTGGGTACCTCTTGAGTTGAAATCAAAAAGTCGGATGACAGTGCTGCAAGAAGTGGCCAGACAACGTTGTTTGGCATCATGACCACCTGTGCTACAGTAGGCAACAAAACTGTTGCAATGTTTGCATGATTTTGATTGCTCTGGCCATATCATTGCAGGGATTGCAGCTATCAAAGTATAGAAGGTCAGGATGAAGTTTAGAGCGAATTCTGCTAATGGCACTGTGGTGTATACCAGTAGCATGTGAGATCTCCCTTGTAGAATGGTTTAAATCAAGGTGAAAAAGGATTTGGTTGGTTTGTTCAGCAGAGAGGGCTTTCATGATGATAAGTGTTGAGAAAGTTCAACATTTGGCTTTGTTTATATCATGTTGGTCCATTTACATGACACATGACATTGTAAGACATGCTAAATAACATAACTGGTGTCTATTGGTAGGATTTTGTTATTTAAAAATATTAGCAACAAAACCATTGCAATGCATACCCTATGGTAAATTGCATGTATTCTTTTAAGGAGATGTTTTCACACCTTTGATATATTACGACTATTGTAGCCTGGATGTAGGGCTACAATATTGCTCTCATCTATACTTTGATAGCTGCAATCCCTGCAATGATATGGCCAGAGCAATCAAAATCATGCAAACATTGCAACGGTTTTGTTGCTTACTGTATCTGTTCAGTATCAGAGACATGTTAAGATGAAACCAACAAGGAAAGCACCTGCTTCTCATCCATTTTTCCGATATCGAGGAGTAGATGCACTATCCTCATGCCATCGTCTCCATGTCATTCCCGAGCCACTGCCTCCAGCATGTGCATTTGCAAGTGTTTGCTAACTATGTATTTCAAATTCAACATGTACTTTGTTGTCAGCTAGACTTATGAATGACACTGCTTTACCAGCTGGCGTTGGATTGTCTATGGTTGACATTAGACCAAGATAATCCTTGACAAGTGAAGCACTAGAGGCTTTTTTGGTTGATGAGACAAGACCTGTCAAAAGGTCATCATCATTGGAAATAAGCATGGCAATTGCAGCAGTTGATGTAGGATCTATTTCACCATAAGCATATGAAGAACACATGATTTAGTGTATCTTACCTGATCTTGCATCAGACACTCTTTTGTCTGGCTTCACTCACCTTTAGTGTGGCTCGCATGATAAGAGCAGCACATTGATTAAAATGCTCTCCTACAGCCATCTTGATGAGCTGGCAAATAACATCAGTATGAAGCCAAGAATGGGAAGTAGATATTGACTTAAGAATATGGGTATTGAATTTGTCAAAATTTACTTGAAAGTAGACATTATCCTGGAAATTTGAATTAAAACAGCTGACTAGTACACTGATTGTTGAACTCACATCAACCATGTCCTCTTCTGTTGCCTTTTCTGAGTCATTTAGTACCCACCTAAAACAATAATCACCGGAGTTTGCTCACCTTGGATGACTGATGACTGATCAGATCTTTTGGCTTCCACTTCTATGATTCTGTGTTTGCTCACTGATATTGGGACTGGTAGGTGCACAGCAACTCACCAAGCCTGCGCTCTCTGCTGCTTCCTCCTCCCATTTCAGCTGTGCCTCCAGTCTCTTGAGCCTCTTGCAACTCCTTCACTGTAGGGAAACCCACTATTTTAACTTTCTCTTCTGCTTCGTATTTGATACATTTGTCCCTAGGTAAGTGATGTGAGAGGCTTAAGATATGTGCTGGATATGAGCTTGTACAATGTTTGCAAGTATAGGCTTGAACCTGGTGCACCATTAGCAATGGTTAGAGATCAGAAGAAATCTCCCAACTCTTTGGGTTTTGAATTGACAATTGTGAAATGATGTCTGGTAACTGAAGTTTCCCATGGTCTAGTATTAGCTGCACAATTTCTGCACACTGGTGCACAGGTGTCAATTGAGTACGATGAGAGAGAAAAAGAAGGTGCATACAGATGGTCCAAACAATTGCTCTGCCGGAAGTGAGAATCAACAATTTCAATTGCTGGTTGAGAGTACCAGGAGCATATGAGGTGCAATTACCAGCACCTCATACAGCCAATGGCTTGGCTACCATCTCCTCCTCAGCCTGATTCAGGGAGCATGATAGAGAATGCAGACGAGAGGGTGTGGGCACCGCTCTGCCATCTCCTTCCATGCATACCCACAAGTGCATGCAACTGGGATTGAAGAGTGTGATGCAAATGATATGACTGATGTGAGATATGGGATTGATGAATGTGAAGGAGATATTGGGCCACCACTCACAACCAAGTGCATCTTCTCCTTCTTCCTTAATTCCCTCTCTGGCACCTTAGTAGCCTTGCATGGTGTTTGACTGGGAGAGTCAGAGGGCAACAGGCTTGATGCATGATCATGTGATCATGAAGAGAGAGGAAGCTGGCTGGTTCAGCCTGACAGACTTAGCAATGTGCTGGGAGGTAAAGGAGGGTAGTCAGTAGGGACTTGTGATCTTGATCTAGCTCATAATTGGTGAGGGGACAAGGGTGTTTTATCAGATGCTGTGCTGCATATTGTATGTACTGAAAAGTGAGGATAGCATCATCATGGCATTGAAGGCAGAGGAAGTGTGAGATACAGGAATAGATTGAATGTAATAGAAACCTGCAAGAATGATACAAATCAGTGGAGGGTGGTAAAGGTTTGTACAATGTGTACCTTCTCACATTTGGATGGTGAGGATGAAGCACTTGTTGATGAGTTTCAATATGGGAAAGTGTGATTTGATTTGGGTGAGAAAGGGTGCATTAAGCCAGGGGAGGTAGGAGTGATGAATTGGGGGTTGCTCAGGTTTAGACATGAATTGAACTCCACAGTTGAACCTTGATACTGAGAGTATCTGGAGATTGCAAGTTTTAAGTGTCTCAAGCCAGAAGAAGTGTTCCAGTATGTAGATCAACTTCTGAAATGTAAGACTCTGCTGTCACTCTCCTATTGGCAGACTTTCAATAGCAGAGGTATTCCCTATATCTTGCTCAGCCGCACTAATGACATTATTGTATTGCAATAGTTGATTGATGAGGACAGAGATATTGCAGAAGGAAGGCTTGAAAGGGAAGCCAACACGCATGACAGAGATTGCGATGCCAAAGAAGTTCATTAGAAAGTAGTTTCAGGTCTGGAGCATGCATGCATGAATGTTTGCAATTCAAATACAGGTTTGTGGCATGGTGAGAACCTGCTAACATTTCATTACATGTATCTTTGATATAACATTGTTCCCTCTCAGTCCCCAGTCTGCCCAAAATTCATTTAGCTATAGCTCAATACACCAATGCTGGCTTGTTTCATCTCACTCTTATGGTGGATTTTGGTTATGGTTCAATTTGCCATTATGCCAAAGGGATTTTCAATGTCTGATCGTTGTTTGTTTCAAGTATCACATTGGTATTGCATATTTCAATGTATATCCTGGTTATTAGCAGGTAGTATAATAAAGGCAATACAGATTCCACAGTCAAGAGGAGTTGCAAGTGGTGCCACATTGTAAGCCTGAGTGCAGTGTTTCATGTTCCATTGTGCCACACTACTGTTAGTACAGAAACATCTTCTCATACCAGTGTACCATTGCTGGAGCCAAGCACCAACATATCGCTCTAATACCCAACCCACAAGGCAGAAGTGGGACAGGTTCTGTTTGTAAGTGCATTGAAAGTTTAAACTGGAATATGTTGATGCTACTGATCCAGATGCAATGATAAGACCACTAGAACATCTGATACTAACACCTTGTCAGGCACCCCTCACATGGCTTTATGGACAGACTGATCATATTGATGTTCAGTGAGCATGTCCCATATCAGCAGTCCTGAAGCTACACACCACAGTGAATCAACTTGCTCTCAGTAAACAGGCACTGCTTACTATGCATTTTCTCAAAGATGGAGCATCAATCTGGGAGAGTTGACCAAATTTTACTGGAGAGATGCACCTTCACATTGGGGTAGTGCTCCTGGCATGTGCCAGGAAAGTAAGTGTCCAATTGCAAAGGTGGGAATCAAAACGCTCATTGAAATACACTTGGATTAATGACCGTCAACAATCAGCCTCATTGTGGCAGTACTGGGCCACCACTGAGAGGCCTTCCAGTTGTTGCTTTTTCTGTTCTGGAGTCCAAGCTGATCCTTTATCGTTGCAGTTGCTGTTGATCAACTGATGTCATGACACAGCGTCTGTTAAGAACCATGTTGCTCAAAGGAGAGAGAAACTGACTCAGAGGGGCTTGGCCTCAGCTCATACGCTGTGCCCCTTACCTGAGTATATGCCCTTCATTTCATATGAGGTCTGATGATGGTCTGATGAAGTCTGGAGGACTTCCGGAGGCTGGCTACTCTGGTGGAGTGCTAGAGGACTTCCGGGGGAGTGTGGGAAACATCCGGAGGAGCATGGGAGAGTTCCAGAGGAATGCAGGAAGTGTTCAGGAGAGTTTCCACTGCAAGGTAATACTTCTACAGGAAACAGGATGGAAGGATAGGAGGTCCGAAGGTCCAGAGGACAGGAGGACAGGAGGACAGGAGGACAGGAGGGCAGGAGGGCAGGATGATGGAGGACAAAAAGGACAGGATGTCCAGAGGTACAAAGGACAGGATGTCCAGAGGTACAAAGGACAGGATGCCCGGAGGTACAAGGGACAGGAGGTCCAGAGGTCCGGAAGAAATAGGGGCTACATCGGACTTTGTCTAATGTAGAAACAAACAGAGGTAGACTATCCTAAGGTAGAGTTGGAGAGACAGGGATTGGACCTAAATCCAGAAAGAGGGCAAGTGCCAGAAAGGCAGAGCTCCAGCCTAGGGAATCAATCCCTAGGCCTGATGGGTAGGACAGACTTAGGTGGACCAAAGTCCAAGAGAGGATTGGGCAAGTCTAAGTTGATATTCAAACTGAGGAACTACAGGAGTATCTACAGGGGTTATATACTGGACAACATCTGAGTGGATCAGTAAGCAAAGGAGCAAGGCTATGTACAAGCATGTGGAAACATATTAGTAAGTAAGATGGAACATAAGTAAATGAACTCGGAGATGAAGACTTGTACAAGGATCAATAAGCAAGACGGAAGAAGAGGTAACCAAAAGCCAGAAAGGTGGAGATGTCTAAATGGGGATAGGCACAGGATATTGGACAGAGGGTGGGAATAGGTCTGGAGTTAATATCTGGAGGTCTGGAGATCTGGGGATCTGGAAGACAAGGTGGATAAAGGACTGGAATATGAGAAGGTGGATATAGTCTGGAATCTGAGACAAGGTGAAGTCCGGATGTCTTGCTGGATGGAGTGTGCATAGGGTGGATGGGACAGGGGGGTATGGATCAGGCTAACAGTGGAGATCCGATGGTCCAGAGCTCAGGGGTAAATCCGGAACGGAGTTGATCCTGCTGAGGTGTGGAGCACACAGTGGAAGGGGATCTGGGAATGAGTTGGATATGAAGTGGGGTCCGGACATAGGCTCAGAAGGCATGGGAATATGATAGAATGTGGGTCCGGATTGTGGGATATGACAGTGTCCCTGTGTGCATAGTCTGGAAGAGTGCCATTGAAATTGCTTACAAAGAATGCAGTGATAGCTGTGTTGTCACAAAAATTCCACACTGGTACCAGCCTTGGGGAAGATGGAAGTGCAAGCAACATGCATGTTTGCTTTAGTGCTTTATCATACTACCTGCGAATAACCAGGGTATGCATTGAATAAAATTGAATTAAGTGCAATACTCAAAACAAACAACGATCGGACATTGAAAATCCTTTCAGCATAACAGCAAATTGAACTGTAACCAAAAATCCACCATACTCTCCATCACCAAGAGTTCAGTGTAATTCATGTTTTTTTGGGTTTTATTAATTCATTTCGGTTAGTGAGAGGTGAGACAAACATCTTTGGGGTCAGTAAAAATCACTAGAGCTCGGTGTCATCTATCCATCACCAACAACTCTTAGTGATGGATAGACAACACTGACACAGGTCATATTGACTATAAGAATCAATTGAGAGCTACTTCCTTTATGCATGATGAGATTTGTGTCCTCAATCATTGTACCAAACATGAATGGCACATCCCATATGACATCCATCAACTGCGTTCAACCCAATGACAATGCCCTACAATGGAGCTCCACCTGAATCTTGAACCATAGTAACCCTCTCTCCCAAGGCAAAGTGCTGGTTCTGGAGTCAATAGATAGCGTGCAATGGTTTCAGAACTGCATGATGAGGGATGTTCTTCACAATGACTTTCTTGAGTGTTGCCTTGGATCCATTTTTATTGATGTCATCAGCAACCTGTTCAATCTATTTGAGTCCTCCATTGTGGAAGTTACATACTGATAATCCCCAAGAGTTTCAATGATGTCCAGTTGTGTGGGATCCAAACCTGCCTCCACATCAAGTGCACAAGTCAGTGTGGAGTGTTGGTGGATCGTAGTTCATGGTCAAGTTGAGAATGGGAGACTTCTCACTTGACACCTGTATCTGAGTCAAGAAAAAATAAATAGATAAAGAATACATAGTTATGATGCAAACATACTTTGCACTAGCAGCAGCAAAGTGTTGTTGGTGGAAGACATTGATATATAATTACTGTCTTGCACAAGGAGATTGTGGGATTCAAGGAGAGCTTTCAAATAGGCCTTGAGTTCTTTTGCATCAAGGTATTGGAGGTGCACTAAGTAGTGAAATACCCATGAGATCAGATAGTAGAACAGGCTTAGGAAACCTACTGCACTCTGCTCCATAGATAGTGTCCAGCCCCATAGACATGTTTCCTCTCTGAGGTAGACACCAGCACAGAGATACACTCAAATATCAAAGTATGTCCTTGCGTGTCTGTCTGCACATCCATGAGCACTGCAATGAATGAGGGCAATACTGTCTGAAAGTCAACAGCATTGTCAGAATTGTGCCTGTGTAAGAATGCTAAAGCATACAAGAGAGCACAGGTTCACATGCACTCCAGAGGTGGAGATCATGCAAGAAAAATGCTGAGCAAGAACACAAGAGAAGTGTCTTTTAGGTTGAGGAAGAGTGCCTGGATGAGATGAGTAGACAACTGTGATGGAGTGGTGCTTCCAGAAACAACAGCAACAGCATATAATTTTTGCATGAGAGTGACATAGCAATCTTCAGTGCTCTTCTTTTCACTGTCAGATAGACAATCACTTTAATAGGGAAGTTAGCAGCAGATAAACTGTCAGGCTCGATATCATACCAATGATGAAGTTGTGATCCAAGTAGGTGTACATGCATTGACTAGTTAAACAGCTGGGACCATGGCAATATGAACACCTGTAGAAACATCATGGTGATTCTTCCCCCAGGCTTTGTCATGACTTTCATGCCCAGCAAACTGTCATTGAGCACCTATCACATATTCAGCAAATAAAAGATGGAGAGGGAAATAACCATGCCTCTTATAAGTTTGCAGAGCTATCTGCAAGATCACTGAAACTGTCAACAGAGTGCAATTTCATAGCAGCTAGAGCTTGCAAGGCTATGTTGGGAGCAATAGGCATGAGAGCACAAATAGATGGCACAAACCTTGAACACTGGAAAACATTTGAACTTTTTTCTGTTTATGTGGGGACTGTGAATTTGTCATGGGCTATATCAGAGCTCATGATGACTTGTTGTGTTTGCTGCTAATGGTGGAAGAAAGCAACTTGAAGGCCAGAATTAAACATTGTATTTTCATAAGTTGAAATCTACATACCTTTGTCATTTGCCTTCACAACCTTGCCCATGTTGATAACAGACTACTGCACTTTGGTCTTGACCTCAGCAGAGACATTGCATCACTGAAACCCACTTGCACTCTAGATTTATACTGCAGAAAAATATAACTGACAGTAGTAGGAGACCCACTTTCAGCATTTATCCCTATAGGCTCATGACCAGCCTGGCTTACTAATACCACAGATACTGGAGTGGTGTAGCAGGCCCCTGGAAGCTTCCTATTATGTTAGGCTGAAAATTTGTGTATTTGAGGCCCAAATTTTGTGTTTTCCTTGTCCATTTTTTGCCTATTTCACACCTTTGGGAGCCACTCCAGTGCTCCAAACACACTGATGTCTGTCTGATTTTTGCCTATTCTAGGCCTTCAGTCAACCTTCAGGGCAGGCTTTTTTGACCTTGTTGTGTGAATGATTAGATCAATGAGCACCAATCATTTTTCAACTTATCTATTGAATTTTCAATGTTGCTCAACAAGAATTTACCTTGCCAAGTCCATTCTGTGTGGAACATCAAAGTTCACTACTGTGATCTCTTCCCATAACTTAATCCCAGTCACAAATTACCTAGTCCTGTACTCAATGCTTTCAGAGCAATTATCCAGGATGTTCCCTGCAAGCAGTCTGGGAAAGCTACTGACAACACATTGGTGTTGTCATCCTGGATCCCTGCTCTTGCAACTGGTGATGCTACACCTGCTTGAGCTGAAGGATCTATAGTTGAACATGTCCAAGCTGCCATGAGTGTTAAAAAACAAGTCTAACTCAATCTCAATAAAACACAGTATGGAAAACTTCCCCTCAACAGTGTACTAAAATGACCACAGTGGATGATACCCCTATGTGAAGGTTGCCCTTCACACTGGGTCCTCGGCATCATTGATTTTGACATGACATCAGAAAGACAGCACTCATAGGCGACCATGGTAGAGCTTGCAAGCTGTCCCCTGATGCAGAGAAGCATTGGATTGCACTGACTTCTGTTGCAGTTCTGCAGAAGTTGCTGAAGTTAAAAATTCCTGGTGGGCACATGTTAAGAACATAGTTCTGTTAGCTCATTGTATCTTAAACTTGAATACTTTGTTGAATTTTATTCACCAAACACAATGTTGCATTGTCACACTACTGCTGTGACATTTTTGTGACATGTGACTATCCTTGTCCAATTTTGCATATTCGACACTCAGAACCATGCCTATTTAAGGGCCGTTTTGGAGGGTCTGGATGGCCAAACATCATAGGGAGCTTCCAGGGGCCTGTCATAGCCTTCTGGTCCAGCAAGTTCAACTTGGCACAGCAGAACTATCCTGTTCACAAGCAAGAATTATTAGCTATTGTTGAATCACTCAAATGATTCCAGCACCTATTGATTGGTTTCCATTTTCACATCTTCACTGACCATAAAGGTCTTGAGTGGGTCTCCTTGCAAACTAAACTGTCCCCTAGGCAGGTCAGATGGCTTGAAGCCCTCAGTGAATTTGACTTTCACATCATTTACATACCAGGCTCAGAAAACACCCTGGCTGATGCACTGTCCTGAATGTACAGTCATGAGCCCAAAGGCACTGTTTGAGTGCAAAGTGAATATGTCCATATCAAAGAAGATGACTCACATCACACACTCCTCCTGAACTTTGTCAGTGCACCCATGTACACTGGTACCCCCCTATTTCTTGGTGCCACTGAGTCTTGTTGCTCTGCATGTATAGCCGAATGCCTCACTGCTTCATCTCAGTCAGTGGTGCCCCTCCAGCAGAACCCAACTCCATTGTGATATACCTCAATAGATTGGGATATCACTCCCCCTCAGGCCATCCCTCCACCCACTAGCCCCAGTATCCTGGACCCATGAGATATAGTGATCCCAGCATCTTGCAGGACAATTGATATATGTCTACCAGATATAGTGATCCCAGCATCTTGCAAGACACTGATATGAGCTCACCTATAACCCTAGTGTCAGCATCAGTTCCCAAACACCACTTACTTGTCCCCAAAATCAAACAAGTGGTCCTAAAGCTGGGAGCTCCTGCAGCAGGACCACTGGAGGGCAGAATAGTGACAGAACCTATTGGTACAGCCAATGAACAAGCCAAGGCATGCAACTAATGAACCCAATGATGAACCCAATACTGCACCATCAAACAGAAGCAGGGCATTCCATATGCACCTTGCATGCAAAGCAGTGTAGATTGCATTGCTGGAGACATTGAGTGCGACTATCATGTAAAGTTGAAGCACTAATTGGTCCAAGTGAGGTTCTGCAAGGAGCAGTCCTTGGATGCATCCAAGAGTAATCACGTGACCAACATGTAATGTGTCAATAACCACTTGGGAGCTCTGTCCATTGCCAATCATCAGTATCAACATGCCTTGCACCCAAACGTGTAAAGATAAGTGGAAGGTTCATCAGAAGATTGTTTGCCCTGATGGGCCCAGGTGAAATTTTAACCTACAGGCAGCAATGGGTCTGAATGGGAAGAGGAAGAAATATCTTGACATAATTGTGAGTATATGCACATCTCTCTGTGTGGATTTTCTCTAACTTTTCATAAAGAAAGTGGTCTGCCATATTGCCAACTACAGGGGCATAGAAATGGAAAAAAATCATCAGCTATCAATCACCCTTACTTTTGGGGAAGGTCATTGCTATAGTACTTCTTCTCTCATTTGCACCCATACACACACTGATATTGTGTAGGTCATGATAGAAATATTCTTTTTGACCAAGTTCAAGGACAGCTGGCCTGTCAAGGAGATTTTCTAGCAATATCTTCAAAACAGAACTGGTTATGATAGGAGGGAGCATCTCATTACAAGTGATGAAGAGAACTCCTCTGAGGCAGACGATGAGGGAGAAGAAGCATATTCTGAGAAAGATGAAGATGGAAATAAAGGTGGGCTAGTAGTGGAAGAAGAGCCTCTACCTGTGGAGACCACAGAGAGCTTCAAGAACGAGCTAGATGAATATTTAGGTTCAGAGTCTTGCCAATATCACTACTTTGTTTAGCCTGAGCTGCGCTTACTATTACCCTTCAGAAAAGAAATGCAGACTTCCAAGCCCCAGCATCAACTGCCAGGAGCCTGGCCCTCTGCCAGCTGTAGCTGATGAGTGTGGAATTGACATTTTATTCAGGAGAAAATGCACTAGGAACTACTAGGCACCTCACAGACAATAGTCACAAAATCTTGGATCATATCACACCATCAACTTCTTGTAGCATAGCAATGAAATCATGGCACATGCCCCAACATTCTCCCTGTTTATTCTTCAGCATGATCAACTTCTACAACTCCACATGAGTTGTACTATTTGCAACTTGTTGGTGTAGAATCAAGAACATGACACTAGAGTCTAGAGCTTCATGGGATTTGGCAGTTAGCCACACAACCTTCAAACCAGTGGCATGAATCTTTTCAGTGAGCTGGTCAACAGCCACATTTGACAGTGCACAGATAAGAACCTGACTGGGATTCATCTTGGTGAGATGCTATATATGATTGAAGCAGAAGTCATGGTCTTTCCAGTACCAGGGGGCCCTTGGATCTAAGTACTGGGCTTCTGCAGAACACTCTTGACTGCATAAATTTGAGAATGGTTGAGCTCAGGAAGACCTGGTGCAGAGAAACACTTAGGCATCTGTGCACAGAGAACCTGGGAGGAAAGTTCATGCCCAAGAAGCTTGTAATACTGGTGAGAGGCTTAGTGATTTCATTAAGATATAGAAGAATGAACGTACAATGTAACCATTAATGCTCTTCTCATCAGGTGCAAATGTCTTCATTACCAACTGCATCCTGTCAAAGCTGGTGGATTTCTAGACAAAATCTGCTGCAAAATTATGGGCACAATTGGTAGGTACACCCTTGGTCCATCGCAATTCAAGCCCAATTTCATCAGAAATGTCTACAAAATAAACATAAGCAGAACATATTGTCTTGTGACATAAAGCTTACTGTTTGGAATCTTGATAACATGTCCAACCCCATCCCAAGCTTTGTGCAATTTTCCTTGGTACCTCAATCATGATTCAATGATATACATGTTGGTGAATCCAGAACATTGTTTCTGCATTCTATAGTCCAATTGATGGGCCAGACGTATCCCCCTGCTGCCCAATGTAGCTCTGGTGCAAGTTTGTACACCTTTAGGGCATTGTATAAAAGAGAATCACTGCTCTTAAGCTGATCATGTCAATAAAGCCCTGCCTGGAGTCAGCTGAAACTCACATGAGGAACCAAAGACTCAGCCAGGCCCTCCGAAGGGTTGACACTGTAATTCTGCATAAAATAGAACATTACTTTGTGTCCACAAGACAAGCTGAGGACTGTGGAAAGAAGATCGAGGAAATATTCACTCAATGTGATCAGAGAAGCAACTGCTGCACCATATGTCTTCAGATCACCATGTATGTGAAGCTCATCCTGCATCCTTGCTGGATGGTCTTGACTTCATATTCGCATTCTCCAAGGAATGCAGTCCAATAGACCTCTGAAGAACTTCTCTTCTGTTTCTTCTGCATCTTGGACAATCATGTTTCCTCCACAATGGTGAATAGGCAGAGTGACATGTATTGTAGCAACTCTACCATCATTGCATAATATATGGGGCTGAAACGCCATATGTGCTCCAGTCACCATTACCTCTAGCTTATCTCTCAGGGTGGTAAGGTGATGTCCCATGGCCAGGAATAGTGTATTGCATACCACATTGAGGATGGTATGGTTGGTGATTTCGAGTGTGACAGTCAAAGGAAGGTTTGCAGGGTAGAAGAGAGTTTCATGATCAGGGTACACATCAAATCCAGGTGTTGGGTGGGGTTTACATGCTGTGAGTAGTACTTTCAAGAGCTGGAGGTGTGTCATAATCAATATTGATGGGGAAATCAAGCAAGTGTGTGATGCCACTCTGTAAATTGGACTCAGATTCAGATAATGACAATACAGTGACTTGCAAAACCATTACAATGTTTGGTACTTTTGTAGTGTACATGATTTAGTGCCTGGGTGCATGGGAATCATGCTTAGGATTGGTGGAAGCATGTGAACTACCAACCGCTGGCTACAATTTGGACCTTTGGTCATGTGGTTTGGCCCAGGGGATGTGAAGATATGCCTATTTTAAGACAGAGATACCATTGTAACAGTTTTGCAACTGTTGATAATAAGTAGGGTATTTGAGAAATATTAGTACTTGGTATAACCTCCTTTGGGTTTAAGTACTGCCTCAATCCTCCTAGGCATACTTTCAATCAATTTCTGACACACCTCAGCTGGTATCTTGTTCCATTCCTCCTTAATCCTTCTCCACAACTCCTCTATTCCCTTAGGAGGATGCTCATACTCTCCAAGCCTCCTTTTGACATGACCCCAGAGATGTTCCAATGGGTTAAGGTCAGGGGATTGTGCAGGCCATACCATAGTCCTAAATTCCTGCTCATCTAGCCACTCCTTGACCTTTTTGCAGGTATGCTTAGGGTTATTGTTTTGCTGAAAGATGATATTAGAAGGATTAAAATCATAGAACTCCAGGGAATTCTGAAGTTCATTCTTCAAAATTTGAAGGTAAAAATCCCCATCCATTCTACCATCAATCTTAGCAGCATAGCCAACTCCTTCCCAGGTCATACAGCCTCACATCATCACAGAACCTCCACCAAACTTGACAGTTCCCTGTACTAATCTGTCACTGAGCCCCTCTCCTGACTTTTTCCAAGCCTATTTGTGACCATCTGACCCTAGGTGATTAATCTTGGTTTCATCAGATCATATGACTAACTTCCAGTCCTCCAAAGTCCAATCTTTGTGAGCATAGGCAAAGTCCAAGTGTGCCTTGCAATGTTTGGCAGAAAGTAGAGGGTGTTTTGACTTGACTACAGCCTTCATCCCAGCTTTTTACAGGTAGTGGCAAGTGATGCTTGGATGAAGAGGCTGGTTGGTAATGTTTGAAAGAGATTTGGTCACTTAGACAGCAGTTTCTGCCTTCTGAGTGGAGATAAGAGGGATAGCATGGCAAATGTTGGCAGAGGAAAGCTTGGGTGGACAACTACCAGTGGACTTTTGCAGGTATGAACACTTTTTGGAATGAAGTCTGGAGATAGTAGCAGTGCTGACACCAGTTGTGGAGGCAATAGAGTGAATAGAATGACCAGCATCAAGCTGGGAGAGGATGGTATTCTTTTGAGTAGTAGAGAGAGATCTCATGGTAGTAATGGTTGAGAATAAAGAAGCATGGGAGCAATTTCAAACTCAGACATAATGTTTTTATGTATATCTTTATTTGTATAAGCAAATAACAGTAAATATCCTTTGATTTGACTGAGATTCTACCATCTATATCAACAGCTGCAAAACTGTTATAATGATATCTCTGTCTTAAAATAGGCATATCTTTACATCCCCTGGGCCAAATCACATGACCAAAGGTCCGAATTGTAGCCAGCGGTTGGTAGTTCACACGCTTCCACCAGTCCTAAGCGTTATTCCCACGCACCCAGGCACTACATTATGTACACTACAAAAGTACCAAACATTGTAATGGTTTTGCAAGTCACTGTAATTTGGTGCCACAAACAACTCACCTTTGAGCAGAAGAATAGTACCAAGGATGCTGGGTCCATTGGAATGTGACCAGTGATGGTGAATGGACACACTTTGGCAGTGGGTAAATGTGACACGCTCGCATAAAGAGCACTTTCAGCACCATATTCAGACTGATGATAATGAACACCTGGTCACTTTGGAGATGATATATTCATTTTGAGTGGTCGCTCAATTTCAAATTCTGATATGCTTCTGTTCCACATGAATTGATGGCCACTATCTAAATGGCTGCTGTCTGAGAGACAACTTGCAGCAGATGGTGTAGAAGAGCCCAATGCTGACTGTGGATGCATTACAATAGTAGAGATGTTGCTAATGGTTAAGGAAAAGAGTGAGGATCTGTGGAACTGGATGGGACTCTATTTACCAGCCATAAACAGTGAGTGGCCAAAAGAGCCACATCTGGTGTGCCAAGATCCAATGGACAGTAATGACATTAAGTTAATCATGCATACCTGTCACAGGGTCGACAGCAGTGAGAATGGTATGACAAAGTGCCCATAAAGTGAGCATGCTTGGGCAGCATTTTCTTAATCTGGTTCAGCTTCTACCACACATGTGAGGTCTTAGGAGAGGCGCTCATCCCTGAAATGCTTGAGGATGCCACTGGAAAGTTTGATGATTGTGGCATCCACAGCCAACAGAATGGCAGGATCATCCCCATGGGTGGAGGTGGAGGCATAGGAGGAGTCATTGCTGGCATCACAAATGATTTCTGTACCTGGTAGTATCCTCCTTCCAGCGATAGCTAGCAATAAGTGTGGTCATCATCCTGGCCTGGACACTTCCAAATGAAGGATAAACAACAGTGTGCAAAGGCCTGTCTGTGTAGGTCAGTCATCCATCATGCAGTTCTGAACTGCATCCTGATCTTGGCAGAAGGCACATAGTTCAACATCCACAGAGCATTCAACTGTATGAGGGAGAGACCAGTGTTACTGAGGTCAATGGTACAGAGAATGGGTAAAGGATGGTGGAGATGACATGCAAGAATGTGTGATGATCTTCGTTGTCTGACAACATCCATCCTAGTGTTATCCTTGTTGACTCCAATAGCTGCCACTCTGGAGTTGAACTTGATAGTGTTTTTGTTCTCCTTGTGGATGTATTGTTCCATACAAGATGCAATCTCATTGGTGCCACCACTGTGAACAGCACTAATATCAGTCATCTCGGCCTGCTTTGCATGAAAGGGCATACGCACTCAATGCAAAACCATTGCATGGAAGGCGTGTTAGGTCCAGGATGCCAATCAAAAGCAATGGCCTCTAAAATGGTCCCAGAGAGTGCATGATCATACTAGCTGGTGGACTTGTCAAAAGTCTCACACTAGTTGATGATATCTGTTGAGAGAGGTTTGTTGGGTAGACCAAGGCTTGTGCTTGGTATATACTTAAGCTGCATATATGCACAAGTTGAACAGTGGTTGAAGCTTTTCATGGATTCCCAACCTTCCAACCCCCCAGTCTTCAGATCATCAAGTAGGTGTGTTGCAAAGGGACTGTTGACACTGTCCATGATCACCTTTACACCTACAGCTGATGTATGGGTTTGAATCACTGACAGTCTTGGATCATATGGTCAGCTTTGAAGGGATTATCTTTGGGCATCGTGTTATAGTGTATTGTTGTTCCAACCACCCACAAAATAGAATGGCTTGACCTTTTTTCTTGAGAGAGATGCCATCCTTATTGAGAGGAGGGTAGTCAAAGAGGCTGAATACTTGTTGCATTGAACTAATATTTGGGAATTGCATTGTGCCAATATTGAAGTACTTGTAAGGATATCCAGTTCCATCTTGAAATTTGAACATGAAGAGTCTTCCTCCAACTTTGCCTTGAGCCTCAATGATGTGGTATGGAATACCAAGGTCCTGAAGAATCAAGGCTATGTACAGCCCACTCACTCCTGTTAACACATTTGATTTGAATCAGTAGAATGATGATCATAATGAAGGAGAACTGACCTGCACCTAGGATTCCAACTGGATTGGTAGAGCTGATATTGGCTGCCATCTGGTAATTCACTAGAACAGCTATAAGTAGAATGATGATCCAAACAGGAGAGCACTGACCTGCACCTGAGATTCTGACCAGATCTATAGAGCTATACTGCCAGTCACCCCAGGCATTTTAAAACAGAGGAATTGGTCAAGCAGGACTTTTGGTGGCCCTCTATGGGTACCTATATCTGTAAATACATTGAGGGTTGCACCCTCTGTCAACAGATGAAATCTGACACTCATCCTACTACTCCCCCTCTCGTCCCTATTCCATCCGTTGCCGCTGCTCCATTTGCCCAAGTCTCTGTCGACCTTATCACTGACCTTCCTCCTTGTGCTGGCTTTGATTCTGTCATGGTTGTGGTAGACCATGGGCTTATGAAGGGGGTAATTCTTATCCCATGCATGAAAAACATTACTTCTGAAGGGGTTGCCAAGAAATTCTTCAAATATGTCTACCAATGATTCGGCCTCCATGAAAAAGTCATTTCTGATCGTGGACCACAATTCATATCCAAGTTCTCACAAGCCCTTGCCAAGCTCTTGAAATACAACATTGCCACCTCCACCGCCTATCACCCCCAGACTGATGGTCAAACTGAACGGCTCAACCAGGAACTCGAAACATATCTCCGAATCTATTGCTGAAATCACCCCGAAGATTGGGTAGAACATCTTCCTATGGCAGAATTTGTGCACAACCACTGGAAACATGATTCTCGTAATGCTTCTCCATTCTTCCTAATGATGGGGTATGAACCACGAGCCCTTCCACACACACTCCCCAACTCTATGGTCCCCGCAGCAGAAGACACACTCCACTCTCTCCAGAAATCAAGAGAGGAGGCACTCTCTTGTCATAACCTAGCTATGCAATGAATGACAGAGCAAACCCATGGGCAGAAGTATCACCCATGG